GTAACTTGAAAGATCTTGACAGGATGCTTGAAAAGGGTCCACTATGGGCCATCCAAAGTGCATGGGAATGGGCTGATGCCAAGTCAACAGCTGAAACGGTGTCGAAGTGTTTACCAAACCAAGGTTTGCCTGATGCAGTGGTCCTTCCAAAGTTGTTGTTATGTGATGGAAGTTACTAAGTTGGGTGCAGGATGTCGGAAGTTGGAAAGGCTATATCTTGATGCGCTGGGGATAGCTGCAGGTTGTTTTCTGCCGATCTGAGGCGTTTTTCCACTCCAACTGGGAAGTGCTCATGGGTCAGGGCGAAGTGCAAAACTGGATGCGAAGTCGACCGGACAAAGAGGAGAGCCCCGTATAGGGAATCACTGGTGGCGGATTGTTGGAAGGTTGGGATGGTTGGGATATGTTGGGACGAATGGGAATGTGATTTATATTGATTTATGATATTGTCATACACTGTGACAATGCGGCTTGTTTGATTTATCTGGTTGCTATGGGGAAGTCATTTGCCATGTTTCAAAGCTTTGTAGCGGAATGGGACATCTACCTAATGAGGAATCATGGTGTTGTGACATGTGACTTTTGGGGAGGGCAGGTGCAGCCATAAATTGCCATTGTATGACTTGCCACAACATGCTTCAGCCTGTGACCAAGGATAATTGTGCCCAAGGGAGGTTCCATTTTATGGATCGCCTTTCCGTCAAATCATAAGACGCCATAAGATTTCGTTGTTCAGTAGTTGAGAGATGTTGAGAGCATGTTGATAAGTTGAGAGCATGCACTAATCTAACTGCATCCGCCCAAGATTTTCATGTCCATTTTCTTGATTCTTGCTGTATCTCTGTATCTCCTGCAACATTTGTCTCATATGTCCCATGGGTCCCAGGTGCCGATGCGCTACCCGGGTGAGTGGAAGTTCGCCGGCGGCGTGGTAGACGCCGACGAGACTCCGCTCCAAGCGGCGATGCGCGAATTGGAGGAGGAGTTTCAGGTGCCAACAGCACTCACTGAGGCCGGATGGATTTTCCGGAAGATTTTGGTTGGAGCCTACAGGATTTTAAGGGATTCCCATGGGATTCCCATGGGATTTTTAAGGATTCTGTGGGGTCTTATGGGATTTTTCTGGGTAGAAAGAACAAGTTGAAATACGCACTGAAAAGGGTATGTCATTATCTCAACTTTGTTTGCGACTTTGGGATGCCTTTTTGCGATTTACCGACCCACACATGTTTGGCCAACACTCCATCTTGGGTGTATTCTTTGGTGGATATGGAAAAAGGCTTTTTAACACACACAGATGATACAGATGAACCGCTGATTTTGACCATATTTGGGTATGTTCGTGGTGGTCCAAGAATTAACTGAAAAACCAGTGGGTTGCCCGTCAAGTACTACAATAGACCATTTACACATTTTCGAAGTTATTTCAACATATTTTGTGCAGTGTCCTTTTGGAATCTTCACTGTAGTACCGTAGTATTGCATCCTGATTAGTAGCTATAGGTTCGCTATCGTGGCTAGAATTTTCCAAATTATTCAGAACCCATGATTAGATTGGACGTATTACCATAGTGGCAACAATTTTTGGAAGACCATTTTATTATGACGATTGTGTCCTGAAAAATGCATGTTTTCTCTGATTGTTTATGTTTTTTCCCAAACAAACATGCTTGTGTGCCTTTCCTAAAGGATCAAATCTCTTATAAAACCACTATTAAGAACCATTTCCACAAAATTCCAAGGGACTGCACCATGAGGGTCCAGTTCACTTTAATAGGTTTGTTTCCTGGGTTCACAGTGGCAGCAAGCTTTTCCAGAGCTGATCCTGGCGCCAAGAGAAGAAAGGAATGCCTTTTACAAAAGCACACTTCCCCTTCTCTTTCTCTTTCCCTTTCTCTTACTCGTTCTCTTTCTCTTCCTCTTCCTCTTTCCCTTCTTCTTCCTCTTTCTCTTGCTCTTTCTCCTTGTCCTTCTCTTTCTTTTCCCCTTTCTCTTTCTCTTACCCTTTCTTTTTCTCTTTCTCTTTATCTTTCTACTTCTCTTTCTCTTCCTTTTTCTCTTGCTCTTTCCTCTTCCTTTTTTTCTTTCTCTTTCTCTGTTTCTTTCTCTTTCATCTCTTTCTCTTCCTCTTCCTCCTTTTTCTTCTCTTTCTCTTTTCTTTCTCTTATTATTTTTCTTCTTACACCTTTCTTGAATAAACAACTTGAGGTGCAGACAGAAATACAATCAACATTCTGAACCCCACTCACTAGAAGTGCTACGAGAACTACAAGTTCACTGGCAAAAAAAAAGATCAGTTTTTCATTGTCGCTAATGAAAACCGTTACTTACATGCTGTATGATTGTATCCTATCTGGGGAACAGCTTTCAAAAACTCAACTTTAAAAAGAGTATAGCATTTGTTTGAGCGGGGGTCTGCACACAAATCAGGACGGATCATTACATTGGTTGTTCCAATTAATGTCCACTATATGGATAGTATGCGTGAACACAGTGATGGGCAAACAAGCAGGGGCTGTGTTTTTTCCTTCTGCACAGTTCTTGCAAGTGTGCGCAGAAGATCAGAAACCAGTTTCAAAAATGACATTGTAGCTATGTGTTTTTGTTTTTGTGAGGCTACCTGCAGACTTCGATTGCTCAGCGTGAAGCAGACAAGGTGCAGCTGTTTTTTTCAATCATTAGAATAGTCGGGTCAACGCAGTCAAGGCAGAACATTGTGCCGAAAGTTGACTGAAGGCCAATTCGGAATGTCTCCAACATCATGCCACTTGCCAGCAGTTTTTTGGCAGTTTACTTCTATAGTTTACTTGTAAAAGGTTCCACTTGTGGAGCATCATGCGAAGCTGCAGTGAAATCGTGCCATGAACTCTATGGTCCCTCCTTTTTGAACTGCTCTTGAGATATTTTGACCGCTTTTTCAGAACCTGCAATGACCAGTGGCTGATGAAGTTGCAACACAATTGAAGCACCGCAAAAAGGTCGGAAAAAACTATGGTTTGCCCATGGTTCCCCTGTGGTCTGTATAGGACTCCTCTGTCGCTAGCTATACTGGCTGTACAGATTCTAAGATGTGCAAGTCATGGGGGAGATGAGATAGGACAGGTTCAGCTACGTGATGTCGCAAAGGTTCAACTATGTGGCTGCTGCGGATGAAAATCCTTGGTTGCAACAACTTGACTTGGAGGATGGGAAAGCTGGAGAATACACGAAAATACCATGTTAGGGTGACTTGCAATCATCAAACGATCAGTGTCTTTTCAGATGAACCATGATTTCATCATGCTCGTCTGACTGTCCAATCAGTCGTCTCACAGATGCTTATCCAGAGGCACAAGACATAAGAAGCCATAGGAGATATCTACGCTCATTGACGTATTGGATGGAGATGCATGACTGTGATTGTTTTCACCTTTCTTATGCAGTTTCCATGGGTATCGATTATTGAGTGCAGAGGTAAATCCAATGGATATCAATGGGTATGATCCTTTGAATATTGATTGTCAGTGATAAGTACAATGATCCTCGAGTTGTCATTGATTATATACTGGATTACAAATCTTATCATGTTGTTTTGTTTTCGATGTAGACATGTTTTGATTGGCACATATTGCCAAATTTGCACACCAACTTCATAACAGTTTGAGTATAAGTTCATTAAGTAGTTTGGATATATAGTTCATTATATATATATATATACACATATATTTATAACTAATTATATAGTTTGATAGCATCAATAATATATCATTTGGTTACCGTATTTAATACTTAATAGCACTCATTCATATGATTTTCCATGACTATGACTATGATCTTATAAACACTGATTATGCATACGTATATATATATATATATATCATAAATTATCATATTAAACACGATGCCCGTTGAATTGATTATCAGTCAATTCATTCATCATGTTTCCATGGACACATTGTATGTCCACTGTAGGAGGTGAACTCCACTCTGGCCAAGCGAAGGCAGAGCTTTGCTGAGGCCTTGCAAGGACGGTTTAGCTGGTTTAGTTAATGGAACCAACCATTTGATGAGGATTTAATGGGATATTTTGTAGGATATATCTATAATAGTTGTATTCAGAAAATAATATACGATATATGTACGTATATTAAATATACATATATTTATTATACTATAGTATGATTTACATACAAAATCTATTTGACACATTATTTATACAACATATAATGTTGTATATATATAGTAGCCATCAATATGATTCAATGATGGCACTGAATTTGGGGTATATCGCCAAAGTGACCAGTTTTGAATGGGGAAAAGGATGATCAGCCAATGGAATCATCATGAAAATTCCATGGAAACATGCAGCAGGTTGTTTCATGATGTCAGGAGGCAACTTCTACACACTGGGCAAAGAGCAGCAAGAAAGCCTGGCTCCAGAAATTCATGAGGTGCAGTCTTTTTATTGCCAAAGACCATTTTTATGGCCTTTCGGGCAATCTTTGTTCTGGCGCAGCAATTGAGGGTGATGACATGTGATGACTTTCACTACTCTCCTGGACTTCCACCAGCCCATCTGGATGTTTCAGAGATGAAATTCTTGTGACAGGTCACCCTCTCGCGAAGCGCAAGGCTTAACAGCAGTAAAATGAGCACAAGAGACATGACATCATGACATGTGGAAGCAGACTTGACCTTGGTGATGGAACCAAAACTGGATGTTGCGACTACCCTCCAGTAACATAGACAATGGGAAACCCAGATTTTGTAGATCAGCTTCCTAGCGGATTTCCATATCTATGGTAATTTACCAAATGGTTTTTTCTCGTAAAACATGGCTCAAAGATGGACGGCAAAGAATCAACGCACCTGACTCTGATTGCAATCATTCTTGGCCATGGCCGCCATGGCCACTATGGCCATCTCCTGGTGCTTGCTGGTGCTTCAGATTGCAGTTGCACAGAATCAAAGTTTGGAGTTGCGAGTCGCGAAGGCTTTGGGTAGCAAGGTGAGCTCGGGGGCAGGCCATGACGATAGTTGGAGATCATATTTACAGGGCTGGAAAGGGGTGGTGCAAGGGCTGGTGTGTGGGTGTTTTCTCATATCATGATTGTGTAGAGTGGGTGATGATGATTATGTAGTGAGAATAATGATAATGAAACTGGTACAGACATACAGACATACAGATACATACGTACGTACGTATGTACGTACATACGGACATACGGACACAGGGACACATGGCCATATGGACATATGGACATATGGACATACCAACATCCAGACAGCCAGGCATGCAGACATGCAGAAATGCGCAAATGCACTCATGCGCAAATGCACCCAGGCTCAAATGCACGCATGCACGCATGCACGCATGCACACATGCACTTATGCAAACATGCAAACATTCATACATGCATACATGCATACAGACATGCACACATACGCATACACACACATGCAGATACACAGACACACAGACACACAGAAAGACAGACAGCCAGCCAGCCAGGCAGGCAGGCAGACAGACAGATAGACACATCCATCCATCCATCCATACATCCATACATCCATGCATCCATCCATCCAGACAGACAGACATACATACACACATAGACACATACAAACATACAAACATACACACAACACACTTACATACGCACATACGTTACATTACATTAGATTACATTAATATTACATTAATATTTCATTAATATTACATTAATATTACATTAATATTACATCAGAATACGTACATTACATACACTACATACACTACATACACTACATGCATGACAAACTTACCTACATATCTACATACCTGGTATCTACATAAATACCTGCGTAAATACCTACACAAATACTCACACAGAATACCTACATGAATACCTATATATATATAAATACCCATATACAATACCTACATAAATACCTACATAAATACCTACATAAATACCTACATGAATGAATACATACATACATGCATGCATGCATGCATGCATGCATGCATGCATGCATGCAGACATACAGACATACAGACATACATACATACATACATACATACATACATACATACATACATACATATTTACATATGTTTAGGGACAGCGTGGTCTTTCCTCATATTTTTCTGTTGGATCAAGTGACTTTGACATTCAAAGTCTATGGCACTCTGTTTGACATAGTTGCAACGTGTTGCAACTCAGACGATTCACAGATTTTTGTTCCAGCTATCGACTTAGTGAATCTAGACCAGTGAGTGATGTGAAAACTTGGTGGATCCATGAGGCTTTGTCAAGATACACTTATCCGACTTATACTGCATCATTCATGCAAAACATCGGATAAACCATCTTTGACTACCACAGTTTCACCCCGGTGTATCGTAAACACCAAAATAGTAATGAATAATGATAAATATACACAAAACAGTTTTGTTTTTTGACATAGAAACTATAGGAAACATCCTCAGATGTTGAAAAATCCCAATTTCCCGTAATTTATTTTTGAAATCTTGGCATCCTCAGGGCTACCAGAAAGTTCGAGTGTCTGTGATTGCTGGCAGCCAAGATGATGCAGCGGATTTCCCATTTTCTTACAGGGAGGCCTTCAAGTACCGCTGGACCCGGAATTTTCTCCTCAGCTCTTTGGTCGAGTGTCCTGGATTTTTGCCCAGCACATGGATTGGATTGACAGGCTTACACCATGGGTTTTAGTAATCATTGTTATGATATGTTATGATCATTATTGTTGGACTTATTAAAAACCGGGAATGGTGACCATTCCCCCGAAAACGCCATCCATCAGAATATATACCCCAAACACCCTATGGGGTAATCAGCCAATGATTAGCAAACTCTCGTGTCACACTATCAAATCCACCACTGCTCAAACCTTTGAACATGCAGAAAATGCTGAAATTAGTCAAGGGTGGTACGTAGCTGCTCTTAAGAAGGTCACTGCGACGGGATAGGGGTCAGTTGCCCCTCTGAGCGCTCAGAAGTGCACACCGCCTCTCCCCACCAAACCTTTGGCCATGGATTTTTGATTGCATAGCCCCTCTTTTTTTAAAGCCGAATTAAGATAATACCAGTGAGGTGGTGTGCAGTCCGGAGCGCTCAGGAGTGCACAAGGGAGAGGGGCAATTGACCCCTCTCCCGTGTGCAGTGACTATCTTTAGAGCACCAAAACTATTCTAAGTTTAATTACTCAATTTTCTCGATTCGGCACTTTACTACTAGTACATCTAATATCGGAACAAGTTGCCTTCTTATTTTTCACATCTCCCTAGTCAGTGAGCCACATCTAGATGTTTACATCCAGTCAGAATATTTGGCCAGATCAGCTTACTACATAGCATGTTGACCAGGGAGCTGGGATTGTTGTTTTGCAGCTTATCGGTTTATGATGGTTTCTGTGTGTTTTTAAAGAAACCTATCAGGGACTATTAGACTATCTTAAGTCCACCCCAGATTTCGAGACTCATCCATAATTTAGTCATACTAAATTTCAGAAGCTATATACTAAATCCATCATTTTAATCATCTATACTATTTAAGACACATAATTTAATCATCATGAATCTCTGTACAAAGATCTGAACAGCTTCAGCCATGGGACGCTAGCGGAAGATTATGCGTAGGAACGCTGCGAACGTCACGATTGGGCAAGCGTATCACGACTGAGCATCCAAATCAAGCGTGAGGCAAAACAGGATAGAAGATCATGACTGAATACCCTTGAACAATGTTGGAACTCCAAAGAAAAATGGTAAGGTCCTAAGATGTTGAAATCAACAAAGCTGATCAAATTCACCAAGCTGAAAGACAGGCATGGCAATAGGCTCGGTTTTTAACACCATGCAGAAGCGATAGCTGACTTACACCATGTGCAAATTCTGCCCTTCACCGGTTCCCGCTGAAAATCATAGATCAAAAATATTGCGGCATGACTTTGGAATCTGAATGATTTCACACAGGCAGGTTTTTGCTGCAAAAAGATGAAGCCAGGCAAAGCACCTGGCCATGACGAGATCAGCATTGACACAATTATATGAAGCAGCGAATATTTTTGTGTTGCTTCCTAGACCTGCCATCTGAAGCCCGAAGCCCATTATGTAGACCTGCCTCAAAGATCCGCAAAACATAGATTTAACTCAACTGAACCATAAACCATAGATAAACCATAGATTAACCCTCAAAGTTCGGCCAGGCTGAAGCCTGGTGCGAATGTCTTGCAGATCCAGGGACAGCAGGTGGTGATCGATCTCCCACCTGAGGTGGGCTTTCCGAGGAAATTTTCCGGAATGGCCCCTAGTTATTAGTTGGTGTACAGTGTATATAGTTTAAAACCCCATCTAAGATGTATATACCGTGGACAATATATTATATATATGTGGATATAGGTTAACTCATAACCATTAAAAAAAAAATATTAAACTTTAGACTATCATGGATATCTCCACATATGTCCACCACAACTCCTATCTTGAAAAGGGCCCACTCCCTCTTGGCAATGTTTTTCTTCCACGTGCAGGATCGTGGCATTCGTGGCGTTTTCTGGGCTGATCCCTGCTTCTCCAGTCGCTACGTGGTCTGTACCTTTGGCAAAGCATTCCAGACCCTGGACAGATCAACGACGCTGCTGAACGCTGCGTTCGAGGACAGATCTATGGACCTCTTCGGACTGCTCGGGGTTCCACGGCGGGGATGTAGCTTCCCCAGTTATGGCCGGAAGATATGGGGAAAATCATGGGAAAGTGATGATATGTCATGATATTTCATTGATTTCCTTTGGGTATTCCATTCTCAAGAAATATGTGTGGAACAGGGTGAGGTTCATGTTCCAATCGGCCCAAGGACAATCTCTACGATCAAGGCGGTGAACTGACCCAGGACTTCTTCAGCCGCGTGTCGCTGAATGTGAAACGTCGCTTCTGGCTGATGGTCAACGGCAATCACGACAATTGGGTTTGCGGTTTCCCAATGTGTGGCAGACCCCAAGATGACTTCGGGATTGGACAGATGCAGTACTATCCGATGGATTCAATTGCTTCACAAGACAACCAGGTCTTTTCATTCGATATTGATCCTGATCAACATCGCCAGTGGAATCGGTTTTTGAATAATGCCAGCAACTTTCTTTTCTACCACAAGCTTGGCAACGTCCCTTGTATGCAGTTGTGCCATGTTGTGCCCCCTTTCTTGTCATACTTTTTCCATTGATAATTGATACACATGGAACACAGATGGGAAGTTGGGTTATATTATGTTATATTGGTCATCCTCATGCTCTGCAGGTTGGTTTCTTGGGATATACTGGAGCAGCTGAATTTGATGAAACCCTGCCACATTTGCAAGCAGCTTGCGCATACTTTGCAGAAGCGCAACCAGAGGCCTGCAAGCTGATTCACAATGTGAGTGAAGCCCTGAATAGATCAGCATTGCCCATGTGGTTGTCAGTTTCTATAGGGTAAAAAGATATAAAACGCCTCAAGCCGTGATTGTATTTCCATGTGTTTCCCATTTTTGGATATTTTTGGTACACAGTCACAGGATGTCGTTTCGGTTTCGGTGTCGGTTCTTCCAGACCTCGCCCCAATTTGCAAGGTCATTTTCCTGCTGGGGCACTGGAATCACGAAGGTTTGGGCTGCAGCAAGCGGATGTCTGTGCCGGAGATCCGTGCTGCCCTCCTCCAGATTCCCGGTTGCTCCGGCTTCGGCAGGCGCCCGAAAAAAGATCTCAATGTATTATACTTGTTTCACCAACAATCGATCTGTCAAAAAACAAAAAGAAGTAATTATTATGTTGTCAAAAAGTGTCAAAAGATGATATTTCCAAACTTCGACATGCTTTAAGCAGCCCATGGCCAGCACATTGCCACGGACCCCTGGCCCAGGCGTTTGAAATACATGGATGGTCACAAACATTGCACCTCGGCAGTCTTTGACAGATTCACTAAAAAGTTGTTATTGTTAATTCATGAGTATGGATGGGCGCTTATAAGAACCCCTGAACCGTTCAATAAATCTATCTGGTGGTTAGAGGGAGCTGAGGGGCTATGGACATCCATGTTACTGGGGAGCCAAGGAGCTACTGAGAGTTTCCCAACCACCTCAATAGGTTTTGGAACAGCGGTTTGTTTTTTTGTTCTGCAGGATGGCTGCAGAAAAAACCGGCTTGAGCGCCACTTCAACGAAGTGCGCACTGCACATGATGCACTTCAGATCAGCCATGCGTGACAGCCATGTCTTGATGTTGCGGCAGCGGTCGCTGCAATCTTCACAATGTCACAAAAAGCCGTCAACACAGATTTTTTCTGGTCAGCTGAGGTAACTACATCCAGGCGAAGGATGAGGAGAGCAATTATGGTTTCATGATCGGTGGACACGGCATGGCAGATGTGATGTGTGCACCACAGTATGGTTTTGCCTACTTGGACACCACCAATGATCGGATTCGCTTGTTCTACTTCGAAGTTAGTGACTTGCATTTTGGATTCAGGCCTTTGGGGACAAGATGACGTCAAAAAAGTATATTGTAGGGAATATTCTTGCACGAACCGAAGCAACATGGAGCAAAATGAAGCAACGAGTGAATCCATGCAAGTGGTTTTTCCCTTAGACTGCACAGTTGTTGCGAAACTTTGTTTCCCAACAACTCCGCACAACCGCCAGACTGCGGCCATACTGCGGCCTGCTGTGGACGGCTGAGGTCACAGTGGAATTGGAGGCCTGCTGGTGGGCACCGCTTTGGGTGTGCCACTTGGAGCTCTGCTGGGAGCCCTTCTGGGCAAGTGCATCAGTGGCATGAGTGCTGCATGCCGCAATCCTGGCAGCCGGCGGAGTCTTGGCGAGGGTGTAATAGATGATGATGAAGGTATATGAAGGTGATTATATACTACATCTATATTCTATATTATATATATAATTATATATAATTATATATAATTATATATAGTCTTATCTTCAAGAATTGATACATATATATAATATAGACTGTATACATAGAGATACAATTGTGTGAAATATGATGATAGTTTATGAGTAGGCCAGGATATGTTGGGTAATGATAGCTTCGTTTGGTGTTGCCAGGGTGTTGCTTCTGAAAATGTTGCATCCAGGAAGTCTTTGGCAATGCTGAGCTGTGGTGTACTGGGAGCTTTGCTCGGAGGAATTGCGGGCTACTTGCTGGGGGTATACTACTTGAGCCCGATCTTCCCTTCTCAGGAGCCAGGGTGGAGACCATCACTCTTGTTTCCGAGCTATTTCAGAAAAACATGGCACACGATCCTTTTGGCGGTGTGCCTGGTTTTGCGCAGGGAAACATGTCCAAAAGCACAAAACACTATATGTGTAGGACATTGCCCAGACACTGCTATACATGATAATACATCACTGCTTGTATCAGTATCATCATTAGACTCAAGATGATTCAGTTTTTCCCCTGCAGGATCGGTACCATGACATCTTGGGATGTGTGCAAGCCAACGGTGGGCTTCACGGCTGCACTTACCTTGCACAGCAATGGTTGAATGAAGCTGTGGAGCCCTCCGAGCGGCTTTGGATGTAAACTGTATCAATCCCGGGACTGCTCCTTACCAGGGATGGCCGCGGCCGGATGTCGTGGATTTTTTTGCGTGAAGGCTGTGAAAGTCATCAAAGATGACTGTTGTACCTTCTAGCCGATTCTAGCCTTACTATTCAGCTGTCGAGGGACGGATTAAAGATAGATGACTTGTATTGTACAATGACTCTAACTACACATGCTGCCTGGTTGTTTTAAACTCACTCAACCTCCTAATCTTAAATACACACGTATATACCCAGCGAGGGACCTCAACTCAACTCATGAATTCATCCAATACTAAATGTGATTTGTTTGAGGGTTTTTTTTGTTATTCGAGAGAAGGGAGTCTATTTGATCCTTTTTTTATCTTCCCAAGGCTCAAAAAACTGCCGTGACAGGTCCAATGGCTTGACATGCGCTCTGCAGTGATGCATGCTTTCACTAGCATGAATGGCAGCTCGACGGTGATGCGCAACGGGACGAAGGGTGTTGAGGGAGTCCATGGCAAATTTACCCTCTGAGACTCTGGTAATCAACCATTCCTGGAAAATCTTTGAACACCTCCCATTTATATCCATTTATAATGATTGAGTTCGATGATTTCCCAATTAAATATATGATAATATATGATATCAGAAAAGGTCCATTTGTTTATAATTGTTTATATGCAAAGTTTAAGTTGTTTCCATCTTCCAAGTTCAGTAGACCAACCTGTAGGATCGCTTTTGCCTGTGAACGACTTCCAAAAGGAGGACACCCCCGGGGTCGCAACTTCGAAGTGGCGAGTACTATGAGATGCTGAGACTCAGAACCGTTCTGGATTGATTTCTTTATTATTTCTTTGAGAAAACGGAAGAATTAGTAGAAATCCATGGTATTTTGATGTATTTTGCCTGAGTTCCAAGTTTCATGGTTTTTCCACTAGCTGTTCCCATATATCTCCCATATTAATTTTCCCAGCTACGCCAAATTTAATCTTGCTGATGATTTGCAGGAGTTTCATCGCATGAGATTGAAGCGGAGGGATCCCATGTTCCTGACCATGGCAACGTTACTTGAGGCCGGGGTTTCTAAAGTCATGGGGCACCACCAGTCGTCATGATGGGGTAACATATATACTAAGTCATGGTCATGTCTAATGACTTAAGGATGATGATTTAGGATGTTTTTTTTGGGTACCCCGATGACAAAGCGGAAAACATCCGTTTATCCAGCGATCAGGTGGACTGTGCAACTGTTCAGGTCGATTCGTTCCCATCTTTGCAGAGTCTGGTGTCGTACTCGGATGGTCTTGACGAAGACAAGGCGGATTTCCATGTCACGACTGTGATAGGATGGGAGGATGATGGAGGATGAAAAAAACTGTTTTGAAGCAATTTCGGAGTGGAATTTGCGGGTATATCTAACTTACCTAACCCATCATATACCCAAATATCTCCAGGTAATCCAGGGACATCCTCGTGTTTCTCCAAGCACGGTACCAGGAGGTTCAACGCATGCAGTGGCTTCACGACGGCATGAGCCCAGAAGAGGTCCGGACGATGGTTTGATCAGGTGAAAGTATGGGTAGATTAAGATTAGGGTTCAATAGTATGCAATACATTAAGTAGACAATGATCACTATATGGCGAATATAATATATGGATGGTCAACTTTTGGTTAACTTGTGCATTGATTGTCGTGAGATTATGGTGTAACGGAGTATTGACGAATCTATAATTGGTATCACTCAGCTTGTGGGTTTTGCAAGCTTTTGCGGACCTGTAGACACTGGTTGTTTCTGTGGTTTTTAGCTGGATGGCACTGCTGCGCCGGATAGTTCTGTGCTTGTGATATGCACTTCGAATAAGGGCCATTCCTGGGGTTTTGGAAGCCGCAGAGACAGTGGAGACTCTCACAGACTATGATATAATGGGCAGTTATGTAATGGCAGACATTGCATTTGAAACCCACAGGGATCCCAGTTGCAGATTGTGGAATATTTATGAATATTTGGTGTATCACAACATGTTCCGGCCAGGCTATCTCAACTTGGCTTGCACATACATTTTGCGTCGCACGTCTACAGACTTTTCAGCATCATCATGTTTTTTTTTTCCATTTCTATAGTTCTAGGAAGCAATTTCAATTTCAATGTGTTTCATATGTTTCAGCCAAGTCGCTTGTCATTATTTTACATCTTTTTTTGTTGCGTGCTTCATAGCTGGTGCCATGTGTGAAGAGTATCGTCGACGCCTCTTTGATCCGCAAAGCCTAAGTCTTCCACGAGACTTTGTTCTGACCAAATTTGCGGAACGAAAAGGCTGAGGTTGTAAGGTGGGGATGGTGGGGATAGTGTGGGGTTCCCAAAATCATCATAAATTTCATCTTAAATCACCATATAAATCATCATAAATCATCATAAATCATCCACATTTTGATTCATTTGTTTGGTTGGATATTTTCATGAAATAAACCCGCCAGCTGGGGGATCCCCCATCGGTGTGTTTCCAGGTTGGGCAAGACAAACTGACCAGCTGGCTGGACAACATCGGAGATGGTCGAATGCTGACCGAAGACTCTCCAGATGTTTCTTTGATACCCATCGGTGCCGCAGGAGGACAAAGTGAGACAATCTATTTGGCAAGTACTACAGATTTCTTTTCCCCTATCTCCTTGGATCCATACAATCAGGGCCGAATTGCCTGTGCAAATACCCTCTCGGATCTCTACGCCATCGGCGCTCACCGGGTTGACACGATGTTGATGATTCTCTCAGTGTCAACGAAGATGGAAGAAGAACATCGTGATATCGTGACCAGGAAAATGATTGAAGGCTTCAACGATGCTTGTAAAGAAGCTGGGACCAAAGTCTCGGGAGGTCAAACCGTCTTCAACCCCTGGCCCATCCTGGGGGGATGCGCCAGTACTACTCTCATTGAGCATGAAATCATTCGAGCTGATGGTTTGCAATCCGGCGATGTCCTGGTGTTGACCAAGCCTCTGGGATCTCAGATCGCTGCCAACTTGGCACTGTGGCTTGGAGATGAGAAAAAATGGCAGAAAGCTTCGGCTGTCATTGATCTGGACACTGCGCTGCAGGCCGTGCAGAGTCTTGTTTTGTCATTCAAAGTTGGCACCGTTTTTTGTTATGGAAAAATCGTCACACTGACGTACTGTCATATGGAGGTGTAACAGTGTAACTAGCTATCTTCATCCATCTTCAGATTTTCCTTGCTGCAATGCCATGTCATGCCTTTCCACGTTTCTTTTTTCAACCTCCACAGATGGCTTTCCTTTGTGCACTATCCTCGGGAAACCTTGGTGCAGGGTTCAATAGGGTTCATGTGTTTTCCTCCAAAAAGGGAGAATCCTTTATACTCAGAAGGAAAGCAACTTCTTTGATTTGTAGGGGATCGCATCTCAGACCAGTGACGTTCATAATTCGTGAGCGACCAGGCTATAATCGCGTGCAAGTGGGATGTATTTGGATATCACCACCACTGGATCATTAGTTGATCCAGGAAGGGGTTGCTTCGTTTAGAGTCATATGTATCGGGGCAACCCTCATTGAACACGATGGTAAGTGGACCCTATAAACCGTCCAACATGTTTCCCATTTCATGATCATCATAATTTGGACAATCCAAGAAGCCCTATTTTTAGCAATGTTCATAACAGGTGGACAACTGGGTTATGCAACTGTTTGGTGGTTTCAATATATGTTTTATGTCCAATGTTCAACGATAGACATGTTCTGATGATCATGATCATGACTGTCCTTTTTTTTCCACGAGGTGTGGCGCGACAACCCACGAGTTTTTGACTGTTCAGTGATTCATCCACTAGCTATCACTAGCTTATATTTATTTCATCTATATCCATCTATCATCATTTGAAAACCAAGTGGGAATGATAACAACCATGAAATCTCCAGATCAACCAGTGTTTTTCAGTCTTCCGTTGATCCAGTTGATCCAGTTGATCCAGTCGATCCAGTTGATCCAGTTCCAAGGAAAGCCGAGAAAGGGATGATGAGGCTCAACCGGAACGCTGCCAAACTCATGTGCCGCTTCGGTGCCAATGGTGCCACGGACATCACAGGCTTCGGCTTGTTGGGACACGCCAACAACCTGGCAGCAGTGCAGAAGGCTGAAGTCTCCATTGAGATCCGCAAGATGCCTATCATCAGGCGAAAAACATCAAAAAACATGAGGGAAAAACCATGAAAAACTTGGAAATCTCAATGTTGATCATCACTTTACCATATGTTCCGAATTGAAATTCATGTTTGGGGTATCCATTTTTTTTTGTACAAACCCATTTGGCTGGAATTCGTTGGTGAAACAATGGGATGATAATATATAAAAAAATATATATATGATGCTTCAGTGAGTAGATGTGTATGCTGCATACTTCGAAAACACCCCATTCCCACATGGACACGTCAGTTGCATATTGATGCAATGCTTGCAGAATTGTTCGATCTTTCAATGCATTCTTTGTTCCAGGAATTTCTAGCAGTTTCATAGCTTCAGATGCAGATTAAAAACTGAAAAAGCCTTGAAAGCCTTGATCTTGGATATCTTGGCCAGGGGTCTGCTGGCGTTGGAGAGTTGCGTGGATGCCAACTACCAACTGAGCAAAGGCTTTTCCGCCGAGACCTCTGGTGGTCTGCTGGTCGCCTTGCCATCACTCCCTTCTGCGCAGGCAGTGGATGCGGGGGGCAACGGTCCCAACCCAAATTTTCTCAGTTCAGTATACTTCAGTAAGATTTCGTAGTCTGGAAATGCCTGGAAGGTTCTGGTTGCCCTCTGAAATGGGAATACTGGCATAATCTGGCATACTTAAGTTGTTGACACTACTTAGGTTCTTTATTGGCATACACATTGATGCCAGCGATTTTGGCACAGGACTTTGTGGCTGCTTTGCAATCTCCCGAGTTCGATGGACCCGAAGCTGAGGCATGGATCGTGGGCGAGGCACGGCCACCTTTTTTGGTTACAAAGATGTTGGTTTTCTGGGCAGTGATAGGCAGTGCAGTGATATTCAAGGGAAAACATATGAAACTTAAGATTTTTCAAAACACAGCAGGCATAGTTCCAGCAGCATTCTAGCACTGTTCTAGCTGCAGAGAGATTGTAAAGAGATTCGGCTCGGTAGTGTTTTGGCACAAACCACGCTGTTGTTGACCCTTGACACCCTGCAGGTAGTTGCAGGTGACCGAACGGCACGACTGGCAGAAAACTGCCAGGTGATGGAAGTCTAGTTTGCTTCGAGCCGCACCTATAGGTATGGGGGAGGATGTTGAAACATGTTTTTCAACTATCATGAGCATTAGTCAGGGCCATTCAGGGGTTCAATTTATGCCGAGTTCCTCCTAGCATTTAAACAATCGGAACAGGATGTATGGTAGGCACTTGTCCTGCGACTTGTGACGTTGTTCGCACAGAAAATCTGGTGCGTTCAGTGGAGAAATACCGCAGCGGCTTGTTGTCCCATTGACGGAGTTTTGGAGATGCTTGAAGACCCACGCTCTTCAAGGGACTCACGAGTGACTCATTGTTACAGAGGAAGAGTCCTCGAAAAAAATGGTGCAACGTTGCAGTTGAGCGATTCCGTTGATGAATTGTCAGGAGATGTCAGTGATGTCAGGAGTCTGCGAAGCCAAAATTCATAGCCGGAATCCTGCTGCAGCTTGGGGAAAGACAGTGTACAGCTCCCCATTGAGATCTGAGTCCCACCATGTCCCACCAAAGTTGTGTGGCCATACGACCTGGCTCGCCTGTGACAGTTGTTTGGTGGGCAATGATGTGCAATGATAATTGCTGCTGGATTTCATGGTGTCGCAGGTGATCAAAACATATCAAAAATGTGTTTGGATGCGGTTGCAGTTGGAACAAGCTACTCACAGTATCTCACAGTGGCATGTTGGAGAGCAGGTCCACCATTGATCAGTATTTTATATTATTTTATATCATTTTATATTATTTTATAGTATTCTTTCATATGGATCAAACGCCATTGTACATCATATGCATCCATGTCAGGAATCGACATCATTCTTTCATATGGACCACCTGATATGTACTACTCACGGGGATGAAGCTCCAAATCTACATCCATAGCCAGCTATTAGCTTTCAGGTGATGGCCAAGTTCAAGACCCACAATGCACCAGCACAGGTTCGGCCGCTAAGCTAGGGGTGGGTGTTTTTTTAAGGATACCTTGGAAGAAAAACCAGCAACTTCATGCAATTTTATATCACTTTATAAGGGATCTAAGCAGCTATCAATGGGAATTTCAGATGACTTAAGATGATTTAACCTGTTTGAGCGGCAAGAAATTGCATCTCACCTGGTTGATGATGTGTCGCATGCACTCAGATTATGGCCATGTTTCGCACTGCAGAGGCTGGAAACGGTGAGTTTGGGGGTTGAGAGATCTCAGAGGTTTCAATGGGAACATCATCCAAACATGGCGGATTTTCCATTGCCATGTTTGCTTACCAGGTACAAGCTGGTCTGGTAGTCATGGCAGGATTTCAGACAAGATCTACTTCAAGAAAACTAAACGGAACCGCCGAGCAACAATGATACCGATGATTATGGTCCCCGTATTGGTACTTAAGGTTTCACTGACGCATGCTCACACTAGGGGTGAATGAAAAGCGCACATATCGTGCACAGGAGCGGGCGGAACTTTGGCAACAGCGAATGAAGGAGGACCAACTAGCTGTAACATGCTGTAACTAGCTAGCAATGGTGGCTGAGAAGATCCCAATCCCAAACTTCTCAAACTGGGAGGTCATTGAGAGCCGAGAAGTGTTTGAGATTGAGTCTGAATACCATCTGTGGGATGAGTTCCCATCTTAAACTCTTGAACTGTGCGAACTGAGGTGAATTCAGTGGCTTCAAAGCAACAGAATCTTGATATCAGCAGACTTTCTGATCCTAGTGATGGATGTGATGGGCTAAAGTTTAGTACCTCCGAAATTGGATTCATCTCCATCCCTTTTCAGTAAAGTGTACCAATTAGACCTTGCCAAAGCACAGCTGCCATGTCATGCGGACAGGAGCAGCAGGCCCGCCTTTGAGGAAAAAGTGCGTTTCTGACCCTGACAATTTGGCAGATCGCAGCAAGGATATTTGGTTACTATTCTATGTACATGGCATGCAACATTACATAGTAAATAGTAGCAATGTATATGATATATAATACCTTGTGCGAGAAAGATGGATGACAAATGCATACGCGATATAGCCCAAAAAAAACAACAATGAGGTAATGAGCAAACAAGGTATAACTGTATAACCAATGACAATGCAGATAGAACGCAAGAATAACTAGCAGCTTGTCCATGCAACACTCTATCGCTATGGGTCAAAACTGTCACAACCCTGGAACGGATGCTTTATTATCCCGCTACATCTGGGAACATATGTTTGACCCATTCCAATACCCATACCATTCAAATATGGTCTGTTTGCATACTATATATCAGCAAATCCATTCATGAAGCATGGGATGGAATGGGTCAAAACTTCTGATCAACCAATTTACTCAGATTCCATTCCATCCAGCATCTAAAAAACCACCCAGTGATGTAGGTGACATCATGACAACCCATGGATGGTGACATCATGACATCTAAGTGACCTGAGGCCTACCATGCCAGATGCCTCAGCGATTCGACGACAGTCAAGAACTCAGCTGAGCTGGGTAAAAGACTCAACGATTGTGGGAACTCAAGGGTTGTACTACCGACACATTCATAAGATATAGAGATATGGGTCTAGATAGGCTGTGTAAAGGGCTAATCTTTTTATCAATTATGTATTGAATGTGTCGGTTTGCTTGCTGAATCAAATGAATTGCTTTGCGGATGTGAGGTTCAGTGCTCCAGTCAGCAGGATAAGGCAGCTCCGTCATACCCGGCCTTCGGGGAAAGCTGAAGGCGTCTCTGATACCTGGGACCCTCACGGTTCTGTCGCCAGGAGTCATGTGCCCTCGCGCCAAAGTGCTCCAGGCCCATCCAGCCCATCCAGTTGCGGTTGTACAGCTGGCTGCGTCCGCATGCCCTGGATGGGATGATGTGCTATGGCATGTGCTCGGAATGGTTGGAATGCTTGGAATGGGAAAGAGATACGTAGGTGTCCTGTCAGGACCTGGAATTTTGGGTGGTCATTATAAGACGACTGTTGCATGCCCAATGTTCCTTGGGAGAGTGGTGGTTTTGGGTCCAGCTATCCACAGGGACAACGCAGCTCCGACCAGTCAGCACAGTACTGCCGGTGCGGCCCCAAGATTTTTGCATTCAAGCAAAGATGGGACTTATGAGCTAAGGATGGAGATTTCATACTGATGGTGCCAGTGGCATCCAATAGATTTTTGCAAAAGATGGAGATTTCATGCACCAATGGCACACTACAAGCCTTCAACATGGAAACATTGTGTAACATCCTTCAAGATGCTGCAGGTGCATCAGTTGACGCCCCGTACACCGCTGGTGACACCTCTGGGTATGGCCGGCAGATACCTCGGGGATGGATCAAAAATATGACATCCATATATGGCTGGGGAGAATAAAGACCTGTTTACGAGCTATTTCGGAAAAAAAACAGGACTAGATGATGGTTAATCAATGTTAATTATATGGTTTTTGGCCATCGCTTTTTACCTTGGCATAACCCAACACATCTTGCATGGTGGGGCCTCAATATGTGATCGTGAAAGAAACCAAATTCCTCAGAGGTTGGAGTGTAACGACTCTTTGGTGTTTTAGGCCGTGAGTCGTGTGAAATCCTCTTGCAATCGTTGCTGGTGAAACATCTTCAAGGATTTTGAAGATTGCTAAGGCTGGCAGCCACCGAGCACAGGAGGTGTGATGGGGTCCTCTGATAAAGCCACCAAGCAGAGCAGTACCGTGTTTTGTAATGTTTTGTATTTGGGATAAGTTGTACTCGCAACAAGAGGATGGGCAACAATTATACTACATATTATATACATGTAATATGGGTATGTCTGAAAATAGGGTAATATAGTAGCATGATGTAGCATGTATTTGTTTTATCTTATTTTCCCTATTGAAATTACCATTATGGTGGTATACCCCATTTTGAGTCATACCCGTACTGCAAAGACAATTTTTTCGGAAGTTATATCCAGCCTGCAGCGTGATTCAAGGAGTAGGACGTATTTAGGACTTTGGGACTGGTCGGCAACGGCATGGGCAATTCCGGGCTGTTGGGCTGCTGTTTGACTCTTGGATGCATGCTGAAGACTTCCCGGAGATACCAATCCACGGAACATTCTCTTTATCGAACATCATTCGCACTACACAAAAGTATCCCCCAAGGTTTCCTATCAGATTTCCTGAAAAGGACAAAACATAGTAAATCGTATACGTTTTTGGTCAGTCATGCCTATTGTTGAATTTCGTATAATTTCGTACTACTTTTGCAGTTATGCAAGCCTGGAACTGCACAAGACAAGGCGCAACTCGTGCGCATTCTTTAGCGCTACACGTGTGCAATTTCAAAAACTTGTACATCAAAACATCGGATTTTGCTTGTTTCGTCAACTTTTTGGGGAATCGTAGGAGAATCTTCAAAATCGGATACTGATCGGATACTTTTCAGTTCGTGCGTTTTTTAAGTACATTTGGCGGTCCTTATATAGATACCCCAATAATCTGCACACATGTAATAGCCGCTAGCCATTCCCATCAGCAATCAGTTTTAGGATATGTTCGAATATGGTTGAATATACTCAATATACCAACGCATACTGTTGAAATGAATTTTCGACCAGGACACAGTGGATACTGGCCATAGCGGGTAGCGCTATACCTCTCATTCGCCCATGACCCAAAATATCCTGGTGTATCCCAGAATTCACAGGCTGATCATGGCATCATGACCACCTTTTCTGGGATGAATTCATAGTGGTTATATCTCCACATACATCTCCGCCCCGATCACCGAGGAACAGCCACCGAGTGGAGGCTTCGCTCCAGGCCCTGCCGCCCCAAAAGAAGCTACGACCCCTGCTGTGCGACTTGGAGGTGGGGACCCTGGGGACCCTGGGGACCCAGACGTCGGGATGGATGGGTGGCTGAGGGGATCTGGGGGAGGGTGAAAACAATGGTCGGACAAGGCTCAAGGGATCGAATGATTCGAATGCGGATATCATTGGGTGGTTATATGACGGGGATAATATAAAAACATGTACAGTACAACCAATAATATGAATTGGCTTTGTCCAGAATGCGGGACCTCGGCTTGTGGCCATTCAATCATGAAGAAACTGAGATGGTCAGCAATGGTCTCGCACGCACTGTCTACACGGCAGATGGTGAAGAGACCACTCGGGGTATCTTGTGTATCAAAGCAATGCGGAGATACACTTAATGAAACATTGGGAGTGTCTAAATCAATAGGGGTACTGTGTGGGAATCATTTTTGGACGCAAACAATAATTTGGTGTTTGTCCAGCAAACATGGGGAATGTAAGCTCTTATCGCCAACACATGGAAATAGCGGCAGAAGCGGGGATTCAAGATACAACCAACGAAACCGAGAATCGTTGCTTCGGTCTTTATGCTGCTACTCCTACTAGTTGTTGGTGCTTCCCTGATGAACAAGGGCAACAAACTGATATAGATGTCAGAATCTGGACAAACGGGAAACGTATAGTATATTCGTATATAATGTTGGACGCTGATTAGTGTAGGGCCCCCCCAAACAATTTGAGTCTGCTCAATAAGTCGCAATTGTCTTGGGGACCAGGTCTGGGGAACTCAGGATGATCAACTTAAGTAAGGATTTCTATTGAAATGAATCTACTTTCAATTGATTTTCCTTTTAAACCTCAAAGAAATCTATTGATAAAAAAGGATTTTAATTGAAATCAATTTACGTTCAATTCATTTGAATCTACTTTCAGTTGATTTCTGAAAAAACGGGGTCTAAAAAAAAACTCACAATAGAGGCCCACCCCCCCAACCTCACAATAGAGGACCATGACACTAATCAGCGTACTACATTATTCAAATATAAGTACACAAATCTGATTAGTGTGATTAGTCCTCCCCCAGTCCTCAGAAGGTTTTCGCAGACTTCAGGAACAGTTCAAGAAACATGCTGGAGCTGACCAAGCTTTGGATCAGAAAGAACTCGCTGAGATTTGGATCAAGGCCTGGTAAAAATTGCCAAGTCATATGTCTGTCAATTTCTGATTTGGAACGTCTAACTGATTATGAAACAGTTAACTTTGGGGTGTTGGATCTGTGAAACGTCTAACCATGTCTAACCAAAGTTAACTCTTTCATGATTTTCATGTCTTGTGAACTTTGATCGAGGCTGCAGAAGTCAAAGTAGGCTCGGCCCGGCTGTCGCGTTCGCGGTGTAGTCATAAAAACTGATAAAACTCTGGGGTGGCCGGGTGGCCAGGAGATCCAAGAGATCTGAAGAGATCCAGCGTCTTTGACCTTCGGAGCTCTTCATTTCTGTTGGGCCCATTGGCTTCTTCGATTCGCTGATTCGCTGTTGTTTTTGGTGTGGTAAATGAAAGTACATGTAGCATCATGTAGCTACCCCATGACCACTTCATCGTTGTTGCCGAGAAGCACGTTGCGCAACGAATCAAGCCGTCAGGGACTTGGCCAGCCCTGTATCCAGGCAAAGTGTCGGCTGAAGAGGCGGCCTTCATCGAACAAAGCACCAAGGACGAATGAAAGAACTCCTGGGAATCATCACTTTATGAATTGTAGTAACGCCGACTCCGGCTTAATAAAACTGCCCCCTTTCCTATAGGTTGACAAGGTCTTTTTGGTGGTCTAAAAACCCACCCCCAGTAAATAAACCTTCACATCATTGATGAAAAGAAACAAGAAAAGTAAAAGAGAAAGGCAAAGGGCAAAACAAGACAAAACACACATAGGGCTGAGGTGGACTTTATTAGTTGGGGGGCGCCCGGCTTTAATTGGGGGAGACCACTCATGGGGGGTACCCTGTGTGAGCTTCCAAAACAATTACTGATGCAACAAAGATCAAAAAAACACAAAGACATTAATCATTTCAGGGATGATGTTTTTTTTTGTTTCAGTTTTTTTGGTTTAAACGAACCATGACGGATCAACAACATTATTTCCCCAATTACTGTAAAAGTGAAAGGGAATCATATTTATTTTAGATTAGTACCACAAAATTCTGGGGGTGGTAGGAGATGTTATTTCCTGAGTTACTATATAATTGGAGGTGGAACAACCACATTGTATTGCCCAAAAATTGGGGGTGTTATTTACCAATGAGAGTCTTACTAATCCTAAGTTGACATTATTGTAGAATTAGGCTTTGGCCCGGTGCCAGCAGATTGTTGGGTAGCGCTTGCCATGTCTTGCAAGGAGTACTTCCAGATTATGGACACGGACAACTCTGGAAAAGTCACCTATGCCTCTTGGGTGAAATGGTGGCACCGGCACACAAGCCGTTGTTTGTTGCACCTGGAAAATGTGTTGCAGTGTTGCACATGTTCTGACCCAAAAATGGCAATGCAGATTGAATGGTATTTGTGTTTCATGTAGGTTGCGATTTGATGTGATTTGACCGTCTTGAGTCCACTACCTGGATCAGTTGACTCGTGAGTTCCCTGGGTACTACTATGTGTTACTATCTTTTACTATATCTCTAGCCTTTCTTCAAATACCCAGGAAGAATTTGTTGCTGGCATGCTTGGTGGCAACGAAGATGTGGGTCACATGCGACAGATGCTTGGCTCAGTGTAGAGCATTGTGTGCAAACTTGCAACGTGTTTGCGCAAAAAAAACAAGTACTGCTAGTTTATCCTTCACAGGTTCATCATTATCATGTTGAAAAGTAATGAAAAGTACAGACTGCATCAGATTGAACCTTTTTTTCCGACACTTTATTGAGAGTTGTCTACAGTTTCGAACTAGTCTTGGGATGTCTTTGGTATCGACAAAACATGACGTTCAACTGTAAAGATGCAACTCAACAGGGGTTCAACTACTAGCTCAAGCAAAATAGCAGAAATCATGGGGTACTCAATTCCAGATATTCCAGGTCCAAATCCAGTTCCTTAGGCTTCGACAACACTTGAACGCCTCCATGAAGCAGGATCCAAAGAAGCTTCAGAAGTTGCTTGAAAGCAGACGTTTCTGAAGCTCTGATCATGATAGATTATACATAGAATCAATGAATATCATGGCATCATTGACATACATGCTCTATCATGATCTATTATGATCTATCATGATCTATCATATCAATAAACTAATTATCATTAATTATCTATAATTGATGATATAATGTGTGTCTTGTCATGCTATTTCTTTGTAGTTCGGCAACTTCGATCATCGTTGCCGGCCCGCCAGGTTGATTTCCGAATTCAGAGAGTGGGTCGGAACCTCAGAAACATTCAGAAGGCCTTTGAGCTGCTTGGGATGACGGACTGATGCAGGGTGGAGTATGTACTGTCGTGTATATTCATATTTAAATGATAATATTATAATTAACTTAATTACATATATTATATATAATATGAGTAACAATACAAGTAGTTGGGATGCAAGTTTGGGGAAAAACGCAGATGGTTCTTTCAAAGACTTGCCAACATTGGAATTGTTTTCGAGGTGAGCAAACAGCTCCAACTCCCAACATCTCTCAAGATATGATCACACGTCACTACTGTGATGCCTATATGGGGATGGGATTATTACCATATTTGTGGCAATCAACATCCATTAGCCAGCTATTTTAGGTACCGTTTGGGTCCCAGGGTTTTGACTCATATCCGTATTCCGACATGAGGACAAGAACGGTGATGGTTATGTCACAAAGGAGGAACTTGAGGCCAGGGCAGTGCTGCAAACCATAGGATTTCATCAAAACCTCGCACGGTACACCTCGATGTAAACAGAGGATTTCTCAGGTGTTGCCATGTGTTTGATTACCATTTTGGTATATTTTGGGTAAAACAATGCCATAAACCATCCCCCAGTCATCACCATTTTCATAGGTGGTATAAACTATAAACCATTCCCAAATGGGTGGTTTATGGCATTGTTTTACCCACATTATGTCATTTTATGGTGTTAGCTTTTCTTATGGCATCGCTGAGCCTTGGCTATGCCAGGAGCACCTTGGAAAGCCACTTGGCAAAAAAGCGCCGAAGCGTTTGACCCGTTGGGCTGGGTCAAATGGTCAAAACCGTTTTTTTTGTTGATGAATATGTTAATGAATAACAGCAAATTAATGACACTGACATGAATGACAAATATAACTACACGAAAAAAATGCAAAATGGTAATCCTACCTACCAGTAGTATCTACCGCACAAGACGGTGGCAGAAGTTTCAAAGATAGGAAACTATAGGAGAGGTGAGTTGTTGTGATGCATGGATGGCAGAGTGAATCCGTTGATGGACCGAAAGGTGATTGTGATTTTTGGAGTGGTTGCGGTGGTCACCTCACCCGCAACTGTAGGATGTAGTGTGGTGTAGAGAAGTGCACCGCAATCGCAGTTGTAGTTGTAGTTGTAGTGTACAGTAGTGGTAGTTGTAGCTGTAGTTGTAATTGTAGCTGTAGTTGAAGTCTAGTGTAGTGTAGTGTAGTGTAGTGTAGTCGAAGTGTAGTTGAAGTTGTAGTCGCGTTGTAGTGATAGTTGTGGTTGTAGTTGTAGCCGTAGTTGTAGTTGGAGTTGGAGTTGTAGTTGTAGCGTGGTGTAGTGTAATTAGTGTAGCGTAGTGTTGTGTAATGTACTGTAGTTCTAGTTGTAGTCTAGTGTAGTGTAGCGTAGTGTAATGTAATTAGTGTAGCGTAGTGCAATGTAGCGTAGTGTACTGTAATGAGTACTGTGACGTAGTATATTTGTCTTTTGTATTTGTAGCTGTAGTGGTAGTGTAGCGTGGTTGTAGCTGTAGTTGATTGCAGTTGTAGCTGTTTAGCTATTTATCTGTCTATCTATCTGTTTGTCTTTCTGCAAGTTTGAAAACGAAGCAATTCTGCGAGATTCCTCACTTTTTGACCTTGACAACTTCAAAAGCGTGCGAGACTTCCCCAATTTTCGAAGTTGATAGCATCAAAAACGAAGCAATTCTGCGAGACTTCCTTCAACAATGGAACGCTGAGTGCAGAGCTGACGGCCTCGTACCAATGCCTCTCAGGAAATCAGCGCCCTGACCTCTTAACATCGCTGATGAACAACATGTCTCTTGTACTGCGCCTGCCACGCGAAATACATCTTTGCAGATCCTCTTGAAATGTCCCACACCTGCCATCGTTTTTGGGAAGGTGTCGCAAAACCACATCTGAAACTTTAAAAGCGGTCCGAACATGTGATGTTTTTAACATTTTGGCTTGGAAATACGCTTTGCGCCACAACGGTGTGCAATTATTCAACATATGTGCTCCGAACCTGGTGTGTTTTGTACATTTTGACTTCGAACTGTTTTTGAACATCTCAACTTCGAAAAGTGGTCCCAGACCATCAGTTTTTAGCACTTTTGACTTGGAAATGTGCTTCGCGCCACAACGGCGTGCAATTTTTCGACATGTCAACTTCCAAAAGTGCTCCGGGAATCAGAATTTCAAAACCATGTGCGTTTTCTTGAATGAATTGTTGAAACAAGCGCTCCGGTTGTTTCGACCAACGGCAGGCTCCAGGAATTGTCGGTGGCGGACGGCAAGATCACTAAAGAAGAGAAAAGCAAGATGGACCAGGCGCCAGAGGATGACATGTAGGGGTTGTGCAAAAAATGTGTGTTTTCCCAGTATACAGTATACCCGAAGTTGGCAAATTCAATTCCGAAAATACGTGGAAAACTATGGATTTCTCAAAATGAGGGATCCGCAAGTTGAAACCTTTTACAGCAAGGGTTCTGTGTTTGGTAACGAACATAGTAATTAATTGGGGTTCCCAATTCTAGGAAACTCGAACGTAAGTATGTGCCAGACTCAAACGGCACCCTAGTTTTCACACGAACATAATATAATATAGATGTTGTTTGTGGATGTTCATTCTCACAACGATGGTATTATTGGTAATGACCCAGTTTGTATTTTTTGGTTGTTCCAAAACAAGAGTTTCACTCGCTGAAGTGGACCAGTTCAGCTATGACCTTCAAGACTCGCTGTCCGCAAGGTTAGAAAGATGATGGATGACGTTTTTGCCAATGCAGATGCGAGGCTGCTCAGAAATGGTCTCAATTTGCAGGACACTGGTGATGGGGACCAAGGAATATTTGCAGCTGAGAAGGAGCATTCACTTTCACACCACTAGTATATTTTTTTAAACCATAGACCTGACCTAGAGTGCTAGAGTGCCAGAATTGGATAGAAGTGGATGAGAAGGGAACATGTATAGAGGAAACAAAACCATTTTTCATGTATAACCATGATATCCCATGCTGTTCCTGGTGATGTTTTAGGGTTTCTTCCACGGGACCCTCTCAGGTTGACATGGACGGCAAGGTGGACCTTTGGGAAGTCATGGCCTATATCCTTGGCCGAAAGACGCATGGCTAGAAGAGCGAGTTGCTCTTAAACGTGTTTCCAGTGGCTTCCGCGCAAAAAGTTTTCTCACTTCTCCAGGTGTTGCAATCTTTCTTGTGCTGCAAGTGCAATAAACTGTTCATTGAGATGAGTCTTCCAGCAAACATGTCAATTCTTGCCGTTTTACACTTTGCCATTCTAGTCCTTGCCATTTTAGATTGTTTCTCATTGCAAGCCAAGGAAACAACCCGTTCGGTTCTCAATGACTCAGCGATGTCAAAGCAGCTGCTAGTAAGATGCATCCATTCATCAATCAGAAGTTCCCGTATCAAGTTTAAAAAAAATCAAGACAACGGTACTTGTTCTCAAAGAGGTAGAACAGTAACAACATATCATATAATTGTTATATGGAAGGTGAAACTTGTCCCCAGGGAGGTCGAAGACTAACAACTTATGGAAAAGTGGAAACCCATCAATGTATCCAAAAAGTCGGGAAACTCATGTCCATTCGTTTTGAGGAACTGTAATACAGATACAGATTGAAACAACCACCATATCATTACCAATTACCACCAACAACCCATATTACCATATTGTAATACATATTTTGTTATCAATATTACATATTATTATTGTCATTAATATGTTTTTGCTATTATTGTTGTTATTGAGCTATTGATACTATGAATGTGATAGAGCCAACGGTTTGTAATTATATAAAACTCCCCCAGGATTTCTCTCCTTTTTTTTCAGGTGGAGATTCTCTTGTACGACATCTCCAAGGGCATGGCCGCAAAGCTAGGACCACTGCTGCTGGGGAAGAGCGCAGAGGTGAGGACCTTGAGGGGGTATGGCCGGGGGTCATGAAAAACCCATTGGTACCCTGACTTTTACATCCTAAAAATGAATAGATCTAGATATCTAGATAGAAAATGATAGAAATATAGAATATTTATGAATATTTGAAGACATGTTACTGGCCTGCCCATTTCGGGTCATAGCAAAGGAGTCCTGGCCTGTGTAGTTTTATGTTTTCCGTATGGGATGATTAGGGCCATGCCATATCCCCTGGTTGTTTTCAACCAGCATTCCTCAGCATTTTGCTACACCCCCAGGCCATTCACACCGGCGTGTTGGTGTATGGATCTGAATACTGGTATGGTCTGGGCCTTTGAAATCTTTGATTGTGTGGTCATCTTGGTTCTATCCACTTGGAGGTTCCCATTTTAATGGGTAATCATCCAAGTCAGTTGATCATTTTATAACTAGGAATCCCATGGTGACTTGGGGATCCCACATTTTAAGAAAGCCCAAATTACTTTGACGCGAGCTGACCAAGGTGGGAGGCTGTTCCGCAGTGACCCACCCTGTCGTAAGCAGTTTGGAGAGCCCTTGACCAGTCCTTGGGGCATCAAGCTGGATAGGCCGGAGCAGGTAGTTCCATAGTTCATCAATACACATCTGTGGAATTCTTCATAGATCCATAGCAGATTTGCAGATCATAATTATGTTAAATTATGTAAATATATTATGTCAATATAACTATCTTGATTGGATAATACTATAAGTGCATTGGAATGCAGATCGGTGCATTGTTGAAGCCAGTGATTTGTGGAGGTCTGAGCAAAAGCCTGAACTGCCGGTGGTGAGACTTGGGTACACCTTCGTGACCCATGAGGCGGTTACGCGAGTCATGGAGGTAGACCCGATAGACCCGGTAGACCCCCAATCATTTCATGTTGGTGTTCCTACTTAAAAGCAACGGAAAACAAGTGGAAAATCACACGGAATTGGATGGAACTGTATTTTTTTTGGTCCAAGATTTTCCTTACTAATTCATATATACCCACATTTGGCAGTTCTGCGAGTAGTTGAACTCGGTTAACGCAGAAATCCACCTCAGCTGTGCAGCTCCAGGAGTTTGTTAGCTGGCTGCAAGCCGAAGTGAAGGACGGGTCCAGGGCGGTGAATGTCCCAGGATTTTGCTAAAGCCCCAATCAGTTTACGGGCCAGGCGGGTGACCAATTTTCATAGCATAGCAATTGATCACCATTTTGGGGGTAACCCTTCCAATTACATCCAATTACAGGTTGACACTATATAATTCGAGATTGGTGCCAGATTGATGGACTACTTGGCTTGCTACTATGTTGCATCGGTTTGTGCTGTTCCAACAAACACGCTACATGCGTTGGTGACAGAAGCTTCGCTCATTCCACGCAGCAACCAGCATTTGATATGACCGTAGTGGGATGACATCATGGAAAGCTCGGAAAGCGGATCTGCACAGGAGCGATATACCGGCCTTCACACCTACGACTTGCTCACGCACAGCTGCAATCATTTCAGCAACGAGGCGGAGGAAAATCCAGTGACTTTGTGGTCCTCGGTCCTCAATGGGTCTTGTGGCAGAGGGGGATCCCCAGTTGAATATGGCACTTCCTGGCAGGTGTGCAACTTCCTGCTAGGCCAGGGCATTCCGGAGAAGATTTTCGAACTGCAGACTCTTGACCGATGGCAAGCATCGTGAGAGATAGAGACCTCGAAGATGTTGAAAGGACTTGTACACAAGTGGAATGGGTCAAAACCCTGGTACCCCAATGTCCATTCCCAAAATGAACAGAATAGGCTTTACCCATGTTGGTGGTGATAATATTGACCCATGGCCACATAGACCTTGGATCATTCTGTCAAAGCGTATGGGATTTCAATGACAGTTGCGGTATGGGCCTGAGGAAGACTTTCCTTACTGGCCCAATTGTGGCGCTACGTACCTTGGTTTCTCATGGTTGCAACTAGCCTTCAGAACCGGGCCTGCAAGTCGGTGGCAAGGCTGACATAGATGCAATTAGAGCTTCAAAAACCATTGATTACTAATTAGCCTGGAATCTTTCGAACAAAACTGGGTGTGGGATCAGGTCCAATCATCGACCGGCCATATCCGGCCATTTTTATCCACTTTTGTTTTATTGTGATTCGTGATGGTTTGTTCTCACAATGAAGCTCATTGAACCCTTCTGTGCTCAGGTCCCTTCTTGAATCGCTACTTGGGAGGTTTTGCTGATGCCCAAAAAGGGATTGCACAAAGCTTAGAATCCTCATCTCACGTTGCATCGTTTGTCCGTCCGTCCTTGAAGGATGATCCTTCCCTTGGGAATGTGCCCCTTCAGCCAAGGATGAAAACTTCATGGCGAAGGCCACGCAGACGAGCAATTGCAAAATGTGTGCTTGGGGGTGTTTTGACTGGGAGCCCTCAGAAGCCGAGCTCAGCTTTATTCAGCTTTAAGTGATGATCTTTCCATCTCTTTCCAGGAGGTTTGATGATGTCCGATGTGTCCGATGTGTAATCGATGTGTGCACAGGACGGTGATGTGGAAGGCGGAAAAACTGCAGAGGACCTCAAAGACGAGTTGCTGGGTAGTGGCGACGTGGTCCTCGTGGAGGCCGCTTTTGCTTCTTTAAGGGTGCACCTATATAAGTCCGGAATGTTTTGGACATTTTTGGACTATCCCAAAGAACTTGAAATATCGACATAATTTTAGCTAACTCAACCTCTACCTATTCCAGGCCTCAAATTGTAAAATATATATAGAATGAATCGATTTGATACCCAGTGAACTGCAAAACTTTCAGCAGGGTTTGGTGGTTTGAAAGGGTACAACACGGCCTGTTTGTGCAACCATATGTTCCACATAAACTTTTCAGCGTCAGGGTTCGGAAATGAACACACTCTTTAGATCTCTTTAGATCCTTCGTCATTTGTGATCGTATTAGCGAAAACCGACAAAGTTTTTGGACTGATTCGTTCTGGAAAAAATATGACACGTTGCGACGTTGGAATGCGGTTAGTTTGAATTGGGGGAATCATAATTTGCCATTTTTTCAGGATGAATCCTTATGATTTATCCAGATCCGTTTGCATTCCCACTAAAACCCTATTACAATCCTGTATATGTATTTATCCCATAATCAGCAAGGCTTTTTCCCGTCTATTGTATTCCATCATTATGTCATATTATGTCATATTATGTCATCTTGTCATTTTATCTACCTCTGTCGCAGGGTGTTGATGGCATTCATGGTGCTGTGCTGGCCACAGTGCTGAAGGCGGCGCCGTGGGGGGTTTTGACTAAATATTGAGAAGTCAAAGAAATGATGTACTATAGTAGATCATATTAGATAGTGGTAGACGAGGACATTCCAGCTTCGAGCAGACTCCGTGACCACAACACGGTGCATCATTTGAATGTCAGTGAAGCTGGGTTTGCACGGTCATGTTTGCGCTTTGGCAGTTAGTGGCTCCAAAAAATACATTCTATATATATCATTCTATCATATTCTATCGTTCTACCCCACCATAGACAGCTGCCAACTGCAATTGCCAACTGCCGGGCAGGAAGAGAAAGGAAAGTGCGAGATCAAGTACTTCGATCCTACCGAGCACAGAATAGAGACAATGCCCCTGGCCGCAGTGTAGAGAGGTCATCTGTGGACTTTGCGATGGCCTTGGGGTTGGTGTATGTTGGTGTTCACTGCTGGTCATTTTGGCGACTGTGTTGGATGCACCAGTCCCACCAAGGAAGGGCGTTCCTATCTCGAAGATGAAGAAGACCACAAAGAGCTGAGCCAAAGAGACTCACTCTTCGGATCTCTTCGGATTGAGGTCTGAGGTGGAGTCCAGGTGAATTTGCCAAAATCCATCCATTCGAATCCATTCCTTTCAATATTTTTCAAGTGTTCATTTGCAAAAATTATCAAAAATTGCTGTGTTGATATCAGACCTCACAATGCACTAGCGCGAGTCAATGTACTTGAAGTTTCACAGTTGTAAGGCCTGGTTTGCGATACAGATCCAAGAAAATCGGAAGGTGTCGGCGACTGGGGTACGGGATTCCGATGCTGAAAAGCTTTGGGCACCTGACCTATCCTGTCGTTTGCAGACCAAGTTTTTAAATAAGTTGGCCGTGGCCGCACATGAAAAGTATTGAACAGTTGGAACATGTTGGAGATCTGGATGTTTTCGTCACTTCAACATACTTCAACATACTTCAACATACTTCAACTATTCCCTAACAGCAACCCTGCAGTGTCTCAAACTGTTTGCAGCACATGTGTGAGTTGGCTGACGAAGTTTCACCGTCACCACGACATCAGCTGCCTAAACAGCAGTGAGAGGCAAGAAGGGTCGACTCCAAATCCTTGGAAAACACAGGATGTCCAGCATCAAATTTGTTGTTCATTACCCTTTGGTAAACTAACATAACTATGGAAAATCACAATTTTTAATGGGTAAATATCAATCATTTCTATGGGCGGTTGTTCAATAGCTATGTAGCAAATTAGCAGAGGGTATACTGTACATTGCTGTACTATTTTTTCCGAAAAATTAAGTTTAGAACCATCCTCATAATTCTGTGAGAATGCGTGTCACTCTTCCTTTTGAACCTTCTTGCCATGATCTCATGAGTTGGATGGCGTGAGCCTTCCATTGCTTTTGCTAGCCTTTTTGCACTTCTGAGAGCCCGCAAACCTAACGGGAGGTTGGTGGCCATGTTCCTTAATTTATACAAGTGAAGTATTGTATGCTTTTTCCACTTGCCAAGACTCTTGATATCTCTTGACTGCACCAAAGCAAAAGAAATCAATGGGCTTCCCCTTTCGAATATGGTCGTGTTTGAATGTGATAGACTCGCTTTTTGTGCATAAGATTTCTTGCAGCGTTTCTTGCCGGAGATTTTGATAACCTATAGAAATCTATAGAACACCTGATCAGCAAATTTGTGTGGTGGCCATTCTCACTTGTTGGATCTCTATTGTGAATCCGTTCGAGACCTTGAGCTGTGCGGTGTTTCAAAAAAGTGTCTCAAGACATCTCAAGATGTTGTACGGATCCTGCCTTGAAGCAAAAAGGTCGTTTCAACAATGTGCATTCTTGATGCATTTGTTTGTGATCATGGGAACAAGAAAGGTGTTTGTCGCACATAAATTCTAAATATTTTTTACGTTACTGTTTTTGTAACCCAATTTTCCTTCGGCTTTGTGTCAAAATGAAGTTTGTTCTTGAATCTGAAGATATGCTCCTGTATACTAAGTCAAACCAACTCATTTCATGTACAATGCCGCTGACGTGTCTTTTGCTGGGCGTAAGATGGCGTAAGACATTTAACTTGACCTTTCGCCCATGGCCCATCCTGATCCATCCCGATCCATCCTGATCCATCCTGATCCATCCTGATCCATCCTGTTCCCGCTTTGACTTGACAAAAAAAAGGTGATACTGCCCCTACTGCCCCAGGCTATTTTCCCTCATGAAATCATATTCAATCAACCAGCAACTGAATTTTGAACAACTTTTGGGAGGCACCCAGATGGTGACTGCTTGACAGGTTCATTTCTTCTAGCTGGACATAGCACACCACGAATGGTGACGCAGCCACAAGCTGCCCCCATGGTTGCGCCACTGGTACCGCAGGCTGACACCGGAGCTTCAAAGCGCAGGGTGTTCTAGGTTCTTCTAGGGGCCAGATTTGAGCAACATCCAACATCATCCGGTACATGTATGATAGTCATCTATGGGGATTGGTTGAACATGAATATAGCATAATTCAGCAGAATATAGCTATGCAACATTATGGATCCACTACTGGGGATGAACGTCCTCTTACCAGCCATTTCTGGTGTAAAAACTGTGTTTTCTGACCCATGGCCGCGTACCCATACCGTACTGGTACCCATCCAAGAGATCCAAACCACCAACAACATCCACTAACAAAATGAAGATCTCCAGGTTGCCAATCCTCTGGCTTACTTGACTCCAAGCACTCCACGGAAGGCCGGTGTCCGCCGCTTTAAAAAGCCATGTGTTTGGCCAACGATCACTGCAAGGAGTATAGGGAGTCAAGGTCGGCGCAGCCACACCGATTTTGGGCGATTCGCAGTGGTTTGATGCAGGTGCCCATGATGACGGCTAGACCTTCGGTGAGGCGGAATCACGGGAAGTCCAACTATTTTGTGTTTCAATTTATTTCATACATCATTTTACATCATTTTTCTCCTGGATTGTCTTGGACTTAAAGTATCTGAATCATAAGATTCATACATATATTCAATCAATATTCAATCAGATTCACACATTGGTGTCCATTCTTATGGTCAGCGGTTTTTTCAGGGTTTAAAATTCTTTCAGGCCGGACTCGCCCAGTCCGATGGAAAACGCCATGAAGGCAGCCAATGGGCGGTAGACCGCCCCTTTCAAATGGAGGGTTTTTATGGGAATATCATGGGAATATTTTGGGAATATCTTGGGAATATCAATCTATGATAATCTATACATGATAAATCATGATTATCTGGGATGTTCATGGATTTTCGGTTTTCATAGTTGATTCCCGGATAATCAAAGATGGATATGAACTGGCCAGGTAATTGCAATGTTGCCATTATCGGCTGCCACCAGAAGCCACGCAACTCTTTCCATCTGCAATTTGACCTGATCTGACATTCGTTCTGTAGCCTCTTCAACTCGATCCATCCCATGTTCATGCTTGTCAAACTCCTATGACCATCTATGAACCCAACTCATCCCAATACATTTACGTTCTTTCCACATTTATATCATCAAGATTTATCAAGTGTTCAGAGCTTTGCCCCTGCGGCTTACTCTCAGAATGCCTGGATGCCGCATCCGCGTTGTGTCAGGTGGCCCGCGCAGCCGCTATGGCAAACTCGGCCGAGGCTGAACGGGATTTGGTTCACACCGCAAGGATCAATGGAACATTTCGAACGGAAGGGCCAGGTGGCCATTTAGAAGTGGTATGTAAGTCGTATGTAAGTGGTGATTTTGCAGATCTTGTAGGTCAAAAAGCTGTGAGAGTGACATGTTTTCATAGAAATGAGTGGCAGCGTGACATCTCCTGTTGACAGTAACAGGACCCACGACCTAGTGACGATCCAACAATGCGTCTCTAGCTTTTTGAATTTGAGACGATCAAGCAAATGTGTCCTTATGAGAGAATGCAGGGTATAGTTATACAGGATCCTGCGAGGATGCCTTAAATTGGATATATATATATAATTAATATTTATAATAAATATGTGTATATATATAATAATTATTATTATATAATTATAATACATATAAGCTGAGAATGGGAAGTACCCCTTTTCAATTGGTAAATATTAACTTAATATATCTTAATATATATTTAATTGATAGATCATGTTAGTGAACCATAGGTATCGCATTTGTCAAATTTGTTGGATCCTGGTTTCAGAAAATACTTTGCACACTAAGCAGCAGCCATTTGTTTGAAACCGGCGGTGTTAAAATTCCTGCAACATAACGCATATTAACGCCCTATTCTGATCTATGATCCAAGCCAAAGTTTCCAATTGCTGTGATTCCGTGGTGGATTGGATCGGTCAAATGTCAGACAGCAGCCTCTGCTCCGAACACACCTCGCTACAGAAGTGAGGTGCAATTGTCAGTGGCTCATGAATGATGTATGGACTTGTCCAAAAACGGCCATTTGAAACACGAGACATAGGAAACTGATGATCATTGGATCAAACCTCAAATTTTGGGCTGGGGAGTCAGGAAAGCTAGACGTAAGCAACAGCGATCTGCATTAATGTGAACACTCATGTGTTGCACGCGCAGATTTGCTTCTTGCCTAGGGCCTAGGATCTATAGATTGCTTGTTGCCAGAAACCGTGGCGGACCTTTGACATTTGATGTGTGGTGTTTATCTCAAAGTAAAATGCAGCAATGGCGGTCCAGAGAATTACACCAATTGCTGATTTTGCAAGTACCCGGTGACTTCGCACGTTGGGACATTCCTTGACCGCGCTGTCGCCAGCCTGTGACTGCGGAGAGTTTCAACGCTATGGCAGCTGCTGCGAAAGCGGCGGCACAGGCGGGACATTGGCCATGTGGGGTACTCGGTACGCCACTTGATTTCTCCCATTCAGATCCATTCAGTGCGTTCGTTGCATTCACTATGATATCTATCATTTATTGCATGTTGAACGCAGCAAGGGATTCTCAACTTTCAGCTGAATTTTCTGAATCTCCCCATGGTTGCTGGAGAAAAAAACAAACATTTTGTGGGCTCTTCAAAAAAGGGCAGACATGCTACAGCTGCACAGACCATACCATTACTGCCAGGCTGCACCTGGCATGAACATTGTGGCTAGGGTCTCAGGATCGTTGGAGTCAACCCATCTCAGCTGTTGGGGGAGTGTTAGAGAGAGTCTATGTGAAATTTGAGTTGATCATGATGGTTGGATATCATGGATTTTGCTGATTCATGATTGATCACCAATCAGTAGCATTCTCAATTTTGACCACCAGATTTAAGTTTGACAGAGGGTAAATTCTAGCAAACCATAGCAAACCTAAATCGGAGAAATAAAAAACCAGGGGATTCGCGTCTCATTGCGTGTTTGGGCACACTCTGGTTGACCAACCCTTGGTATCCTATGCGCCATGGTGAAACCATGCTTTATTGTCCCAGAAAAGGGGCAAAAGGGGGACAGTCATCCCCAAAAAAAGGGATCCAATCATCATTTTGATTCATTTAGTTCATGTATATTCATGTTATATACCCGTGATGATCCATGATGTTTGGATTAGTATGGGATGGATGACCATACCACCATGAATGCCATGCAACTGACCAAATCTGCACCGTGTCCACCGTGTCCAGGTCAGACCAATCTCCACTGCAGAGATGGCTTTGTTGAAGCAAGATGGGAGGCATGGCTTTGTTTGTTTGCATTTCAAGGGAACTCATGGATATTTTATGGGAAGGCATGGGAATTCATAGATATTTCATCGGATTTCATGGAGATGTAATGAAAAAAGCATGGGAATTACATGGAACAACTTCTTAGTGGGATCTTTTACCCAGCAATTTAATGGCAATTAATGAAAGAACACATGGGAATTACTGATTGATGATGTGTTTAACCCAGAAATATGATAGTTGATGCTTTGTCTAACAATGGGGTATGGTATATACATACCGATTTAATGGCCATTTGAATGGGGAAAACATTGGGGGTCGGTGCATGTCATGGTTTGTCATGGATGGACAACAACTGGACGTGCGGATTGGTCAGCGGACAATGACGCACAGAAAGACATGTTGTTTTTCAACTGGGATTATCGGGTAAGCGGAGGGTTGCAAGCTACTTTGCAGTCCTGTAGCTGTATTCCCATGCCTTCCCAGTTGTTTGGCCCCACAGCAATCATTCAACCCAAGTTTGTGTTTAATGTTTCTATCACTATAATGTTTCTATCACTATTAATGATATATAATTAATGAATATTAATGATTAATCAATCATTAATCATTGCAGTACTACTTGTACCTAAAGGAACTCGTTCTTTGCCGGATCAATACAATCGCTTCCCCGACAGTCGCAGGCAATCGGCCAGGAGTTTGCCCTCGGAGAGCAACCAGATGGTCAATGATGCACCTCTGCAGGCCATGACATGATGCCCTTATAAACTCAGTTTAGAGTATGTTTCACATGGTTCATTAAGATTCATTAAGAGCATCCAAATCTGCAAGCGTTTCAGTCGGGCTGACTGGAAATACTGGAAATTGGTTTGAGTGTCAAGTTGTATGTCAGGTCGTAGAGCTCTTGAGTGTGAGACAGATGGACGCCCTTTCTGATCCCGATCTGACTCTGATCCCGTACTTGTGTTTGACGTGACCAGGATTTTACAACAGGTATTTTTCTACCCAACTCGGGGAGAGTGATATGAGTGGATGAAGACAAGTTCGTGCTGCGTTTAAATGCGATGGTCTCAAGTTTTGGATATATCCCAAAGATATGCTTCGATTTGAAGACAGCTGGGACCAAAGTCGTCAAGGACTACTAGAGTTACTAGAGGCTTGAACGTCCCCATTATTCTTGCTAGACATTCTGACATGATTACTGATCGTTCTCCACCCCACCTTTGATATTGATTATATAATTATATATACGTACATATATATATATTCATATCAAGACTTATCACGGGTATATATCAAACTTGCTGTAGATAGATACCCCACCAAAACCATGGAGTTCCCTACTAAGGATACTTAACAATCACCAATTTGGGATGGTTTGGGGGTCCAAATTTGGGCACCACCCTTGGCTCCACCCTGGAGGTCAGTGCAAGTGCAGTTCGTGGAGATCAGCTGAGGAGCAAGTGCTGGTTGAAAAAATGGTGGAACTTGTGGTGAATTTGAGTAAACATCTTGGGTATTCTATGGGATTCCTTGCGTTTCATGAGATTTTCTATGGGAGATATGAATGTTTAATAATTTAATATTATATAATTATATATACAATACAACCGAGGAAATGGGGGATATCATCAGTTCATGGGCCATTTGAATTGAGAATCTGGTGAGAATCATATTTGGTTGAAAATCATGGATGCACTCAAACTTGCCCTTGTTATGATGATGATGCTGATGATGATGATGATGATGGTGATGACGATGATGATGATGATGATGGTGATGATGATGATGGTGGTGATGATGATGATGATGATGGTGATTGTGATGGTGATGGTGATGGTGAGGATTTTGCGACACCCGGTACCCTCTTTTCAAACAAACTCATACATTTACATACCATAAGCATGGGGGTATTGACCTTTTCTCTTGATGAGGGCACTACTCATTATTACGAATCATTCATCAAGAGGGATCACTCTGGTGCTAATTATATGTTTTTTTTTTTTTATGTGTGTTCAAAAAGTGACACAAAATCCATCCGAACTTCACGGCTTTGGAGCGGAGGAGTTGCCAGGTTGAGCTGGCGGATCTCAGGAAGGAGGCCCTGAAGGATGATCCAATGTTGTTACTATATCTATACATATAAAATCATAATTAATCAATATTAATCATATGCACTATATTGCCATTTATATAAGTTTATAATTGTAGGATGCTTTGCCGTGATGTTTTTTTTTTTTTTTAAATGCAGTCTATGTTACACCAACAGTTCGTCTTCCTGTCAGGTGGATGCCCTTGGCCAAGTGTGTCGGGGTTTGACGCTCTTCGAGGGAAGCCCTTCCGGTTCTCACTTCGCATGAGCTCAGCCCATGTGAGATTGTGATGAAGATGATGAATGATACACGAAGGATTCTGTAGCAGGGACATGTTCATAATTCGTTGGAACACTCACAAACTCACAAAGGATCACAAAGTTACCGTGACGATCACCAGCATGCAGGATTTCATTGTCCATGCAAACTGGAAAACGGGTGAAGTGCGCAGTGGCTCCGCTAGTACTGCGATTCCTGTACGTCCCAGTGGCCACTCCTATTACTCTTGGAGATTAGTAAATTTAACAAGATGGGCCCAGCCAAACTGGCCTATGCTGCCTATGTTAGTCCGTCTCCCTTCTGTTTTGATTCGATTTCTGTGAGGAATCCAATATCATGGCTCCATCCAAACCTGGTGCATCAAGTTTGCAGCAGTGGCTGTCATTTTTTTAAAAGCTGTCATCTCTTTGATCCATATACCATCATATAACTATACTAACATTAATCAACAATATATCACTGGATCGTTCTTGTTGGATGCCCCATCTACACCACCTTCGCGTGGGCTTCGGATGGCCGGTGTCAGGTCTCCGAACTGGTCACCACTGAAACCATTGAAGGACCTTTTCAGCTGAACCCCGGCGAACAGGCCAACGGCCATCAAGGAATGGACTGAACTTCCGAAAATGGAGAAAATTATCTGGAACTTCACCATGTATAGATTCTTTTGATTTCTTTTACATAGGGAAACAATGGACAAAATTGTGTGGATCTTCACCACTTATAGAGGTTTTTTGTAGGGAAAGGATGGAATTCCATGGAATGTCAAGATCTAGTCTATGCATGTCTATGCTAATTTACTGGAGGGTAACATCTTGACCTCTGGGTTGATTGGAAGATATATTTAGTGACTGTGTCACGCTATGATGGAGAATTTAAGCGGAAATGTACAATGATAAGGACTGACCTGGAAAGCAGCCCAATCTATGTTCAACACATTGGCTCAATAACACACTACTTTGTAGTGTACTTTCTTGTCAAATAGTAGAATATTGATATTCTTATACAGTGAACAGTGAACATTTCATGTGGTTTTGTCTGAAAATGTCTGGAATATGTGGGGTATATAATATATACAACACTTTTAGACACACCCATGGCTGTTTCTGAACCCTCCATTGGTGCTGCCCAAGCAACGTGTCGCCAGACTCCATTGGTATGTTTTCAATTCAAGATGTCTCACTTTGTGTGCAAGGCCCGGCCCGCTCCTTCTAACACTGTTATGGGATTGTGATTGGAGCTGATGATTATGGGATTATATGCTATTTATAAATATATTGGGGGATATAATCAATCATCCCAACTGACTGTGTGTGTTCTTTTCCTGGAAGGTCTTGAAACCAACCAGTCGGCATTCCAAAATGGCCGTATCAACCTGTGATCAGACTTCTCCATGTGGAATTGCGGAGTTTAGGGTAAGGAACTTGTTCTGATCCAAAGAGAGTTGCCACATGCTGCCACTATGCAGACTTTCCAGCTCTCACACCATGCAATTCCGCGCGTTGTGCACTCAATGTTGTTACATTGAGATGCCATTGCCAATCTATCAATCCAGTCTGAAACAAGATCATGCGGATTCATGCGGACTATGGATTGTTTATCAGCTGCATCAAAAAATCAACTCAACCTGGTCTTGAGATGAAGGCAGTGTCACTGGGTCAATGCCAAGGGTCACATGCAAACCTGTGCAAAGTGCAATGAGTGGACTATCTATGGGATGGTTTCTTGTTGAATATGTGTTGGTTTCCGATTCTGTTAATGAAACCTCAGAACTTCAATTTGGCGAGCATTGGCGAACATCAGAATCATATACTATATATTATATTATCATATATTATCACATTGACATATTATCGCATGAAACTGCCACTGATCTACACTGCAGGTATACCTGGCTGCTGGAGCAGAAGAAGGTGCTGCAATTGGTGAAACCGTGTCGTAAACAGTTTTTGTGTCATATTTTTGTTGTGCACCAGACCGGTGATCGATGATTCTGTTTCAGCTTATAGCTGACCGGTTTCATAGAGATTGTTTGCATCTAATCCCTTTTTCAACCAGTGACAGAAGGTTTTTTGGTTACTGTACTGCCCAATTTTCGACTCATTGCGTGAAATTCATATTAAGTATGGACCGTCACTGTTTCCACAGTGCAGGAACGCGGCATCTCAAGCTTCAAACCATTTTCGAGGACAATCGAAATAGCCTGATCGAGGAACACAGGCCCCGCCCGCGTGTCATATGGTGTCCCTTTGATTTTGCACAGTTTCGCACAACTCCAGTGTTGGTTTCAATGGTCCTACGATTGTTTCCAAAACAAGGGTATGGTCGCCATCCCCGATGAAACATATGTCATGACACAGAACCCTTTCCGCTGGATTCATCTGGTGTCTTTCGGGTCCCAACGTGAAATCCTGAGGTATTTTATGGCCAACGAGTGGAACAGCAGCAAGCCGTGCCCCAGCTTGAGCAAGCATAGCAAGCCCAGCCTGTCAACGAAGGCAATGGGATAAGCCAAACCTCAGAAGATTTGGGATACTACCAGCGGAAGTATATACGCCATATACGCCGAGTTTCGTTCGTACAAGGGCTGCTGGCATTTGGATCTCTTTGTGGAGCTGTGAAATGAGCTGTTGAGTGGCGATCAGCTCTTGCCAGCGGCGAAGCACGGAAGTTTCAGTCATTTCATTGTGCATGGACATGGGGGAACAACCAAAACATCGTTGTTATGCAGAAATAGCTGTAGATTGGAGCTTTACAGGAGCAGCACCATCAGCACCAGCAACACAAAACCGCAGCAAGGCTCTTGAGCAAAATGTGACTGAACATAGCTGGGTCATGCTGGGAGAGTCTGAAAATCGGCATAAAACTGCCATTGGACGACCACATTAACCAACGTTGCTACATGTGCTGTTGCCCTGGCACGCTGTGGTGAGGATCCCCAGTTGTCCATTCCGAAGATTTCGATCCTCAATCTTCCGTGACAATTGCAGTGTTGCTTGCATGATTGCATGATAAAATGTTTATAAAAATCACATTCTAAGATATTAATAGATACTGTAGCAATTCAGTCACTCTAGATTTAGAATTTATGTTTCCCACATTACACCATTGTCCGTGTCTTCCAATGTCACAGCCTGCCTAGGTGATGTTCAAATTCCCTCACACTCCAACCCAACAGGAACCTTGGACTCAGCATGGTCGTACTTTGTCTTGTTGAAATAGTACAAAGGATATCAAAGGTACAAAATTGATCCAAATTGGTACTGATCATTACTGATTTCTCGACTCTGAAGTCAAAGTATATGTTAAATATTGTTAAAGTATCATCAAGAGACCATGATCTCTACCACTATCCTCATACAACATATCCGGAAATTGGTATCAAACGCCAGCTGCAGCTGAGGAACCCAATGAACGGCCTGCAAGGATGACTGGGGACATGGCAGGGGGGCTACTGTACTTACAGGGGGGCTATTTCAAATGCTAGGTATTTTAGATGTCAACAGGGATGAGACAGCATCTTAATTGTTGATGTCTGCGCACGCATTTGATGTTTCGCAGTGCTGCAAGTGCTTCGGAAGAGGATGAGAAATCCGGATCTCACCATGGGTGATATCCTCGTCCACACAAGAGAGCTGCCGTTGCTTCTGTGGCACAGACCGGAATGTTGGATTTGATATGAATAATTAATTTAATTAGATGGTTTGTTGCTGTTGCTCCGTTGTTCCTCCTTTATTCATATTGCACTGAGAAAAATATTGATTTGACTGATTTGACTGTGGTTTTATTGCTTCAAGGTTTCTCAGTCTTTGATAGCAGTTTGGACTCAAACTTCCTGCGTTTCAACGCAGGAGAGCATCCTTTGGTGAGAGCAGCAAGGAGCAAGTGCACCGTGTGTTGACGTCGCCGTAGCCGAAGGCCTTCACTTCTCAGATCCCAGTAGATCACAGCAGATCCATCAAATCTTCAGAAGTCATGTGGATAGGTGCGCTGGAATCTCACATTGGTGTCCCAGCTGGTTCAGTTGGATCAGTCGACCACGCTGAAGGATCCTGGTCATACCTTGCCTTTTCCTGGCCTGGTGACTGTGGTGCATAGCGAGGAGGCCCTCTCGCACAAGTCCGCAAGTCACTGGGTTCAAAGGGGAAACTTGCCATGGTTTACCCGTCAGCAGCCAAAGAGTGGGAGGTTCCTGTCTTGATTTCCCATGATTCATCATGAACCAAATTCATGATTCTTTGCCAGGAACTTGACTACATCCTGGCTGGCCTGGGAAGCAGGTGCTACCTTGAACTGCATGGCAAAACTGCTGATGAACCGATTGTTGAAAGTGTTGAAAGAATGTCAGTGACACGGGGAGTCTTCACTCATCAGACCTCAGATGAATCACTGGCTGGGTGGCTTCATAACCCATAGGATCCATGTATGCTATATATGGTAACATTTACCATCAATACACCCCAAATGTTAGCATATATACCATACATGGATCCTATGGGTAATTATTTAAATTTCAAACACATGCCACCTTTTCCATCTTTTCCATCCTTGGGATGATTAAGTAACTACTGATGGGTTGAAACCAGCGACATAGATCGTTAACCCTAGAGAATCCCCAAGTTGGTTTGTCTCAAAGTAGGATACCCCGAAAAGATCCGAAAAGCCTCTGGTTGATGGCCATCAAATGGGGTGTAATCCTAGTTCCAATTGTTGGTTGTATATCCCATCATATATCATTCTGCCAATATTCTATGTAAATATCCTACATAATATATTGTAGTAAGTATACAGTATATTATACATGTTGAAATATGTTGATATATGTTGATATATATATATACTACATTGTATCGTCTTTGTCTTTTGGCTTCCATGGCTTTCGGATAGCTTTGTCCGCAGGTGGGTTGTCCTGGAGTTGTGGGCTCCCTGGTCCGCCGCCTGCGCGGCAATTCGCAGTGAGTTCGAGGCGCTGGGTTTCCTGAAATGGGGGTACCCCAATAGCTGGATATAAAACTATAGTTTATAATGATGGAAAATCTAACCGGAAATTGGGATGATTTGGGGGTACCACTATTTTTGGAAACCTCCAAATATGAATGATTGTAATTTCATTGTACTAGCATCTATATTGTTCTGGGTGAATGGGAAAAAATACACTGGCAAGAGACCCCAAACAGTGTGGGGGGTAGGAACTCAATGTACCAGATACAAGCAACAGTAGCTGCTACGGAACAGTAACAGATCAGGTTAAACATTATTGTAACTGCAGCAGCAGGAACTTGTTTTGGCACAGAAGCAACGCTATATGTCTACTCATCAGGACCTCATACCAGAACCTCATAGCAGGACATCTAAGAAAAAAAACAAAAGATCGTCAAAGAAGGGCCTTCTATATATGGAGGATCTAGAAGCTTCATACAAGAACTGCCTACGAGCATCCCAGAAGAAGATACAAGCACCCACGCAGAGCACCTTCACGAATTTAATTCAAGGACCTATTCAAGGATTTCAAGAGGATCTCCTGGATCTTCTCACAAGGATCTGTACGAGATCATGCTGAGGCCTCTGACAGCATTTCACTAGGATCTGCACAAGATCTTCTCACAAGGAATTGCAAAGACCTTGGCCAAGGTCTTCACGCCAGGACCCCTACAAAAAATCTCGCAAAATCGTCAGCTGCTGGAGAAGATCTTACAAGATCTTGATACAAGAACCTCCCGACAGCTTCCCACAAAATCTTTCATCCAAGCACCTCTAACACATGGCATGTGCAAGATCTTCATGCAAGGACCTCCTAGAGAGGACCTCACCAGGATCTCCGCAGGATCTTCTGTTAAGGACGTGTTCAGGATCATGCAAGGACCTTATAGAGAGGATTTGACCCGGATCTCCACAAGATCTTCTCATACAGACCTGTGCAAGATAATGCAAGTTAGAGGATGGCAGCATGATCTTCACAAGATCTTCTTATAAGGACCTGTACAAGATCATGTATTGCCCTCTTACAGGCTCTCATGAGGATCTTAACGACATCTTCTCACAAGGACGTCAACTAATCAAGTAACAGGACCTTGGTCAAGATTGTCTTTTTTATGGACCTCTTATTTTGCACCATGAAACTCGTTCAAGATTGTCGTAGAAGGACCTTCCACAGAACTCATGAGATCTCTTTGCCAGGATGTAAGAGAAGCAACTAAAATCAGCACGTGGCCACAACGAGAGCGATCCAACATGCTTAAAGTCACGAGAAGGTTGCGCGAACACATGTTAGATTTTCACAAAACATTGCATAAACATGCACAAACATTTTGCCAACATGAAAATGAACATTGCGTTTCAAAACGTCATCAAAGTTCAGCAAACACTGCGCCTGCCACGAAAAATGACATCCAAAACCACCTTCATTTTGACCAACGCCTGCCAACGTCAGAAAGTGCCATGCCTGCCACACCGATGAAAAAGTGCCCAATGTCCCGTACCTGTCATGCAAAACGACGTTTTAGACCTCAAGATGTTGCGAAAGTGCCACGCTTGCCACACGAAATGGACATGTGACATAGCTCAAAACACTAGCACGGCGCGCTAGTAAAACGAGACGCTTGGAAGAGCCAAAACTGGTACTTGTACTCACATTTTGCGAGAGCCTGCGCAGTCGAAATGCACATAGACATCTCACAAAGGAACTTGATGCGAAAAAAATGAATTTAAAGTGAAAATGCCGTTCCCTAGAAAGCGTACCCTCATCTAACCCTGCCGTTAACACCTACCGTAAGAACCCTTTAGTGTGGACACCATTTGAGGATTTCCACATACAATTTTGATCCATTTTGAACATGATCATCTGTTTTGGGAAGACTACAGGATGATGTAGCCATGCCACTGTTTGGGCAATTTTGAGGGACTCCGTCACTTGCATGTCGTACTCATGTTTCATGGTTTAGTCCATGCAGGCAGGAGCAATCCTTGAATATTGTAGCGGTGCTTTGAATTTGGGATGTGAATGGTTCCTCCTGCCTTTGCAGGTCTTAGCGAAGAGTTATCCAACATGGATTTTTCTTCGTCACACTCTCAGAGGAATTTGACAAATTTGTTCACTGCCTGTGCACAAAATCTCCACCTCAGCTAAATCAGCCATCGGTATGTTTGGGTATGTCATTGAACCATCGGTATGTGCCAACATTGGAGATTCTCCAAATCCCTCAAAGTAGATTGTTTTAGCACTTTAGCATACTTTAGCAGTTATATATATCCAACTGTGTCCAACGTGCCCCGAAAGTGGTTTATTTCATGTTATTTTGCCCGGAAAAATCAACCGTCTATTTTTCATACTGTGGACAAGGATTGGTGAATGTCCCATTATGGTTTGCAGATTTTTCAAACTACGCGAAAACCCATGATTGTTAGTCGTGGTTCCCCAAATTTGATGGGTCAGCCAGTGAGACGGATGTTCAACCCTGGGTGGATACCCTGCGTAGTTCAATCTGGTGACGCTTCCAAGCTTGGATTACTCAATGGATTGGTTGGAAAAAAAAATGCAGAAACCCCATGAAACCCCATGAAACCCCTGGTTTCTCCACGTTTCTCCCATTAAAAAACCAGGGGTTCTCTCTGAATCACCCCAGGGGATCCCCAAAGGTGCTGACATTGGCCAATTGCCTGGGATTGCGAGCCGTTGGTCTGTGACGTGCTGCCCTGAAATACATTTGCAACGTGCTGAATTTCACCAGGTTTTCGATTTTTTTGGGGTCCTAAGTTTTTAAAACATCCTAAGATATCCTAAGCATGTATTCCATTTATGTTCAACCTTTACTAGACTTCATGTGTTCTTGAAATTTGGGTGTTAAAAACTGGGCTGCACCTTTCACACTTGTGGTAGTGGACACGTTAACTGCAGGCGCATTCCTTTGTATCTCTTCTTCTGGCAGGGCATTGAGGACTGGCACCTCCAAAGTGTTTTGATTCATGTGGCACTGTGGCACAGCACGAATTAGTCCCTGAAGATTCACTAGAATCCCTTTGACAAAGTCTTTTTCAGGTCGAGAAATATGTTGAAGCAACATGTTAACAGTTAACATATGTTAAATTATGTTAACCTTTGGACCATGAAAACAACTATGGAACAGAAAAAAGAACCTATCAACCGGTGCAGCTGTCTCCGTGGCTCCAGTGGCATCCAGTGGCATCCAGTGGTGCAGCAGCAATGGCTCCACCTCCTCCAGTGGGTGCGATTGTCTTCATGTGCCCGGAGGGGGATCGGAAAACCATGTGGGATGATATAACAAAATTATACAAAACCAAATTAGCGTGTTATAATTAATATTAATTAATATGTGTGCTGTTAAAGTGAACACAGAAGCATGAAGGATGAAGGGTCTAGGTTTTCAGATCGGCTGTATTGTTTGCATTCTTTTGGTGTTTAGTTTCCTGCAGCTTTGCCAGGTACTTCGTGTTGGGTTCAGCTCTGTCTTTTCTGACGGGTCGGAAACCTGGATCTCTTCCAGAGGACATCATTGCGGAAATGTTCTTGCCCTTCATGGTGCTATCCCTGTGGGTCATGTCCTACAGCCCAGAACTCAGCTGGAACCACAGCTGACTCAATTGACTTCACTTCTTCCAGACGCTCTCGAAAAAGGGGCTATAACCCCATAGGATCCATGTAGGTTAGGGTATATATGCTAACATTTGGGGTATATTGATGGTAAATGTTACCACATATAACATACATGGATCCTATGGGTAATTACTTACTATTACTTCAAGCTAAGCTTTGAGAGATCCCGATTGACCTTGGATCTGAAGGGATTTGCTGAGGTGTGCTGGATGTCATGGGTGTGGGCAAAGCGAAGATCAAGCACAATCTCAGTGCCAAGATGTACAAAGACTATCCGGCCAGCGAGCCAGAGGATGTTCACTTGGCAAGCCGGGCACAGATGAATCAGGTGGAACAGATGGCCTCCTATATGGTCTCTTGGCGCAAGAAGTTAGTCAAACCTGCTTTGCCTTTCATAACATATTCATAAGTTCAGTAGTATCATGTAATATCTATAGTATTATGATATATTGTAATGATGAATGTATATTTATATACTGTATATTATATAATATGTTTCGACGATACGTCAATCCCAGCATTTTTGCCCCAATGGCTTCATGGTGTTTCCCTGTCCCTTTTTGCTGGGAGGTCTCCACCTTGCTCTTCAGCTTCTTGGTGAATGGACGAGTGGGAGGCCTACTGGCCTTCATTTGGTTGGTTCTAAGAGAACTCTATGCCTCGACATATCGGGCCTCTGCAGGGAAATCCTTGGAGGACGCAGGGCTCATCAAATACACCATCCCATGCTACTTCATTATCAATGGCATGGCTGCGTCGGTGCTTGTCCATATGTGTCGATATGCTCTGCAAAATTGAGGAGCGGAAGAAACAAATGCTTAGCTGACTTAATCTTGCAATTTGTTCGTGTGAATAGATCAAATTCTCCAAATTCATCTAAGATTCTGCCAGCAAAGCAACATGGTGTGGAGAGAAGTTGAGTCTGCGGAACTCGCTGTTCCCCAGTGGTTTCATTTACTGTAAATGAAGTCTCCTGATGGCAAACCCAAAGTGAGCACATCGTTCACGATTCGAGTATGACATCCCTAGTACTACTTCTAGTGACTTAAGTGTAAGTTTTTGTTTCTTGAAGTCTTACTTACTTGGGAATTGAATCTGTCAGAATTGCTTGAAGAAGTCTCACACCCGCAGGGCTCGAAAAAAGCCGCGTGCGTCCGTCACGCCACAGAACTGCTGTATCCTTGGGGAACTGGGACGGTTGCAGGTCCTAGTCCTGACATGTTGATTGTCAATCAAAACACTGGTCACGCCTCAGGCAAATCAAGCCATCAATAGCCATCAATCGATTCAATAGCGGGTCTGACAGCAGCAAAGTTTTGCTGTTAGGAGACAGAGTTTGCTGGAGCATCTGTGTGCAAGCTGCTTGGCTGAAAGCTTGCCTGACATTACGAATTTGTTGCAACTGGGCCATATTGGGCCACCGAGGTTGCGGGAGGTGCTCGACGATTGCACCATGTTGGGGCCAGCTGAAGTTGCGGTGCCTTTGATCGAATTTCTGAAAGTGATGAAAGTGTGGCCCTTGAGTCCTTGAGTCAGCGCTTGATCTCCAAGTATCGAAGCTTGCAAGAAACTGAGACCCACATGCATCCGATGCATCCTGTCTTCTGAGATGTTTTGAAGTTCTTCAGTCTGTTGCATAGTTTCCCTTATTATTCAATTTTGAAGTCGTGAGGCTCATGCAGATCCTGCTGGGCGCGTGAGCGACTGGAAGTTGAATCCTGAAGGCGGATCGCAGGGTCCGTGTGGCAGTTTCTATGGTATGGTGTGGTTGTGAGTAAGGGGCCCATGGAACCACAAAAGAAGCACTGTTTTTTTGTTGTCATACTCCTGGAGATTCCTTGCAGTTGGATTACGTAGCAGGATTTTTTTTGGTCTGACTTTTGACTTTGGCAGGTGCAGACTGACTTCAGAGCACCAGCTTGCCGACTGAGCCACAAAGCATGGCCTATTCACAGCGGCCTGTCCAAAACGGTCCGCTTGCAGCCCAAGTTCTCCAAGAGCTTTGCTGCGGTTAGTGGATGGATGTGGATGTTTACCGTTACCAGATGTGCAAGACACCCGTGGCATCCCGTGGCTACAGATTTTGCTCTGGGAAATCTGTTGCTAAGTTGCCTAACGGGCATAACACGTTTGAGTGTGACACTGAAAAAATCTGAAAAATATGAGAACATGCTACACATTGTTGCATCATGTTGCATCAATAGTGCATCCAGATCTATTTGTCCAATGAACAGAGCTGTGGGCATCGTGGCTTCAAGCTGGAATCAGCCAGACGCAAGAACTGCTGGCTTCATCTGGCGATGGTGAAGGAATCACGCATCTCCCGGCTGGACTTTGAGGTCGCTTGCAAGGTTTCAACATGTTTCAACTTTCAACATGTTTCAACTGTCAGTTGCTTTTTCCCACTCATTTGTGGGGTACACCACTTTGTAAGCTGCAATATGTATCAATATGTGAACTATTATTGGATACTATATGTATACAGTATATGTATATTATGATATATACTGTATGTATAATATCTACATATATTATATGGTAACATCGATCTCATGCTTCATTCCTGGCCATGGATATCCACCGTGCATACCGTGCTCCGTCCGATCGCTTGCACAGCAGCATTCCCGGTGGAGAGCAGCAGCGGCATCCTGAAGTGCTGAGCGATGCTGAGCGATGCTGAAGCAAAGGCGGCGAAGACAAAAATCTCCGGTGATGATGGGCATAGTATGTGGGCACTGGTGAAAAATCAAGGAGTACGAGTTCACCGAGTTCACCCACAAATATAGGTATTTGGTATTAAAATATGAAGCCATCCATTTTAGGGTACTGGTAGTACTATTGACCTAATATATCATCTATGTATTGTACAGTATTTGGAACGCTCCTACTAGTGGTTGACTAGTGCTAGTTTTGGTTGGTGTCAAATGTGGTCAAAGATGTCCACCCCCCAGGATCAACTTTGGAGCATCAGCCAAAGATACGACAGCTTGTTGAAGCTCCAGAGAGATTTTGCTGATGCTCAAAGGGCTTACTTTGATGCTGAAGGTGACAGATTCAAGGCAGAGGCTGAGGCCCTAACAACAGATGAGGGAGCGACAGTGGAAAGGTGGCTGCGAGCCCAAAAGTTGGAGAGAGAGGCAGGGCGCCATAGGGCAATGAATGGTCCCTGGGTGTAGTTGTTTCATTTCGAAGGCATTCATCAGGTACATCCATGAGATGAACATTGGCGAATCTATTTTTATCAGACTCAGGCTCACAGGCAGGACTTTTTTTAGTGTGACATGTGTGATGTACTTGGGAAGAGCTCGGGATAGAACTGGTGCAAACAGATGAAGGGTCCACCCACCCCTTCTAGGCAAAGCTTCAAGTACTTCAAAGGCGAGTGCTGCTTCTCCAATCTTTGAAGGAGCTACGGCAGATCCAACTGCAGGACCCTGGTCTTTGAAGTTGTCCAAGTTGTCCGTTGGCATAATTCCGCTCCAACAATTTGGTTATAGATGAACCTAATGTTGTCAACAAGTTGAACCCGTTAAACATGTTGAAATGAGTAAAAACCTAAAAGGCTCATGCAGAAACATTTACATGCGAGGTCATATGGTGGAAAATGTTGCCCAAAACATGGAAAGCGATATTTGTGAACTACTTGCAGCGACTGTGCTTGAGAAACAATATTCACATGTTTTCTGATTTTACCAGATGAATTTATCGATAACCGAATCGATAACGTAGCGATAACCAAAAATTGCCAAAAGGGGCTCCGGGCAGCCAGAGACTCAATCCATCCCTGGAGTGGCGCACTTCAATTTTGCGCCAATGTGTTGAAACATCTACTTGGGGTGGTCCAGCCTGGCCTTGAAACCTACCATTGAATATAACTTTGATCTAATGATCCAAAGAGATGACCAGAATCTGCAGAAGCAGAAGGCGCGCAACAGTGCAAAAACCAAGTCTGAGGGAAATTCCTTCCGCACTTTGAAGACAACACAGTGGACAGCAGACTGCTGACCATGAAGTGCCCCTATTGTTAATTCTGTGGAGATGAATGGAAATGGATCTACAAATCAACAGCCATTGTTAGACATGACATGCTCCAAAATCACGCAACAGCGAATGATCTAAATCGATAACTTTTGCTCATGACCGCCTTTGTGACCCTTAGTAATTATCCTTAGTTCTGGTCCCCGCTCAAATGATGCAACTTTCAGGACCTCGCAGGTCACATCCAGCCGGTCGCAGCGCAGGTCACCTCGATGGTTTGGCAGGATGATCGGCCGCAGAGACATCCTCAAAGCCCAGGGAGTGCGAAAAGTTGCTCGCTGAAGATCTCATGGACCTGGTGAAAAAATGTACACAACAAATTGTGGTAATTCTTATCCGGTCTCGTCAGGTATTGCAGGATTAGAATTGCTGCCCTCCCAACATGTTGTGGGTATATTCATTGCCATGTAGATTCACACATATATATATAGTTAATTAGATTTAATTAGCAGTTGATGTAGATGCGCAGCTCCCCAATCCCTCCCCCCTAGGTGAACCCAGTGAACCCGATGCCGAAGCGGGTCCCTTCCCTGGTCTGGTACTGGCAGCCACGCGGGCTGAGCTGGAAGCTCTTCAGCAGCGCGAACGGGAGCTGATGGCCGCCAAGTCTCCTGGGGTTTGGGGAACCCAGGACTGGTTGGATTCCACAAATGTGGGGTATGGGTCAATACCAGTCAGCACTTCTATATGAGCATCATTTCATTGTCCCATATATTTTCATCTATGTTCGTATATTTTCCCTAAGTTGATTTTGCCATATTTTGCCTATACCCAATTTTGGGGGTGGGAATTCTGTGGTACTCACGGCTTTGAAGTCTGAGAATTGGATGACGTTTTCCAGGTCTTTTATTGGCTATTGAACAGAAAGTGACAGCTGTGTTCAGATGTGTTTATAACAAAGATATTGACCTTTGAAAATGGTTGAATATTTGAGAATATTTGCCCATATTTTCAGAGACTGGCACGACAAGGGATTCTTGAATCTGCAGTGGCAGGTGCAGCTTTGTGAACGCCTGGCAGTTTCTGAGCAGAACCTGGCCACATTGTTGGAAGCTTATTGGGTGGCCGGCCGTGACCGAAATGGGGAAGCCAGCGGTGATGTTTGATGATGTTTGATGGCTGAGGATGCACCAGACTGCTTCTGCCAAGAGGCGACTGCCTTACATACGACCAAGTTATACCAAGGTATATGTGTGGATACACAAAAGCTTGAAATTGTCGCACGTCACAGAAAGAAACAACGTGATGTTTGCTTTGCACTACCTACGCCATGTTTCGACTAATTTGCGCGTGCTTTCCAGAAAAACAGTCCTTCCTTTCCGTCATTGGAGTGTGGGTTTTAATATTCATGGGTAAAAAGAAAAACTCTGGGTCGAAGCTTAAGACCTCCAGAACCACGGCTGTGGGTCGTTGTTTTAGTCCTGAACCATACTGAATTATAAATATACATAATCCAATATTTTTTTTGAATTGCTTATCGACCCTTCTAGACTGGGGTGAAGGCATAAATGCCAGCGGCGTAACAGGCTGGCTGAAAGCATTGCTTGGAAGCATTTGACTGCTGAGAGTGAGGCCAGCATTTGGTTTCGAAATGTTTCGATTAATTCTGCCAAGTGTGAAATTGTGAAGTTTGACTGAGGCCCTTGAGACCTTCAAGTCTCTGGTGACAAGCTGCAGTTTCAATCCATTGTCTTCGATACTCCAAGCTCGACAGTCCTTTCATTGCCAGGCTCAACAGGCAACAGTAGCAGCTGATCTGCTACAAGCAGCTATGGAAGTGCAGCATGAGGTCATGGCCGCCATGGTTTTAGGGGCAAGGGTCACAGTCAAGAGATTCCCCAACTTCTTTGAAGCTCTGGGCCTACAGTCTTTGATTCGATTTATTTGATACATTGATCTTGGTTCATGATGTGTTAGAAACTGTTGGTATTTCTGACTTTTCTTGATGGGTGTTGATTTTGTTTTGATGATTTTCTGCCAGCAACGGCAACGGCAGGAGATGGCGGGAATCCAACCAGGTGCGATCCATCCTAGCACTCTCTGGATATGATGAACATATACTCAATGATGTTGATTGGTGTTTCATGGATATCTGACCAATAGCAGTTGGAAGTTGGAACAGCAAAAATTATGTAAGGTTACTTAAGCCCACCTGCGACCAGCTGGAGAATACACAGCAGGTAGCCGCGCCGCGTCTGTTGCAGTGCCAGCAGAATCAGTGATGGACTCGGACATTGCAATATTTGGGACATTTCTGATGAAAGTGTGCAAAAGTCAGCATAGATCCTGGTCTCAGCCCAGCAAAGAACCATAGGATGATGTTTGCTGGTTGATGTCGTCATTTCCTTTATGAACATCCATTTACCAGTGTAATTACATATAATCATATGAGGGTGGGTCAAAACCCATTGCTATTGAGGTTCACTAGGTACCAGAGTTTTGACCCACAACCAAGGCACCAACACCTTGCCAGCCTGAGTCGAGCACCCAGTGCCAGACATCAATAGTATCAATGTTTCCTGCAAAGTCAAGTTAAAGAGCTAAATTACATATATGACATGATTATATATGTGTATGACAATTATATGACATATCTTCACGATTCTTCACATGTATTACTCATATTACCTATAGACTATAGATATAGTTTTCGATGTTGTGGCGAAACTGTACACTTCTTGTGATACTCGCTGAGCATCGCGTAGCCTCCATCAGGGCGCCTCGAAACCCTCGGCCTGGACATTTGGCGCCAGAGCTGCTGTCCTTGGTCATGGAGGAGGCCACGAAGCTGAGTCACTGGGGACACTATGCTTTATCAAATTTCACGAGCTCCTGTTTCCAACCGTTTCCGGCCGTTTCCATTTTTCTGAACGATTAATTGGACCAATTCCATTTATGGAAGGCTGATCCGGTGCAAACCCGTGCAAACCATGACGCTGTTTTTTCCCCACCTGCCAGGCGAGGGTTGTTAGATTTTATCAGAGCACTCTTCCTCCGCCTCATCTTCCTCCTCCTCGTCCTCCTCCTCCTCCTCGACTAGCTGTCCTCTTCCTCCTCGTCCTCCTCCTCGCCTCCTCCTTCAGTTTCTCCTCGACCATGTCTGCATCAACTTCCACCTGCACTTCCGCCTTGCCAACTCTTCGCCAAGCTCTTTGCCAACTCTCTTCGCCGACTCTCTGCGCCAAGCTCTTTGCCAACTTCCCAGCTCAGTGTGCACTGCTGGACCTCAACCTGGGAGCTGCCCACCTCAGTGTGCACCGCTGGACCTCAACGGGGGACCTGCCCAGCTCAGTGTGCACCGCTGGACCTCAACCGGGGACCTGCCCAGCTCAGTGTGCACCGCTGGACCTCAACCGGGGACCTGCCCAGCTCAGTGTGCACCGCTGGACCTTAACGGCCAGATAGAATGCCAGAAGATATGCCAGATAGAATGCCAGATAGAATGCCAGATGGAATGCCAGAAGATATGCCAGAACATCTGCCAGAAGATATGCCAGGTAGAATGCCAGAAGCTATGCCAGATAGAATGCCAGAAGATATGTCAGATAGAATGCCAGAAGATATGCCAGATAGAATGCCAGAAGGTATGCCAGATAGAATGTCAGATAGAATGCCAGAAGGTATGTCAGATAGAATGCCAGAAGATTTGCCAGTACCAAAATGTATAAATGTCATGGTGGGGATCACACGAAGTAAAGTAATTCTTTCCGTGCGACCCTTGCGCGCGCACACTGCACCAAATATTGCATCTTGACCTTGACATCCAATATTTCCTAAAAATCACAGAATCCCAGCAGCTCGTGAAATTTGATATGGAGATCATATATATATACATATATATATATACATACATATATATATATATAGATAGATATCATAGGATGTTATAGGATGTCGTAGGATGTCATAGGATGTCATAGGATGTTGTAGGATATTATAGGATACGTTAGGATATTATAGGATATTATAGTCCTAATAGGATATTATAGGATATGATATTGCTATATTTTAATTGTAGATAAGAAATAGGGATACACTAAAATGTTGATTATACCTGGTTGTAAGGGAATATAGGATGGAAATGGATGGAATAGGCCAACCCACAATATGGGATTAAGGCCTACCCCATGTCTGGACACAACGGAGTTCGGAGTTCACGGTTAGTTTATCGCAGCTTCATAACGACTGTTTCGCAGATTCTTGTAGCCTGTTACGTGGGTGTGGACGATTGACAAATTATGCCACGTGTGTATCATGTGTTGTTTCTAAAAATACGCATCAACAAAAGCAGTGGGACTATACATCATTATGAATCCCATGATGATCATGATGATCATGCACAAACGGGCAACTTTCCGATTGCCATGGTAGTTTGCCAGAGGGCACACCCATCCAGAGTGGTTTCCAGATTGGTGGAAATTGTCATGACTTCTCACGCAGATGTACGTTTATATTATATGTATAATATATATGTAGTATATGAATATATAGTGTGTATATATATATATAGTATATATATACACATACATACATATCATAAATGGATATATACATGGATGTGGTTAAGGGAAAAACATATGCATTTTTTGGATCAAACAAAAAATATGGTTTGGTGCCCACAGTCACCAATCAATCACATGATACTGTTGTTACAAAACGTTTTGCAATTTTTCACCATCATTGTTAGTTTGAAGAATGGGATTTGTGTAATCAGTAGCTGCAAAAAGTGGCAACCTATTATGATAGGGAAATCACTGAACATTTGGGTCGAAAAGTGTGGGGGGCATGTTTCCTGTCAGTTGGCTTCCCCAGTTTCGCCCATGTTTCGCCAACGTTTCCAGGTGGGCTTTGCCTCGGAGCAACTGGCAGCACTTTCTCCCTGGCGCTCGGAGGTCGGTAAAGCCAATGTGGTAAAGCCCATGTCATAAACCATGCCCAAGTCATCACCATTTTTATGGGTATTTAAACCATCCCCCAAGTGGTAGTAAGTGGTACGTAGGTTTGTGGCCTTTGTGGCATGGGGTTTCCCAAATGACCTCTATAAGCCATAAATTTCAAGATATAATCAACTTGCATGTACTGATACATCACATAGATTTGGAGACTGGGACCATAAATTTGGGGAATTGAAACCATAAATGTGCGCTGCCAAAATTGAAATGATGAAGTGGTGGTTTCACCAATAAAATATAGGGGTATGATAAACTATAACAACGTCATCATGACGTCACTGGAAATGATAGTGATGATTGGGTATTCAGGTTGCTGAACTGTTAAAAACATATCCGGACATAACTGGTGAAATCAATGATGGAGATATCATCCCCCCCAAAAAATACTGTAACTTAAGTGAAATACCATCCAATGACAGGGATTTTTTTCAACTATAGTCAGGGTATGTGTGTGATCTATCCGGCAGGAATTTGGGATATAGCCAACAAATTTAAGTATAAAACCTTAGGGCATTTTCGAAGGATGTCGACAAATGAGTTGTGGCCACTATTTGCTAGATGGTTGAACGCCCAGGTTTCACATCTCCTTTTTGCAAAATGGAAAAGAAGAGCAGCTTTTGAAGACCTCTGTCTGGATAAGAAATAAGATAAATAAGACCTCAGGACAGCCAAGACTTGGATGGTAAAAACATGTAAACACTGACTCAGAACATGTCAATTCCATGGGTTTCTAAGAAACAGCGACGAATAATCAAGCCATCACAGGGATTTCCAGCGTCATCCCACAGCGTGTCATCCCCCAGGTTTCAGGTGCTGGGGAAGAAACGCCTTCAACACGTGTGCAGTCCTTGTGCCCCTCCTAGCTGCGACGGCGGTTGTGCAGATTTGGTCATGTATATCATGTATCAAAATTTGATATCTCTAAAAAGATGAAGACATAGACAAGAACTATACTGTATAACTGTATAATGATGTATCATGTATAGAAACCTGAAAGTGCAGTAAGAACAACTGTAGGTCCCTCCAGGTCTCTGATGTTGACTCACGCATAGTGTGAGTTAGTTTGACCCCAAATCGCAGCTGAATGCGGTGGCGCACCAGGTCAGAGGTTGACATTCCTCAAAGCTTTCAGGTGCAGGACCCAGAAGACCGAGAAGATGGGCTGAAGTTTCTTTGATTGTATTTGCTCCAGAGTATATGACGTAATGACATACCATGATGAACCACATCATGCTATGATATACCATGCTGTGCAAATGAACTGGCTCTATGGTTTTGCTTTCCAGGGCGCAGTACATGGATCAGCTTTCACCATCGTTCTCAGTTGTTCAGGTGAGGCAAGGGCGTTCTCCAGCCGAGGCGGGAGTTTCGCGGTCCGAGATGGCGCCAGTATCGCTAGTTGTGCAGCCAGCAGCTAGCAATCCATTCAGCTAGCCATCAAAGTATCATAGAGTATCTAGAATTACTGTTATCAACATATATCAACATGTATTAATATCATTTAATATCCAATTCCATCCAATTCCATCCATTTGAGATTCCATGATATTCCATGTCTGGCTTGACGGTCCTAGGAATCGACAGTTTCGACTTCAAGTCCCTGCGGCATTCCGGCGATGGCGCTCGCTGAGTCGGGCACCTGGATGTGTCAAAATAAATAGGTCAAAGTCAAAGTAGGTCAAAGTTGGCAACTTGGAATATCATCCCATTATTGATAGTTTATACCACCCATTAAAATGGTGAATTTGGGAACGGTGGCATTGTTTTAACCACGTGATATGGACGTGGCCAAGGCATGATGGAATTGATCTCGCGCTGGCGTCTTTCTTAAGTCCACGGCGAAATCGTTTACGAAGGCGCCGTGACAGTGGATATGTGTTGATAAATATGTTGATATTAGTGTTGATACACTGTAATCATTCTTCGAATCACAATTCCACACTTCAACAAAAACATCAAAATTCATTTAAAAATAAGCACCAGTTCACCATAGTTCACCCTTGAAATCTCCAGCTCCTTTGAATTCCGGTTCGTTTCATGCTTCGTATCACGTTCTCTGTGAAGCCCCTTGTAGGTCGCTCTTCTCTCGGGAGGGGCGCGGACTCTATCGCAGAGCCGGCGATGTTTTGGTGGTAAAATGAAAGAAATGGAGGCTTGAAAGGTTTTGATATCAACAATCATCAACCACTACGCTTTAGAATCATAGAAATATAACTAAATATGGTTTCTTTAATTTAGTCTATGAATTTTGGCCCTATGTGAATCATCAACAATCAACAACCATAGGTGGATTGATCAGTCCTCCAATTGTACAACACCATCATAGAGTTAAACCCACAAATGCAAAGGGAACATGTAAAAAAGATGTTCTTCCAAAATAGGGAAAGTGCCCCCAAAACATTACCATTTTTCAGTAAAAATGAAGAGATATTTATCCCATTTTTGGACAAGGTTATTGGATTTCGAATTGAAGTGGCATGCCTGGAATGCCTGGCATGCCCATCACTGTCGATCATGGTCTTCCTCTAGAGGTGGAGAGGTCAACAATTTGTTAAGATCCATCCCGAAGCATACTTCGGGGAATTTTGGGGGGTGATTCGTGCAATTCGCATCCATAAAGCTCTGCATATCTCAGCCATGTGGGGATTTTGACAGGGGATTTTTACCATGGCAGGTTACGGAACTTGTCGGCTACAACTTCGTTTCGCCCAAGGCGAGCTGGAGGCCTTGCGGGAAGGATCTGGCCGCCAAGAAATGGATATTTTGCTCTGGGATTATGATAGGTTCTCAAATTGATGTGTCATTAATGTCTTGAATCATGTTGAATCAAAATTGGGATTTGTTATCATTGTTAATATAGATGTTAATGATTATAACGATGGTTATAATGATGGTTAATATGATCATGATCCGATCATCCTTATGGCATCTGATCAGGCAAGTGGCCGTGATGTTGAAGCGGAAGCCTGGGAGCCTTTGGAGGCGGGATGAAACTGGATCCAGGATTGGCATTGAGCAACATGTTGGGCATTGTCGCTGTTGTTTCATGTTGTTTTAACCATGAAAAACGTACTTTCGGTTATTTTTCAGGATCATTTTTATCTATATTTATACTTTCTTTTTGTGGCTGTCAATTTCTGGATCCATTGGTACAGTGTTTCGGCTGCCATGCCATGCTGCAATGGAATGGAGGGCACAGCACAGCACCCCAGGACTTCTTGCGAAAAGTGGAAGTGGACCAAAGCCAGCGCTTGCAACGCGCACGGGAACGGGCAAAGGCGGGTATAGATGCTGTTTATATTTCTGGATCAATCGTAACGACCTCGCTCTGACATCACTGGAATGATGGTTTGGCAAATGCTATAAGATCATTACCTCAAATGACTGAACTTTTCAGGTTGGTGAATTATGATGAAAATTAAATTACAGTATCAAGATGTTCGGTTCTTCACCAGTGTTTCCAGAATGTGGGAGGCCCTACGCAAGCCTTGAGTTGGTGATCCCAGCTGATGCAGATCTGGTTTTGGACCAGCCACCAGGCTGAGAATTCATCGAAATTTTGTTCCAAGTCCTGAAGGCTTTCGGGTTTCCGGCACAGGGCAACATGATGTGTTGTAAACCAGCAACCTTTATAATTTCCTTTCACTCTATAAAGTATTTACAAACAACTTTACGATTTGCCTTGAGTTCGGAATGTCTAGGAGATCTAGGAGATTCAACCAAATCGTGGGCTCTTGAATGGCAAAGAAACATTGGAGCAATTGAATTCAGTGCAGGAGTACGAGTTTGTAAGCAAATATCTCTATTCCACTAGGCCAATCCGTGACTGTGTATATATGTAAAAGGGATTAAAAGGGCTTCTTTCCAAGGTAATCTACACTGATGATGCCATAATTTTGAAGGGTATCAGGAATATCAATATCTCCATTGGACATGAACATCGGCCCACAAATTGCAATTGTTCGACCAAGTTGGCCAGCCTTGGTGTGAAATCCGCGGGTAGATTCGACTCATGGCTACTGGCTAATCTGGCTACTTCTAGCCTGTTGCTCTGTGAGATCGGGCCTTGCCTGCCTTGGAACCTATGTACAGCACCGGCTCGCGAGTGAGACTCGGAATTCAGCCCACGCTTTGTCTCCGTGAACCGCCTCTGCAGAAAAAAAGCTGATGTTGTGGCAGTTGACAGTTGACAGCTGATGATAGATTCATACTGATGTTGATTCCTGAAGTTCAGATCCAATGATCCAATGATCCAATGATCCAATGCTCCTGTGGATCCATTAGCAGCAGACGTCCAGTGGACTTCCTCGGTGACGTCTCGGTAGGTACACACGATTGCAATGTGGATCGCGTGACCGTGGCCAAACCAATGATGGGCTCCCAGCAGATCCTGCACGAAATGTGTGACATGATATACATGATATGTATATTGATGTATATTGTATCTTCCAAAGAAAAGATGCAGAAACAAATCGAAAAGTTATATATTACACGTGCCACTATTTACCATGTACAGTAGCATATAGTAGCATGTATGTTTCTCTTATAGATGATGTACTTGAATTGAATGTGATTGAAGGTGAGGATCTCCCCAGCAAAGGTTACGAGAGGGTTCACCATGGTTCACCTATACTTGATCCTCGACTTTATCCTCTTTGTGACTTTTGCTTAGAAGCTCCAGGATCTCCCAGGATCTCCAGGTCCATGGAAGATTTGAGATATTTGAAATTATTTGAAGCCACTGTCTATGGAAACGATCAGATGGAGTTGTAGACCTGATAGACCTGCTTCGCCTGCAGCTGAGGTTTTTACCTTGGAGTACGACTTGCTGTGTCCAGTTCAGCTGCCACACTATTCAGGTGCTTCAACCAGGTTTTTTTTTTACATCGGGGTTGAAATCCTTGTGATTTCCTAATCTTCACCGAGTGATATGGACTCCTGATTGAAATCAGCAGAGTATTGAAAGGTGTCACCCCAAGTGCTTTCCTCTGGTTTGCTGAAATTTGGGTTTACGTTCAACATGTACCCACTGCATTTGTCCCATGATTTCCTAAGGTGTCCATTTGCTTGCGAGCACTCTGCGAATGTGGTATACTTCTATGATGGCATGTGCCACAAGCTCATCAGCCTGTGAGCATCTGTGAGCCTTAACGACCTACATATCCTACATACAGTACATACATGGAAAGCCTGGATCAGAGATCCTTCATGTCGTTCTTCATCTTTTGATACCGCTGTAGAAATTGTTCTCATCCTAGCGCCGACGCGGCTGTCTGATCGATGTGTCGAAAGGGCTGTAGCTGTGAATAGATACCAATAGGGGCAAGCAGTTTCAAAGATACTCTTGGAGTTTTTCCCTTGTTTTGTTTTGTTCAAACTGGTAGCAAACCAAGAGCCTAATCTCAAGGCGGGTTCACTCTTGTTGAGGTTCTTCACATAGTCGCTCCGCGAGACTTGCCCTTCGCAACTCATACCATGATTGTTGTCAGAATCTGAGTGCATCAGCCCCTAACATTCCCAGCTGATGGTGCCCATTTGAGCCTGACACATTCGCTCCTGATCAAGGAGAATACCCTCAGCGTCGCTGTACGTGAAGAAGATGGACTCCAGAATGAGGCCGTGGCTGACGAACTTCACAAGGTTGTTGCAGGAGTTCATACCATCAAAACTCAAGACATATCAAGACAACCATTTCCTAAACTAAACTGCAATTCAGTCCTTGTTTCCGTTGCCCTGCGCTTGCATACGCTTGCAACGTAAACGATGATACTATGAAAGAAGGTCCGACAAGACGACTGCAATGGAACAGTATGAGCTCCTATCTCTTGATGGGATTTTGAGTACTTCCACCTCTGAAGATTCTGAAGCTTGGAATCTTTCTGCGAAGGTGTTGGTTTTCTTTTGCTGCGGCACGACAAGAAGTTGTACATAAGTGTGGCGAGAGAAACGATTTCTATATAAACAAGTAGAAAGTGATAGAAAGTGTGCGGTTCTCTAGTTCTCCATGGAATCCAGAACTTGGAATGAATGGCACTGTGCAGGCATGCCCCATTTGCCTGGAAAACTTCCAAGTTGGTGACAAGGCACAGGAGTTTGTTCGGAACTGACATCAATCAAATAGTGATGATGTGCTCGACTAACTTGAATGATCATTCACAAGCATGCCTCTGTCATAGGGGTAGATCCAAAGAATCCAATCACCAGAGTGTTGTACTGATGCATGAAAAGTCTCAAAAGACTACAGCAACTGCTTTGAGATACTTGGCATATCTTGGTATGTCTTGGCATATCTTGGCATTTTGCGGAGACACCGTGCTTTTCTTCATAAAATTTTTGAAGGTTAGACGCCTTCCGTGCATGCACCTCTTTCACGTAGTTGGCGTGGAGCTTGGAAGCCTCGATGCAGCGCCCAAATTTGGTTGAATTGGACGCAGCTCCAATTACCATCAAAATTTGATTTTCAGATTTGCATCGATTTATCAATGGACTTATTAATAGATATACTAATAGACTTATATTATATTATATATATTATATTATATATGTGTGTGTATATATATATATTATATTATATATGTATGTATATATATATATTGTACGTCTTTTTCACGTGATTTCCACCATCTGAATCTGGTTTCATATCGCTCAGGTGGAGAGGCTTCGTTACAGGGCCGGCACTGCAACATTGACAGGCCGCCGATTCCGTTGCGGTGTGCTGTCGCAGGCTTTTTTCGTCGCTGTCGACCAGGCATTTGGTGCTGGACAAGCAGTGCCCAATTTGCAAGACACCAATTGACATCATGGTTGGATGCCCAGAAAATCAGCTGTTTGCGCAATGATTTGTGCAACAAATATGCAGACATGGGAATAGTGTGGAAGATCTTGCACATATATATATGGGAATATATATGCAGCATTATATGTTGAATGAATCATATTGATATGGATGACAATCCTTCTACAGGAACAGGTGGAGCGTGATGGAGCACAACGCGTCGGCCCCCCATCAGACAAGCATTGCACAGATGACATGCACAGGTCATCACTGGTATGGTGCAGTGCCAGATTCTGAAAAAAATTCTTGCAAGCCATGGGAATTGTATGGAATTGTAATCTTCATGCACTCTGGTGCCACAAAATTACAGGAGCAAGTACAGTCATTGATTCCAAAGTCAGCTTCCTGTCGCAGTGAGTTAAGAGAAGCGGCTCCCATGCTGCTGAGAAGCTACTGCGGTAGCATCAGTGATCACCGATTCTTCACCCAAGGCTCAGCCTGCGGTTTCACAGCCAGGTGGAGATCTTATGGTAGCGAAGCTGAAACTAAAGCTCAATGGATTGGTTTAAGGGAAAATTTACAAAAAAAACATATGTCATGGGAAAATCTATGGTTTCCAAACCAATCCATTGAAAAGCAGTGCCATTCACATTTCACGACCTGAGGGGAAAGTGCGCAAGGTGGTGAACAGCCCGTGCTCCTCTCAGAGATGCCCAGTGCCCATCATCAAACTTGCCAATGTGTCAAATACCCTCTGGTAAACTAACATAGCTATTGAAAATTGCCATAGAAATAGTTAATCTACCCATTAAAAATGGTGATTTTCCATAGCTATGTTAGTTGACAAGAGGGTAGTCAATAATATGAAAACAACGCATGTCATAGTCTTGGAAATTGTTTGAGGAAAATGACATACAGCATCATACAGCAAAAAGCATGCAACACCCTTCAAACAAAAGCCATGGGTGGTTCCTTAAATTTCCCCTAAACCTTAAACCAATCCATTAGTGTGTATGTATTAGATATATATACAAAATACATGCATAGTCAATCATAATCATATATATATATATGTATTATATATATAGTATATGTACAACGGTTTCTGCGAGTAGAGGGAGGTTTTTGCACCGGGATCATGCCGTTGTGGATGGTTCCATCTCATGCCGCTTTTTCAGACCCTTTCCGAGTCATTTAGGGATGGTCAAGACCATTCAATACTAGTGGGCACATATCCTGTGTTTGTACAAGTGGGCAATGAACATCCAAAAACACAGCTGTTTTGATGTGAAAAGAAAGTACCAGGGTTTTGCTATGTTTTGCTCTGTAGCCACATGGCTTTGGTTATGAGCTCACTAGCAACGACTGCAAGTTCTGTTGATAGGGCTTCTTTTGCAAGGCGACCCCAGCACCTGTAGCCGGGAACTTAGACGAACTTGGCAACTTTGCTACTTGTTCTCGGTGCTGACCTAGTGAATTGACTGCTGAATCTGTGGTCAGCTTCATTCATAGCATCATTGAGGAAGAAACTCAAGCAGAAGTTTCAAGGCGTTGGTGGAGGGGGGTAATTACTGAAACTGTATGAAAGGTAGAGAATTATAAAGAAAAAGACTCTTATTCCAACAAACATCCTGCAAATACGTTTCAAACATTTTCAAAACTGATTGCACGATTCTGCAAGGCATCCTTACCATGGGACACTCTTATGCACTTCTGCCAAGCTTGAAATCAGTGGATTCTGCTCCTTTATTGGTCGTAGATGTGCGTGCCACATCGATGGAACCGCCTGCTGAAAGATCATACGGGAATGTTTTTTTGGAATCAAGTTCCATCAAGTTCCGAAAGTCTCCCGGAGTGGTTTGGAGAAACGGAACATTAGCATACCCATTAAATCCCATTAAAATCCAATAAATCCAATTAAACCCCATTAACAACATCTCACATTAACAATATTAAGTTCAGGGTCCACTCAACATCCCTAGCAGGCCAGCTCAAAGTCCAGCGGCAGAGTCACAGGAGCTGTGGCAGCGTCTCGTATCATCCATGCAATGTATAGACATATCCATGAGTATGTCGTAATATATACCCTCTGGTGAACTGTTTGTAGCTATGGAAAATCAAATTATAAATGGACCTTTTCCAATAGCTATGTTAAATTACCAGAGGGTATATATATATACACAATACAACAAGAATCACAATAATAGTAGATAAATTATAAAAGAGTACATGCAACTGTATATGCAAGCCCTAGTCTTCAATGTTTAACTTCGCATTTGTCAAATACTATGTTTGACCTGCTTAAACATTGTATTCCCCAAATACCATGTTTCACCATGTTAATAGACTTCATCGATGTGCTTATATGGGAAATCGACCATTCTAAGAATGTCGGCTTGTCTTGGGCCAGGAAGCGACGCAACAAACGAGGCCTCGATCAGGATCCTGGATTTTTCGTGAAGTGCGAGCGAGAGCACAACTTGGGCACCTTTGAAAATGATGATAAACTATAGTGTATGATGTATACATATATATATGTACTATCTGAATATCAATGTATATAATATATATATACATATACTATGTGAATATATATATATATATAAATACATACATACTATATTTACACTATAATGTGTATATATATTTATATATAGTATATAAATATATTTATGTTATTATATGTTTACACTTATAGTATCCTTTTGACAGAGGCACTCAGAATCTTACGCTGTATACTATACATATATATATACCTACATAGTATAGTGCTTCTAGATTTCTTATTTTGTAGAGGTGTATCACGTTATTTTTTTAGCATGTGTTCTCAAATAAACAAATTTTGTTTTCAAAACAATTTTTGTGATAAATCCCCCCATCACTTGTGTGATACATGGAAAAACCTCCTTAAGTTCAATGATTTTACATTGAAACCTCCATTTAGTGCAGGGATTTCCTTAGCTGCGAGGCAAAGCGAGGCAGGGCTCCCAGAGCAGGCACGCTTAGTGATTTTGATGGTATACTGAGGGGATATTTCATGGGGGTTCAAAATGATTCATAGTTGAACTATGGTGATTTCATGGTTCATTAATATTGCTAGCAAATTGATATCAAACTATGGTTGTTACAGTTACAGTATTTTGTGTGAATTCAGACTGATAGTTGATCCAAGTGTCCTTCAATTCAGGATATCATTGAATTGAGAGCTATAGCCGACACCCTGCGGTAAAACATTGGCTTTACACTCAGCTAATCAAACATGGCAATGGAACATCAGCCAATTATAGATGTTCTTCATTGTTCTTCCCAGCTAGAACAATTCAGAGATTCAGAGGGGAGTTCCCATTGCTACGTTTGATCACCGTGTTTTGATGGGCGGAATCCACAGCGATTAACGAAGGCGGCAGAGCTTGAACGTGTTGTGCGGAGCTTGCAGCTTGCTACTCAGTTGGTCACTGGTTTCCCCACCAAAGCATAAAATCCATTGAGCATCCAAGGGATGTGATCCCACGTTCAAAAACTGAAGAGAACATGTTTGATAGTTTTTGTCGCATCTTTGGCTTTGACGCTTTGAAACCATGGAATACCATGGAGTACTTTCGAACTGCTCTTTGCCTGGATATGCCTGGATAGCAGCTGTTGGTTGCTACTGTGAGCTTGACTTTCCATGCACCCTTGGTAGACTTCGAGTATGACAGGTCTCGCTGGTTGCAGATCCAGGCGCGGCATGTTGTTTAACATGCCGCTGCAGCCACACTGTCGGCTATTGATGAACCTTAATAAAGCTAAAACATGGATTTGTTGGAAAATGTTGGAAAATTGGGTACCTCTCTCTAAATCATCTAAATCCAGTGTTTTTTTGAATAGTTGTCCTGATGATCCGCCAGCGCCAGGATGTCGTTGCAGGCGTGCAGCAGATGCTTCACTACATCGAGGAACCTGACGCGTTTATCTTACAGCTGTGGGCGTTTATGGATCTGGGTAAATTATAACGACCTCACTGCGACCTCACTATAATCATAGTTAGTAAGGGGAAATATCCCCAAATGACCTTATTTCAGGTTAGTGAATTATTATAATTTACCCAGATGGATTGACTCGATTGACTTGATCTGACTTGGGAAGTCTACAAAGATTTGGGACCATAGATACCGATGGAGCCGGTTCTATGGAAGCAGAATGGACGCCTTTTTTGCAGCCGGCAATGCAGGTTTTGGGATCTCCCAAAATTGGATGGGAGAATCCGCAGGAGATCCCTTTTTCAATGGTGGTAAAAACATGTAAAAACATGGAAAATCACCCAATTATAGATGATTATCATTGATGATCTAAAACCAATGGTTTACTCCGGTAGCTGTTCGCTTGAACCAATCCATCGATCCCTGGAAATTTCAGGACAGCCAGTCAGCCCTTTCCGCAGTTCGTGAGAACGCTGCTGCCATGACAAGAACAGGCCGGCTAGAATGAGAATTGAATCAAGCATAATGGGTTTAACGTGGTTTTACCATCAAAATAGGCTATAAAACCAACCATAGTGGGGATACATATAATATAATAATTTAATATCATATCCGGCATGATCAGAAACAACTATATAACACTATATATATAATGTATTCATATACATGATAAAATATGTGGGTTAGTCTGAAAATGTGGTAATTACCTTCAAGTCCAACGGATCATCATTATACTTCCTATTTAACGTTGCATCTTTGGAGTGTACACAAGTTTGGTCAAAACCAATTGTGGCCTGTCAGGCAGTAGCGCTTCATGCTGGCAATGACGACATCTTTGAACAGATTCAATCCCATCTGGATTCGTCTGAAAACGGGGTATTCCAAAATCCAGTCTCTAATATTCACTAATCACCATTTACCTGTACTACTGTGGATGGAAGAAATCCTGCACCACCAAAAGGATGGTTGAAACCCCATAAATAATAGGACCTAATAGGATCAACGACCTATCGATTGGTGCAGGATTTCTTCCATCCCCATGGTCAGTGAGGTGATGCAGATCCGGCAGATCCCCCAGCAGAGCAGCTGGAGGCGGCCGGAAACCCTGAAAATCACCAATGAAAGTGGAATGGCAGGGTCTGTGTGAATTTATTGGGAAAAAAATATACATAATATATATATAATATAATTTGGGTGTGTCTAAAAATGGTGTATGCCCGCAAATGGCGATTTTTGGACAGGAAAAATGGTGTATTCCACAGGATTTTGGTGCTGCACTGTTGACAAATCTCAATCATGGGGATGAACATGGAACGAACGAGGATTCTGATAGACCTCCAAATGTTAGTCAATGTTCGCATGTTGGATGTCTCTAGATGATTGAGGTCTGCAGACCCAGGCCACCAGATTTCCCTAGATTTACCATTGGAAAAACACATCCCAACAGCTCAGGAATCGCAGGAAGCGCCCGAAAATCCCGACGTGCCGGCAGAGACACCCGCCACAGAGGTTGCAATGCAGAGGTTGGGAAACTCAAAGCGCATCGCTTTGTTCACATATTGGCGATGGATCTGTCTTTGTTCACCATCACGTTTCCAATGTGTTCAAGAATTCATCATAATTAATCTATGAAATGTATTCACATAGCCATTGGTTTGTGCAGAAGTGAATAGTTGATCACTTCATGCACAGCACAATAGTTTGAACCAAACAGAATTGCTCAACAAGAATGATCAACTGGAAGAGATGACATTTGCTTGAACAAAAGAAATACAATCAAGTCAAAAAAGCGCAGGTGAAAAAAAGAACTGCATGAAATCATGCGGGAAACGCAATCTGGTGCTTGATTTTCATGGTCGCATGGTCGCCATACTTTGTACAGCCACAATGAACTGTGAACCTTTTCACTTCCAGCGGATCACCCATTCTTGCCATGTCTAAGAATGGACCGGGGTCTGGGTAAGATAGACCCGACCCATCCTGTCTCTATGGCCAAATTTGAGGCATTTGAATGCACCTAAACCATCCAGAAGTCTAATTCTTGCAATATGTGGCAGTGAACATTCCCATTTTGTAGGCAAATGTAGGCAATCTTTAGCTGGTACTGGAAACTCATGGAAACTCCCTCTCTCAAAGTCTTTTCCATGGGAATATTCATCTATAATAAATGAATCTATCCATTGAGTATCATAAAGTATCCACGTTCATTGTTTTTTTAATCCTGTGATGTTGAGCGTGATGTTAAGATTGGTTGACTACATCCAGGGAATCCATGGCGAGGCCTGAGGCGCCTGAGGCGCCTGAGGCAGAGCCGGAAAGCCCGGCCACGGCGGCCACGGCGGCCGCGGAAGCTGTGCAGGCCATCAGATGGGGGTGACGCTGATCAAAAAATGACCCAAAAATGGGGGAAGGAATGGAGTTTTTACCAAAGATGTGGGTTCGAGCTACAACATGATACAACCAAATTATGGTATGTTCCAGAAATATATAGAAATATGGTAGTTGATTGTTGCCGGTGCACTGAAAGTGGACAAAGATGCTGGTTTCGCCGGAAGAAACGGGGAGAGTTCTTGCAGCAATTGTTGAGGGGCAAAGCTGAAGCGGAGGAAAGCCATGCTTTGGACATTGCTCACCAATTGGGGGTTTCCACAAATGGGAGATCCTCAAAAAAGGTTGGTTTCAAATGGAAATCGAAAGTCCTATTTAAATGGACGATTTAGGGGTACCCCCATTTCAGGAAACTCGACTTGCCATGTTGCTTCAAGTTCAGAAATACCCCTTGGTGGAAAGATCTTGAAAGATCTTCTACTTGTGTCAAACATTGTAAACGGTCACCCCCAAACTAGCCTGCTAATCGAAAAGGGTCTTCCAGCTCTTTTTTGTTGCCAGCAAATTCTTAAAACCCATTTGTCGTGAAACGTGAAAAAGTGCCTTCATGTTGACAGGAGGGTTCTACGCCGAAGCTTGCTTGAGCCACTATGAATCGTGTCAGAATATTTGACAAGTCAACATTTACAGAGAGTGACATCTACATGAAGACTAGACCCTAAATGTATTGCTCATCAAACCAACATAAACCAACTATAGGTATTGCATCATGGAGGGTTTGTGGATTGCAAGTGGGTCGCCGTCCCCATGGCGATGTTGGTACAGACCCTGGTTGTACGCGACAGCCGCGTGCTGTTGGGTCGTTGGCGTAGCGGTGCCTTCTGCGGACGCATCACTGGGCTGTTGGGCAGCGCACCAGGCACAGCGATTGCTCTCCCCAGTGGAGATGCAACATTTGGTGCAACATCTGCAAGGGGGGTCGGATGTATTCTGGGAGTTATATGGAGTTATATATGTTGGGTCGGATGTTTTTTTGCGACTAGTTTTGTGCTCAGATGGCAAGGTAAACAACTTGGCCACTTTTGGTGTGGCCTTCTGAACCCCGAATTAGCTCAAGGAGATTCAGTGCCATTGTCCTGTCTTCAATAGATTGATTTAAGGATCGTTTATAGGAAACACGAGTTTTTGCTTCCAAATCCAGGGTTTTTCAATGTTTTTCATGTTTTTTTTTCCAGTTTTCCAGTAGGACATCATGCCTCGGGAGGTGCTTCTCCAGAGGCTGCCGCGGTGCAAATTTGTCGGTCCCACTTGGCGCTGGATCAGCGCCGCCTGCGGCGGCGAGGCATTTTCCAGTTTCAGGAGTTGAGTCCCAGCTGTTGAATGTGGGTGTTTCATGTGCACCGGGGGATGGGACTAGAGGGGATGAACATTCAAGCTAGTTCTTTGGTTTGCCCTCCATAGTGGGATTGCCATAGTTATAAAGACAAGATTGGACAATGACCCGACTGGAAGATGTGTTTAAATGGGAACATTTTCCCTTCACTCCCTTTCCAGGGAAGGTTTCAAACAGAGAGCATTTGCCTGTGTTCCATCCCGACCTGAAAGGCCAAAGGGGCCAAGACCATGTCTATCTACGTAGCACGGCCATAGTATTCATTTTGCATGTGGGGCCCATTTTGCGTCATTTTTGCGACCACGTGATGGAATTTAGCCAGGGAGTCAAATTGCAGCTTGGCACAGTTTGGCCCTTTCCAGTCAAGAGATGCAGAATTTGCCAAGGTTTGCCCAAGCCACTTCTGAAATGAAGTAGTTTTGACTGAAGAATGTCACAATTTGTATTCAGACTTCAGACTAAAGATTATCTAGTTATGCTGTACCGTTTCTTTGTGGTAGCGAGTGCATGTTGTCTATATCATTTCAAGAGAGTTGGAACCTCTCAAATGGATGTGACCATGGTGATGGCACCGCTGTGAAATGTAGCTCTCATACAAAATGTATTAACATTGAACTTCTTTAACAACAAACACCGTCAGGTAAAGCTATGCAACTTGCACGGAGGAATGATGCTGAGTAGACCAACTGCAATCATCGGATAGAAGTCGATGAAAATTCAGATCCAAGTTAGGCTTGACCTCACATTCAATCTCATGGGGAGGAGCTCGATGATCAACATGCATCTGCTGTGGAGTTGGGAGAGCAGTACCGAGAGCATCAGATGCTCTACAGCGGCTTGGAGCGTTGGTTGATTTATGTTGGCTACACCTGTAATTATACATTTAGATGCTATATAGTTGGGAATTATGAATATTCTGACATGACATAATTGCTCCATGAACTGGGAATTTACCACCCAATAAATGAGATCTTGGGAACAACCAATAGATTATTTTTCAATATTTTTCAATGTAGTTGTTGCGAACACTTTTACTTTAGGACCTTAGGAGGGCAAAATCTGGAAGAAGTTTGAACAAACTTTAAGACCCGGGGGGAAGAAGCAAACCCAAGGGGCCAGTGAGATGCATGGCATGGAAAACTCTTGGCCCAGAGGGTTTTCCGCTCCTGAATTTGTGGTTCAGTCTGAAAATCCTGGCACGTGTTTCTTTTCAACCCCTGGCTTTCCCATCCTTTCCCACGAATATCGACCATGTTTTTCGGTGAACCGGACGCCAGCCGAGTTTTGCCCTACTGATCCCTACTGGTACAATCCTGCTGGTGTTAAGGACTGCACCCAAACATTGATGTTCCGCTTGCAGCCACTGACGATTTCGAGCCTATTGGCTGGTTTGGCAAAGGTGAGATACCCTTTGACATTTGGCGGTTCACTGATGTCCAGTTGAGTTTGAAGGTACCCTCTGGTAATTTGTTACATAGCTATTGAAAAGGGCCATTGAAATAGTTGATTTACCACTAAAAATGGTGATTTTCCACAGCCAGAGGGTATGCCTGTCATTTTCCGCAGACTTTGAATCCAACGTGAACAGATCCATGTGAGCTCTTAGATGAAGCTTCTAGGAGATGTGTGCATCGCTGCAGAGTGTTTTTTTTTTTAAATGTAATAAACATCTAACAACATCTGTGAACCTTGGAAGCCATCGCAACATGTCGTAACTTATTGTAACCATGATATGATCTATGGGATACCATGGTATGCCAAGGACCATCTTGACATATCTTGACATATCTTGACATATCTTGACATATCTTGACATATCTTGACATATCTTGACATATCTTGACATATCTTGACATATCTTGACATATCTTGACATATCTTGACCTTAGATGACCTTAGGACGAAATGCCTGAAGACGATGTCGTTTGGTACGAGCGCGTAGTCTTTGAGGATGCCATGCTCCGGGGCCACTTCTCCTTCCGAGGCGATTTTATCGTGGCGTAATGGCGGTGGATGTCTAGGGCCTAGTTATGCCTAGTTTGTCTTGGGAATATCATGGAATATCTGTAGATATCAAATGATATATCAAATGATATCAATATCACTGTAGGATTTCTTGCAGAGATTTCCATGGTTTTCTCCATGGCATCCTTCATATTGTCATTTCCCAGTTCCAGGAACCACCCTGGTGAAGCACACATTGGAGGAAGTATCTCGAGAGGAAGGTGGCGCGCGTCAACCGGAAGCTCCATGTTGACGTTGACCGAGAAAATAGTCCTACTGTCTTGCTGATAGGGGAGGTGTATGGGTGTTACATGGTGCTACAGTATGTTATTCAATATTTATCAATATTTATAGTTTATCCAATTAACTACTTGGATGATTCTAGCGCTTGGTAATTCATTGGCAGGGTACTTTGAGCTTCAAGTATCAGTCAACCCGTCGGTCAGAGAAAAATGAGAAAACGGTCAAGACTCCGGCAGATTTTGATCACTGTTTGGTAGATGAACCATCCACTTTAGGGCTCTCCAATTTCAATGAATACATCCGAGACACCTTGACCAGGTATAAGTATCCCAACAGCCGTCCCAGAAAGGTCTGTGCGAGTCCTTGCAGCTGCAAAAGCCGTTGTTGCTTCACAACCCAGATTGTTCAAAGAGCCGGGCGTTGAAGGAGGCGCCTTGCTGACCTGGGAAGATCTGGGAAGATCTGGGAAGGACATGGAAGGACCGGTGTCGACACGTGGAGGCCTTGGAGTCATGTGGGGCAGACTTTGTGGAACGTCGCTATTTGGAGGACTGGACCAAGTCATACCAAGTCATACCAAGTCATACCAAGTCATACCAAGTCCCTTCCGGCAAATGGGGGTTCCATGGGGTTCCAATTTTCGTTCGAAAATGACTACAGCAATGAAGGTGTTTCTGATGCAGCCAGATGTGTTTCTCAGAGTATACACAAACATATTCTATTCGCTGATGATTGTCAAAATGGTGGAAAATAGAAGCGGTAGAAGCACAAGAATGGATGTTGTTTGATTCTTGGATTCCTTGTGATTACTTTGCCCAGCCTGAATGCGTTGCGATTGCCGGGTTCCTAATTGTTTGATTCAAATATATTCAGATTGTGCAGGCATCAATGAGGAGCCAGAAATCAAACAACACATACTGTACTGAATATCCTTCGCATCTCCATGGAAAATCAAAGCCAATGAAAGTCTCTGATAGTCGCTGTTCCAGGACCCACTGACGTTAAGTGAACTGGAAGTCCTATCAGCACGACTCAAGGCTGGCCGAAACCTAAATGTTTGGCGCGAAGTTTGCCCATACCCTGGACCGGGACCTATATAGTTTCGTAATGTTTAGTAATGTTTAATATAGTGATGTTTTTGGTGTGTTCCAGGATGGTTATGGTGGCCGGATAGAATGTGTTGCGGACATTATTCACCTGAACGTGTTTCTTTGTGTATGTATCGTGTCTTTTCGCGCATACCTGTATGATTCTATTGGTGGTTGGTCTCGGTCTCGTTGTTTGAACATGTGTTGCACAGGATTGCACAGGACGTTGGCCGTAATACTCTCCAGCAGCTTCAGGCCAGCGATGGCAGTTTCACCTCCAGATGCCTGTTTGCAAGGCATGAGGCCAGCAAGGGGCACAATTAGGTGAATCCTTTTTCAACATGGTTTTCTGTTGAAACATGTTGGATTTCAAATATTTGATGACTAAACTTTGGCTGGGAACAACAACACGGCAAGGCAACTGCTTGTCATTGCGTAAGTCTCATGAACGCTCATGTAAGCCAGCCATTAAGAGGTGCTCGCTTGCAGGCTGATACCAGGGAATACAAGGTTTATTTGACGTACAACGCAGGCAGCAGGATTGGCGAAAAGATGTCAAAAGTCCAAGACCGTGCTTTACCGAATAAACTTGGAGGGCAGTATTTTTTAGTGTGTTTGGCTGACTGGCTGACTAAGGAACTCTGTGCAGAGATTTGGACGTTGCAGCTTGGCGGAAGAGACTTTAAGATATCCTCTCCTTGAAAGAAACGACGGTTTTCCATTCGCGAGATGAAGGGTTCTGGTTCATGAAATCACCGAACCAATACTTCGGCCCCCTTTCCCCCTGCACTGTGAAAACATGAAAATATTGAACCTTAAGGAGGCCAGGCGCTAATTGAAGGATATTAAAGGCATCAGCAATGACAGTAGGTTGGCTAATGCTTCGCCCAAGAGAGATTCTGGTGTAGTTGGAACAGCGGCACCTGTTTTGTCACTGTGGCCGTGCTGTTATGTCATTTCCAATGAGTGATTCTGATTTTAGGAGGTTACCGTTGAGGAATTGGAGGGATGAACAACGACCAGATCGTGGTCAAATTCTATAAATTGAAGGCTACATTTTGAAGGCTGTTCATCCCTTATTGTAAAGCTATCGATTGAAATTGATGATAAGCCGTGCGAAACGGACACGGCTTGCCAGGGAGAATCCCTGGATGAGATTCTGGAGGCTTGGGGGATAACCCATCGCCATGGAATAATTCCCCTAAACCTTCAGCTTTTTGAGCTGGGAATTCACTATTGTTGTTGATGCATGTTGATGCTGTATTTGGATCTGATTGGAGATCTCTTGGCCATCTGCAGTGTGAGGGTGTGTCGGTCAAGAATATGATTTCATGTACTGTCTGTAGCCTAAGAGATATTTCGAAGTTGTTTGACTAGTTCCATCATCCATCAACAACTCCTCTTGAAATTTGCAATGCTACACGTTTGCGTCAGACATCTTCGGATATCCCAGTCATACTGAGTATATAGTCAATCATAAACCATAACAAACCTCCATTGTGGATGGTTTATGATTCAGTGAATCCCACATGATTTGGGGGGTGGAACTGGGAAGGTGTCAAAGTTCCGCACAGTTTCGCGCCTCATGGCCTGAAGGCTGTCGCACTAGAACCGAAGCTCATGCAGCGACCAGTCAAGAGCTAAGGAGATCCAATGCAGGTGGAGATTTCGTGTTTTGGTCGACCCCACATAGTTTTGAGATGTTTTGAGATGTTTTGAGTATATAGTTTCCTTAAGGATCCCTTAGACTTAAAACGAATGAGCCATGTTGAAAAGCCCGGTGATATTAGTTGGGGATACCATAATCATAATCCATGAACTGCCAATATAATTGGGATACCATGATCCACTGGGAATCTCCAACCACCATGGAATGACTTAAATATACTTATATAAATGATTTTAAACAAAGGTGGACGACTAACTTTGCAGTTTTTTTCTCAGGTCTTGGTGACCAACAGCAAAGCTGCATTTGGTCAGCATCTGAGCTTCCAGTTGGTTGCTGAGGGTACTGTGATTGATCTGATGTCATCAAAGGCTGGAAAATGTCTCATTCACTCGGATGATTTTCCCGTCTAGAAAGCTCCATCTAGAAACGTCCACGTTTGATTACTGGAGGGTGTTTGTATCATTGCATTTTGCTGGTGCCCAACGAAAAGCGGCAGCAAGGGCTGTGTCAGGCCGACCGAAACCAGAGGATGCACTCAGACTGCTGAGTTGAGGCGGGTCCCGGTAGGTCCCGGTGCAGACATGGGATGCATGATCGATATGAACAAATTATACTAAGAAAATCTAAGAACTATGTAGTACATGCCATGTTTCATCAAGTTGCGATCAATCTCCTAGCAGCCTGGCAGGCCATGAGATTATGAGCCACAGCCGCAATGCCGCGATGCCCATCCCAGTAGACTTGGCTGGAAAAAAAAACGACTCACCAGCTGCACAGGCTGCAGGTGCCTCAGGATCCACCCTTTCCCGTATACCCCACCTGTACAAAACCTGTATATCCAATGGAGGCAGCTGCAACGGCCACCACTTCAGATGACAGGCTGGGTTGGCTGGAACAAAAAGGGAATTTCAGGGTTTATATATTGTTTTTGCATGGTTTATCAATGTTTCATTTCCCCATTGGAGTGGTCACTTTGGTGTTACACCCCATGGATAAACCAAAACCACCAGTTCAGATGTCCAGTTCAAAACTCCTCAGCAGTTCTTGCGATGACACTACAACTAAGGCTTCTTATAAGATGTTGTAAGGAATACATATTTTTGGGTTAGAGTCCAAAATGTTTCTTAACCATGACCCTTTGGCCAAGAAATGCGGCTGGCACATAGACTCGCTCCAGCAGATTCTCCCGCATCCCGATCATCCCTGTTCCCCTGTATAGGCATAAAAAGGTATACGGCAATACACAAAGGAAATTATGATATAAAACCGACCATATAAATATTATGTACTTTGACAAATAGGGTCGAAATAATTTACTTCCCAAAAACAATAGAGTCTACTTTCTTGAAATTTCTTAAGACAGTCCCCGACTGTAGGCAAGTGCCGATGGAGGCGCGTGGTGGAGCGATGAAAAAGCTTTGGGTAGTGGTTAAAATGCCTCAGCTACAGGAACTGCCATACCCAGGGCAAAGTGAATATATATATATATATATTTATATTATATTGATTTGTCGATGGAGAGTGGTTAAAGCAAAAATGAAGCCAAGCAAAAATGAAGCCAAAGACTGGGAAAAGCCTTTGTAACACAGACATTTGACATGCTCTCAGCACTTGACTTTTTGTTCACCCTGGTCACTGTTTTGAAGCCGTGCGACCATCCCCATTTCTCCCAGCAGGCAGCAAATTGGCAACCATTCACCATGGCAGAGAAAGTTGCTTGGCGGAAGAGTCATGTGATCTCGACTGGTTTTGTTTCTACTATTCTGGTAGAAGAAAGCGTGGCTTGTCTGAAAGCCAACCCCACATGGTTTATTGTCATGTTCCTCTTGAAATTACCATTGTTGGATTTGTTTGGGGTAATTTCCCATTTTAAGGCACACCATGACATTGTACTGTAGGCTGTGTATCCCAAGAAATATCCCTATTATCCATCATTATCCCCATGATATGTATATATATATATTATATTATAATCACCACCCCTTTAAGGCTACTTTTCAGGGGGGACCATACCAAAATGTAAGATACATTTTTTGGGACCCCCCCTTAAATGTAAGTCGCTGAACGTCCCCCAGGTGTCGTTTTTGTGGGGAGGGTCTTCAAAATACCTTCAAAATGTAAGCGTACATTTTCAAGGCTCCCCTCAAAAAATGTAGCTTACATGTGACTATTGTATACGTATATATATATAGTATATGCATGCATATGCAGTATATATTTGGAATTATTTAGATATATCTACATGCCTTATATCCCAAGAAATATCCCCATTATCCATCATTGTCCCCCAAAAAATGATGAAATCGCCATTTGTCGCGCTCGGTTCCATTCAGCCACATCTCCATCGCAGGTTTGCAATGCCTACACCTGGAGACGTCGACGGTTGGGGATGCTCAAAGAGGTGTGTCAAACATGGCTGGAGAATCCAATAAATGGCTGATGGATCTGATGGTTAGTAATGGCAACGGTTGAGAACGGCTAATCATGTTTAATCTTATGTGCAAAGGGTTCTGGCTGATGGGAATACTATCTGTTTTGATTGGGCATACCATCTATAAATTGGGAACATCCTTGTTTTGATTTACATACTCCATTTGTCTTGGCGTTGTAATGGGAAAATCATCAAACTAATTTTGAATGGGATGTGTATATATATATAATATATATAATTACTTGAATTGATGGATACTTTGATACATTTTGATACTCTGGGACCGTTTGAGTTTCTGATTCTTTCAGCGATTTGACATCATACAAGTGAAGATACGCTGGGAACTACGCCATGGTCCGAATGTGCGCGCAGATGTCTGCAGCTTCCAGCACCACTACATAGGTGTGGACATGGCTCCAGGGGGGTTTCTGCAGAGAATCTGAAGCTCCAAATGGGTATGGGTCAATACCTATAGATACATTACTATAGTGGGATGAACATCCATTTACCAGCTATTTTGGGGTTCACTAGGTACCAGGGTTTTGACCCATAGCCAAATAGAATAGATCAAACTTCAATCTGATGCCAGGCCTATTGAACCATTCCGGAAGGATTGAAGGATGATGAAGGAAAAGCACAGAATTCATCACATGTCTACTGTTTGGCGCTCATTGCACCCATTGCCTGATTTAATTGGACGTCATAGCCACGTGGCTCAAGCACCATTGAGATTTGGCCATACCATGCTGTGATATGCTGTGCATGACAAACCCAAAGGTCCAGAAATGTGTTGCACACACAGTTACAATAGTTCCAATAGCGTGTAATTCTTCATTGAAAGATGATAAAGATGCACGCAACTCATGCAACTATACAAGATATACAAGTCAGACACATTCAGCTCTACTGTATCCGCAGTAGGCCATTCGGCCCATTCGCATCATCCCCTCAGCCTCGACCGAAGGCACGGCACTGGCTGGGTCATCCTCAAACGCTAAGGGGTGAGAACTTGGAGAAGCTGATTGAATTTGTTTCTACCAAACTTGGCCCTATAAATTTGACAAAGTCCAGATATATCCAGATGGACTGTTTGCATTAATATCCACGTCAGCCTTCCAGTTTCCCTATACCCAAGTCGTTGTGCTTCAAAAGCATCAAAGTACAGTATTCTGAAGAAATCGGGTTTGCAAAGCTCCATGTTGTTGCAGGATACACCATTTTTCTCTTGTTGCCTACCGATCCTACAGTAGGTGCATGACAACTCATGACACTTGTCGAGATGACAGTGGAATAAGGCGAATAAGGTCAATAAAGTTCAATAAGTCAATCAGGTCTGAACTAAGGAGCACAATGTGCTCACATGGGAATATCGCAGCTATCTGGCCACAAAGCCTCTGCAGGTACCTATGGGGTCGTCCTCTGGAGCAATGAAAGCGACAGGCCAAGGCAGCAAATGGAGCGCGGTCACGGATCCGTAAAGGATGGTGAGTACGGTGAGCACCAGTTCTTTGGGTCTGTTTGAGTATAAAGATTGCAAAGTGCTGAAGCGCTTTGGTGTTGACCACTCAAAATTGGAAATAGGCTCAGAAGAATCAGATCAAACACATGAAACACTCTGGTTTGAAGAATCTGTGTATTTCAATGGTCAGCAAGCAGTCCTAGATTCGGACGATGGGCTAATTGAATTCACTACAGTTGCTTTCAACTGCTTTCCATTGTTACATTGTTGAAACCTTTCCCGCACGAGGCGGAGACACACCGCTTTCTGCCAGAGCCCTATCAAGAGAGAGGCAAGAAGAAGAGGAACTCGCTTCTCCAAAACCTGTAGATGTGCAAATGGAGTCTCAGATGCAGAGCCATGCGTGGGCGGTGGGCGGTGCCAACGTTGTTGGGACCCGATGTTTGTTCTGAAGAGCCCTGATGAATTAGCACTGAGTGACCTGCGAAGGGTTTCCTTCAGCATCCAAGTGTAAAAGATTCAGTATAGAATGGATGAATTTTCACCATGTATTTGCCAGCGGGCCTCACTTCAGATACTTCAAGGATCTTCAAGGGGATATGGGGATGAGGGTTCCATGTTCTTCCAGCCATACCGAACTCAGAACTCATCAAAACTGGGTGCCAGCAAGCTGTTACACCTCATGGAGCGGAAACAAGATGATGGCATCCTGGCTGCAGACTTTAAGATTTAAGATGCATTGAAGTGTTATTTACATGTGCTCAGGTGCTCCAGTGCTACCTTGAAAGAATATCATGAAACGGCCTAAATTGGCAATGCTTGGACAGATATTGTTGATACTTGTACAGTTGTACTACAGTTGTACTACTCGTTGCACTTGTTGCAGGCTGGTGCTTCACCGGAAAAGGTGGCAGCTGCTGCGTGCCACGAGGATCCATCTACGGAGCCGCGCTGGTGGGACCCCCGGACTGGGACTGGACACTGGACACCAATGATTTCCGAAGGTTTCTGGGTCATGTGAGCAGTGTTCAAAACCCCTGTTGGTTGATGATTATAGGGGATTATACTACCCAATATATTGGGGATTCTAATAATCCAATAATAGGGAAATCCCTATAAACCAAGCAGTATAATGGAATGGATTTTGAACACAGCTTTTGGTTCAGAGGCCTACCAGTCTGGCAAAGCGGTTTCGACTGACATCTGGACTAGTCGCTGTTGATCTTGGTTGCCATGGAATATGCCTTTTTGGTGCACACTGAGGCTGAGGGTCGTTTCAAAGGATTGATTGTCATTATATGAGGGTTGTCTTCAACACACAGCTCCTCATGGAGGTCGCGCGACCATAGTTGCAGGGGTTCACATGACAGATCTGGCAGGTCAAGCTGGCGCAGTTTGCAGAAGTCTCATATATGGTCAAACATTCCACCTGAAAACCCAGTTGGATGAAACAACAGTAGCAGCCACCATTCTCAATGGCAAGGTGACCTATCACAAAGGACCGGTGATCATAGTTGATGACCGAAGTGGGATTTTGCAGCATCGCATGCGTGACTCTGGCCCGTTGACGGAGCTCATTGAGGTGTGTTCAGGACTTGGAGGAATAGGGATGGGTGCCAAAGCTGCTGGATGGAAAGTTGTGGCGCAGAATGAACTGATGTCATGCCGTCAGCCATTCTCTTGAGCGGGAGACAAATGGCAGGGCATGGATGAAAGGTCTGCAACGTTGCCATTTGGGTTGTATGCTAGCTACCTTTTGATGATTGATCTCACGGTCTTGGAGTGCGTGTCAGAAGCAGGAATGTCTCCATTCGTCCAATGGTGTCTTGAGTATCATTTGGCCGGCCACAAGACGTATATATGTGGTGGACGGTCATTTCCCGATGTCATTTTGGCCGCATCCACTCGTATCCTCTCCCGAAGTTGGCTGCACGATCGCAGGTTTGTTTTCGGAATTTTTGAAACTTTCTCAGGCAGAACTGGATCAGTTGACTTTGTCAGAAGTTGAGAGGGCAGCCTTTCACAACTCTGGAAAGGGTATCGTTTCGCAAATGGTGGACACAACAGGTCCCCTCAACACCGCTCTGCATAGCTGGGGCAGTGTCAGGATTGTGCATGTGGATGTTGAGGACCTTTCAGTCACCAGAGATTGCAGCAGGGTTTGCAAGGGGCATTGGTCCATGTCGCTGGGAAAGAACCATGTTCAAATCTCAGGCATATCTCCCCAAAAGAAATGGCTCCGCTTTGTGGGGTTCCAGTGGAACAAGGGTGGGAACCCGGAACCCCCACAGCAGTTGTTGATGGCAGGCATTAGCCAAGTAGCATCACCCAGTCAAGCTGCATGGATTTTTGCCCATATTCGAAGTCATCTTGGGGACATGAAGTATTGGGGGATTTCCGTCCACAAACCCAGGCACATACTTGCATGCGTATGTATGGAACTGTTTGAGTTGCGTGACAAATGGTGTGGTGGCTACATGCCAGTGGCTATGAATCTTTTTCGGGAATCCATTGAAGAACTTCTTTCTCCAGACCGTTTGCCAGTGGATGATCAGGAGACCAAGGATCCAACAGTTGAGGCGGGGACCCATTGAGCAGAAGCCGATTGGTCACACACACTGCATGCCAGGCCAGTTGCAAGTCAAGCCCGAGGGCACCCATGTTCCACCCACCCGCTTTCAGGCCATGCCTCTGCAACAGGTCCAGGCTGTTGGAGGCCCTTCCCAAGTTGATGCAGAAAGCTCAAAGAAGAGACCACTTGAGGTTGCAAGCAGTGAGCTGCACTCAGACCACTTGAACAAGCATCACACACAACATGGTTTTGCAGGAACGTCAGGTGTGCCCTGTGAAATCCTCAGTAGTTGCGCTGCACATGCATCCGCAAAGTTCCAAGGAACAGAATCAGCACAGATCCAGCCGTCCATCCATGAGAAAGCAGTCAGCGATTTGACAGAGGGTCACGCGGGTGACAGACACCCGGAGTTTCGACCAGCGTCAGTTCATGAAATCACTGAAGCAGAACCCCATGTCCCTCCCACCCTCTTTCAGGCCATGCCTTTTCAACAGGACCAGGCTGTTGGAGGCCCCTCCCAAGAGAAATTGATAGTAGTGATTTGAGCATCGTCAGGCCGGGACAGCATCCTAATCCACTGAGGAAGGAACGCCAAGTTTTCTCAGAGAAGTCTATGAGCACCAAAAGATTGTGGCAGTTGATCCAAGCAAGAACACCGATCCACAGCTGCACAAACTTCACTATGGAAAAGATGATGACGAGATAAAGCAGACTCATCAGAACAACAAGCATCCAGAGGCATTTCAGCCAGTGACAAAATTGCAATGAAGTGAAGCCCTATGTCCCCCAATCATCAGATTGACTCAACTGCAGTCAGGGGATGCGCAATCAATTTGCAAACTGGTGGGCTCCAGGAGGTAGATGCACAAGCTCGCCACGTGGCATCAGATCTACTCAGCAACAAAGTTGTGGGGATGGAGACTATGCAGCACCATACTGTCTCCCTAGGACCAAATCAAACTGTAGCCAGCTTGCAAACTGCCGATGCAGCACTTGGTCACAAGAAACTGCACTGCTATGACAACATCGACATTGAGCTCAGTCCAGATCGGTTGCTAGAAGCACAATCTGTTGTGTTGTTCAGCGAACAAGCATGGGACTTCTCACAAGAAGTGATCAGGAAGACATTGCACATGTTGGGGTATCCACGTGACAAGAACATCCACATGCAAGGAGGACCTGTTGCTTCTGATGAAATGAGGTTTTACCTGCATAGCCCTCAACACTGTGGAAAAGTGATCGTGGTACCACCGATGATCCTCACTGACCTTGATGATGCAATTCTGTTGGCCGAAGCATGGCAAGTAGAATTTCATCCCACTTCTCCAGTACCACTGGTGTCAGCTGTCTTGTTCAATGGCCATTGGATTCCTGTCATAGCTGTTCCATGTGACTGACAATTGCATTGGGCCTCCAACTTGGAGGGCTTCCAAGCATGGGCATTGATGTTTCCATTTGACAAGTTGCCCACTCAGATCCAACAGGAGTTGCCATCCGTGTGTGTGCAGGACTGCGGGTTTCAAGAATTTGCATGGATCAAAAGCTTAGTTGCAGCATCAGTCCCACAGAGCATGACCACCAAAGAAGCGTCCCAATGGCGTCACTTGTTTTGGCAACAGCTATTCATGGAGAAGCCGATGCAACGCACTGAATGGCTCACTTGGAGGCCAGTCGGAGCTTGAAACTGCCATTGCGGCGATTCTCAGAGAGCATGGGGTTTTCCCGCAAAGAGTAGTTGAAAGAGCCGAGCAGGTCATTCAACAACTTGACACAACGAATGCCATCCATGCAGCACGCCCTTGGGCATCTCTCGGAGAACTTGCCAACAGTCAGACACCCAGATCGCGCTTGATCTGGGAAGATGAATTCTCAAAAATTGCACGGAGCCAAACAGCCTAAAACCAGCAGTTGGCCACAAGAAAGAAGTATCGACACAATGCATCCGTACAGGGGAACCAGTTTTGCTCAGCGTAGTCATGATCCAGAAAGGTCAAACCTAGGTTCAACGAGTTGCACCTGCCAAGCCGATTCAAGTCGAAACCGTCAAGGCTCAGACCATCAAGATCTTGACATACAGAGATCAGGTGGAAGCAAATTGGGATGAGTTTACTGAAAGGCCAATCAAAGCTGTGCTCGAGGCACTCCCAGGCCTCAAGATTTGTAAGGTGCAGGATTGCCATTGCCCCAGCTGGCATCCAACGGCCGACACATCCGAGCCCATTCTGGACATGGCAGAGGCATTTCTTCACAGTGCATTTTAAGGAAGCAAAAGCCAGGGAATCGACCAGTTTCTCTTGCATGCTGCCTGCCACAGGAGATGCATGTGCACAGATCTCCCCATTGTCAGGTGTTGCAGGTATGTACATAGAAGCACGGTCGCCAGATGGAAAAACACAGGACACCAACTTTCACACAACCCGGCTCAGCAAGTCGACTTTTGAAGAAGCACGTGCATTCCAGACCACGGTCACATGTGACTCAAGCTTGGTGAGGGTCTCAAACCGATATGGACTCAGGGTGTTAGCAAGTGATGCCAAAGTGGTCCATCACATGATTCGTCCTGAAGTCCCGTTTCTTGGAGGTACAGCCATCCCCTACGGGACAACTCGCGAAGGGTTGGTGAAGTTATTCCAGGGATGGGAGTGGGGAGACAAGTCTGGATTGACGTGGCAGGTGGTGTCCAACACGCCACCTCCCAATTTTGTCTATACGTTGGCGCATGGAGATGTCCTGACCGTCAAGGCTGAACCCAATGAGCTCAAGGTGCATGCAGGCACAGGTAGAAGCATCCTCACACACACACACGCAAGGCAGTTTCCAATGCTGCCCTGATCGGAGATCCTTGGGCTGAAGCTGCAGCCAAATTGCCAAAAGCCAACAATCCAAGCATTCCAGCATCCGAAGCACAGATCGCTGCTATGGAGGCTTCCATTGAACAAAGAGTGCCGACCAGAAAGCAATGATGCGGAGATGTCGTCCGATGTCGAGCCAAGGATCCAAGCATTGGAAGGACAGATGCTACAGATGCAGCAGGAACAGAACGTCATTGTGAACCAGCAAGGAGCCCTGGGCAAACATGTTGAGCACTTGGGGCAGCAGCTTGAAGGTCAGACCAACAGGATCCAGCACACTTGGACGAAAGACTCAACGACCAGATGCAGAAGATCGAGGCGCTGCTCAACAAGCTCCCCAGACAAGAATGACAGAAGAAGCCTGGGGCCAAAGAATTTTGTTAAGCCGGTCATTGCATCGCATCTTGGCTCACATCTCTGAGGATCGGGGAAGCAATGTACCCGGGCCCAGAGCTTTGGTCTTTAGCAGCTGTCCAATCCAACAGCATTACTAGGGAAAAGCATCTAATTTTGCCACCCTTGCACCGGGCATAGGCTGCAGTCTCAGAGACCCACTCGACCCCGCAGGGCAGAATTCGTTTCAAGCAAGAGCTGGCAGGTTCAAAGAGCCCTTTCCAGTTGACTCATGGACATCCGGCACCGTATCGCTCCAGTCGGTCAGATCGTATGGGGGCAAACAAGTTGGTACAGGATTTTTGTCCACTTTTCCTAGTCGTCCACTCCAAGCTGGCTGGCAAAGTGAAATCTTTGAAACTAGCAGAGTAGGGTCGTCTTGGATCCATGGTGGTGTTCTCTATGGTTACGCTCAGATGTCAGAATCCCCTGCAGCGCGGCAACAAACCGAAGAGTTGATGCAGTCTTTAACACAACAAGTAGTCCAAGCAGGACATGAGCTTGCCTTGGTAGCAGGGGACTGTAATCAAGTTTTTGAGTCCATGACAGAGCCAAAAAATGGGAGGCCATGCATGGGCTGGAAAAAGATCCAACACATCGCTTTTGAAAGGTGGCGTGCTCCACCAGTCGCAGCTTGCAAGAGAACATCGCGTAAGGATTTTTTGTTCTTATCCCCTGCCTTGCAAAGATCAAAGGTACGGGCATGCAGTTTCCAATAGTTGGGAACACTTTCCTGACCATAGCGTGTTGTCAGCCACCTTGGCTTTTCCAAAAGCGGATCCCCTCAAAGCATGTTGGCCAAAGCCACAGCCTATCCAGCACACAGACAAAGAAGAGAGATCTGCCATTCAAAACGTGGAACTTGAAACCTTGGATGTGGAAACTTCATCCGATGCAGTTTACACTCAAATATGTGTAGCCTTTGAGAACGGTGTTCATCAGACCAAAAGAAAGCTGGGCCACCCAGGCCTAACCCACGCCCAGCCGGGTAGAGGAAAAACGAAACAGCGCAGTTTTCAAAAGTCTCAGGTAACACCCTTGAAAGCATCCAGGCACGGGGAACTCACCCCAAGTTTTGATGGGTTGAACTTGCGGTATAAAAGGTGGTTTACCCAGTTGCGAAGGTTGACAGCTTACCGCAATCTAGTCAACCTGAATCGACAAGAAGCCTCTGCCTTGGAACACAAGTACAAACTTTGGAAATCAATCATGCTTGCCCCAAGCTTTGACAAGTCTTTCGGGTGGTGGTGGCCTCACCGAGCCACCAAGCCGCCACAAGAAACCCTGGCACTGCCATCCTTTCCACCGTCCATCGAAGTGGCGCAGTATTGTCTCACTCAATTTCAGTTGGAGTTGGAACAGTTTGAGAAAGTTCGGCGGCAGGAACAACAGGTTTCTAGATACCAGGCTGATGCAAACCAGATTTTCAGAGATGTGCGAAAACAGAGGCCTGAACCAGTGCAAGTTTTGCTGGCCAAGGAAACAGCAGTGGTCGTGGTCACCCAAGTGCTGACCAGTACCACCATCTCTCTTCGCAATGCAGGTGAATGCATGGAAGCCAAGACATGGCAATCCAAGCAAGGTGTCCGCATAGTGCAGTCACAGCAAGCAAGTGAGGTTACGTTTGAGTCCGAGCATGGTCTGGTTGTGGGAGATGTTCTGTCCCATGAGCAGCTGGTAGGATCGGTATCCGAAATACATGATGTGTTGGCCAGTGAATGGTCAGCCCGATGGCATAAGCACATGAATCTCCCTGATGATCATTGGCAAGAAATCACAAAGTCTGCTGAACTAGCACTTCCATCAATTCCCATGCAATATACCGACTTAGGAACGTGGAAACAAACCATAGCTGCTAAAAAGACCCGCACAGCAACAGGACTCGATGGGATCTTCAAACAAGATCTCTTAGCCATGCCTGACGCACTGCGCTTGGAGATCATCATCTTGCTGCATCGAGCAGAGCGAGCAGACTGGTGAATGGCCAACACGGGCTTTGCAAGGAGCAATCCACTCACGGGCCAAATGTCCACATGCGGACACAGTGGATCAGTTCAGGCCAGTGACAATCCTGCCATTGATTTATCGATGTTGGTCCACCATTCGGTCCAAAGAAATCCTTAGACACATTGAAGCCATCGCGCCCCCAACCATGTTGGGGAACTTGCCCAAAAGAAGTTCGTCGGCAGTATGGTGGCAACTTCAAGGTTTGGTTGAAAGGAGTCTTTATGATGGTGCTGCCTGCACTGGCGCAGTTAATGATCTAGTGAAAACCTTCAATGGTCTTAATTCCGCGTTGTCCAATCTTCGCCCTTGCAGTTCGCATAGGACATAGGAATCAGCCCAGGGGTTGTCAGGGCATGGTCATCAGCAGTCGCAGAGGTCACCCGACAGTTTTGGGTGAGGGGTCAGCCAGGACCACCTTTGCGCAGTTGCACAGGTTTTCCTGAAGGATGTGGCCGCAATGTGTTTATGCAACTTGCTTACCCACTCCTACTGCTTGTAGTGTCGTTGCTCTAGGGTTTCCTTTTTCACGTGCGTGGATAATGTGGAGCTGCTTAGTGAAGACCCACAAGACACAATTGAGGCGTTGCAGGTGTTGGAAAAGTTTACAGAGTATTCGGGCACACCCATAGACCCTCGTAAGACATATGCCTGGTATTGGATGCAGCAGGACGCAAGTCCCTTCGGAATGCGGACCAACACGTGTGCCACAACCATGCTGATTTGGGAGCTCATTCTCAGTACTCTGGTAATCAGACCAATGGCACAGTGAAGAAAAAATGCCAAGCATTAGCTCAGCTGTGGCCGCGTTTGGCACAAAGCAACGCACCGTTGGCGCACAAACAGGGAGTTCTTGTTTCAGTTGCCTGGCCCAGGGCTTTCCATGCAGCTAGCGCTGTCTTTTTGTCAGAGTCGTGCGGGAGCAATGCAAAGCTTCAAGCTTGAGAAGACAGGGGCAAGCTCACTGCTCCAGCTCTCACTGACCACCAACACGTTGCTGGACCCAAGATATTATATTCTGTGGGATGCTCTTGTGCAGTTCCGCCGTTTTGCCAATTTGGATACTGAAGCCAGCATACTTGATTTGGCAGTTTGGATGTCTGATCGGCTGAAGAGCCAGGGCCTTGTGGAGTGTTAGCTGCCAGGTTGTCTGAAATTGGTTGGTTTCACCTCACCGGCTTTCTTTTCCTTGGCCAAGATGGCAATCAAGTTGATATCATGCGTGCTCCCATTCAAGAGTTGAAACAGCGGACCAAAAGAGCTTGGATTAGTTTGTGGGGGCGAGCATGGTGTATCGCAACGGTTCTGCAGGGCTAGGAAAAGTAGATGTCGCACTCAGCACCAAACCAGTACCCAGCTGGGCTGCAGATGAGGCTGGCCGCACCAGAGCTTTGCATGATGGCACGTTCATGACGCATCATCATCTGAGGTCTGCCAAACAAATAGGCTCAGATAGCTGTAAGTTTTGTGGCAAGCCAGATTTTCTCACTCACCGTCACTGGGAGTGCCCATATACGGAGCAACTTCGTCAGAACCTGCCAGCAGAACTGACAGGAGCAGTTTCGACATGGCCAGTTTGCACTCGCAAGAGACGGTTGGTTTGTTGAACCCCAGTCACCACAGGAGTTCAAGAATGTTTTAGCCAATGTCCCCCTTGTCACGCATCAATGGAGCAGTTAATTGCAGCCAGGTTTTTTGAATTCTTCACTGATGGATGTTGCAAGTCGCCCCACATACCCAATGCTAGGCTTGTTTGTTTCACACGCAATCGTTGTTTCGACGGAAAACATGTTGGCACCAAGCTTTGAATATGTTATTGGAGGGGGGGTTCCGGGACAATGGCAAACAATTTTGTGAGCAGAGCTGACTGCAGTGGTCATGGTTGTCCGCCTCAGTATTATGCGTCACCAACCAGCCAGGATTTGGCGTGACAATGCCACAGTAGTCAGGCGCATGCAGAAGATGCTTCGTGGACACTTCGTATGTAGACTGACAATGCCTGATCATGATCTTTGGGAAGTTTTGCACAGTTTGCTTGTGAACGCGCCAGTGCAGATTCAGATTTTCCAAGTAGCGTCTCATCTCAGGTAAATCCAGATGCTGACGATTTCTTGCGTAGGGTTTTCGAAGGGAATCAATCAGCTGACTTCGCAGCACTTTGGGCAATGTCGCAGCTTCCCGGTTCAGTGTTACAACTGCAGCAGCAGTTTTTCATATGAGTATACCCAGGCATCAAGGCTGCAGCAGGAACTTTTGGCTTATTTTGCTAGGGTTGGTTTGTTTGCAGTTCAATGGCAAGAAGAAGTCCCAGAAGAGCAAACAATGTCGGTTGGAAGGGAACCTATCACACCTGAGATTGAAGTTTGTCTGGCCCAGGTTGGTAGGTTGGCTCACAATGCACCACAGCAGATACAATTCACAGGATTTCATAAGGTAATCGAATGGTTGCAATTTGTGCAAGCTGCCAGTGAAGATGTCCCAGCGTCATGGGTCACATGGTATGAGTTGATGTGGAGCTTTCAAAGGTACACAGGTATCCGTGAACTGCGCAAAGTGGACTGCCACAGCAAGTGGGCAGTTCAGTCAGAACGCTAAGAATATGACTGTGTCAAATCCTGCAGGTCGTTCGCCGCATTCATGACTCACTTGATTTGCACAGTCCGTCCAGAGTTTCAAAGCAAGGTGGTCAAACCCACCAATTACAGATGGCAGATGTGGGGTTGCTGCTTGGCCTTCAAGTGGAATCCCACAGATAAACAGAAGATACTTGACTGGATCTTGGCAGAAGCTGGCTACCGCCAGTTCCACAAAGTGCAGGCGGACTTGGGCACTATGCCATCACTATGCGTTCTGCCTGTCACTGGTCACTCCTGACGTGGTCAATCCTTCGAGTTGTGGCCTACACCGCTTCTTCAAGTAGTTTTCTCGAGTACACCAACGGTTCTGCTAGAGCTGAGGCATTGATCCAAGGTCGAAAAAGGTCGAAAAAGGATTTTGAACACTGCTCATGTTGTCAGGACATGTTACCAGAGATATCCAGAGTTCCACATTCATCACAGCCTCAATCCCAGGCACTGCCTCAAATTGCTCGAAGTTGCGAGTGGCCGGGCACACTTTGTGCAGTGCCTGAGCGCCGGCATTAGTGGTCGATGGTTTTGCCTCACTCGTGTGGAACAGTAATTAATTAATATATTTCAAATCAGATGTTTAGATCATGACAACAGGATGAACGAACAGGAAGTTGGGCTACGGTTGAGTGTGCTCATGGTTCTGGAATTGTCAGCACAAACCTTCCAAGCCCGTCTAAAAGCGGTGACGCATATTTCTGTCATCTTCAAAAATCAACACCAGAAAATTAAGGGTGAATCAACGTCCCAATACATTTTTAATAATATGTTAATTATGCATTTTGGGTACCTTTAACAGGCCAAGGTTTTGACCCATCCCCGGCAGACCGTAGTCATGCGGCCCAGCTGGTGATCCGCACGTACTTTTTCTGTTTCCTCAACTTCATGCTGCAGGTGCGACAACTGAGCCCTGATCTTTTCCGATGACGGGGAAACATTTTTTTTGGCAGCATTTCGGAAGATCTGTGCTACATTAATGCGACACCTTTATATATATATATGATAGTTTTATCATATATATATATTATATACATACATATATTAAAACATATTGTTTAATTTGATAAATATTTTAATGAACATAGTAGTAATGTTTCAATGAAAAACTGATAATAGTAATACCAAGCAAATTTGAACTATATAGGGAACTGTGATGGATTGAAAGTTGGATCATGTAACAGCGCCCACCCTATGCAGGCTTATTTGTTATCCATGATTGGTGAAGAGTTCAACCTGTGGTTCCTCTTTGCCGGGCGAATGCACCTGTGTGATTTTGGACGCTCAATTCAGGACGCAGCAAATTGGGAAAGATTCAAGAGTTCAGTTGGATCATAAAGATCCATAGCGTTGTCTCGAATTTTGGGACCCTAATGTAATGGATCATCATCATTCCCCACCTGCCAGTTGAGGGCCTCTGGATTTTACAGAGGTGTCTCCTCGCCAGCTCTGGATGCAGCTGGGCACACTTGGACCCGAACACATGCCAGAAAGAATGTCAGATAGAATGCTAGACAGAATGCCAGATAGAATGCCAGACCGAATGTCAGAATATATGCCAGATAGAATGCCACAAAGAATGCCAGATAGAATGTCAGAACATATGTCAGATAGAATGCCAAACAGAATGCCAGATGGAATGTCAGAAAATATGCTTCAAAGAATGCCAGATACAGTGTCGCAATATATGTCAGATAGAATGCCAGACAGAATGCCAGATAGAATGCCAGATAGAATGCCAGATGGAATGTCCGAATATATGCCTCAAAGAATGCCAGATAGAGTGTCACAATATATGTGAGATAGAATGCCAAATATAATGTATTCGAATATATGTATGTCAGAGATAATGTCAGTTGGTGGGGATCACTTTTCAAGATGTTTCCTAGTAGAATTGCCATGTTGTTTTTTTTCCGCCGTTGGTTTGACCAGAACTGGTGATGGCCAGGACTGCCCAGACGGGCCCAATTGTGTGGGTCCAAGGGGCACCATTTTTTCCTATCCACGGCTCTATGACTTTGTGCCTTGGTGAAGCTTTCAATGGATGACCCACCGAACATTAGCCGAAAAAAAGATTTTTCTCAATTTCAAAAACATCCACATCCTACGTTTTACAGTTTTTTTTTACTAGTTTTCTGTTCAATTGGAATCACTTGAGGGCAGATGTTGGTAGCTTCATGATGTCCACTTTTTGCCCGAGGACGTGTGGGGGACAAGGATCTTTGCACAGGACAGCATGGCAGCCGCCCCTCAGCTACATGGTGTATGTATCATTGCGTATATATCATATATATAATCATATAATTTTTATTTATTTATATATATATATTTATATAATATAACATTATATAGGACACTATAACAAACTATATTATAACATAATAACTCATGATTAATATACTATAATATAATATACTATAATATAATATAATAGAATATAATATACTATAATATAATAAAATATAATATAATATACTATAATATAATATAACATAATATAATATAATATTATAATATAATATAATATAATTTAATATAATATCATATCATATCATATTATATCATATGATTTAGTACAATACAATACAATACAAAATAATGTAATACAATATAATTGTATAAATATATGATTATATGTGTATCTCAAGGATTGTCGCTCGCAGATGAAAATAAAAATGAAAATCAAAAGATATCCGTTTCAAGCAGAGGATTTCTGTAGGATCGAACGGGATTGCCTGAGGTCAACGCCACACACCTGGACAAAGTGGATCCTGGAGAGTGCCTCCTGGGTGCTGAGTAACAAGCACTGACAAAGCTGACAAGTTGGGAAAGTAATCTCCATTTGACTGTTTTAGTATGACCGTCTGACCTCTATATTCTTTTTGCCAGATAGTGCCCGGCCCATGCCGGGGCGGAAGTTTCGAAAAAAAATGAAATAGTTATAAGAAATCAATGGCTTATAGGAACGTTTTTGAGATGCAGAATCAATGAAGTGTTGAAGTTGTGAAGTGCATCAGCGAATAAGCAAATGGTAGTTGAGATGCAAGCATCTTCTGATCTGGGCTGCTTCTCTGACCTTGCTCCAAGCTACCTCCCAGCTACATCTTCTGTAGCTTCTGTAACCCAATTTTTCTCTTCGCGCAGCTGTTACAATGCGATGCAATGGGTTTAGCAACCTCCAGCTGCAATCCGGCATAACAGGAGCGTTAGGGCATCACCAATGCTTTGCTGCGCGCAGCCATGCCAAGGCAATTTGTCGTAACCGGTGGCAAACCCGCATAGCAGGAGCGTCGTGGCAAATCGACGAACGTTCGCGCAGCGCTGACAATGGGTACAATTCCGCGCTACTCCAAGAGCGTCAGTTTTTACGATTTTTTTTTGTAATTATTGTGTTCTTGCTACAGTGTCGTACACTTTTTGCCGACCTCATCTTCCAAACGTGCTCCGTGGCTGTCGGTCTTTTAACGTTTTGAGGTGCAAGCCGAGCTCTCGCTTCAGTCCTGTGCACTCTTTGTTGACAACCTGCCAAGATCGAGCCCCGCACCCGCAGAAACAGAGACCTTATACTTCGGCGACCCCACAAACCACATTACCCGAAGAAACAAAGAGTTTTGCGCACGAGAATGGTTTCACCCGTGAATGCACGCGCTCCCAAATTACTCTCCTCTACCATTTTTTGGACGCACGAATCCTTAGACGATTGAGAGGTTGGTGTCCCAGCCAGTTTCAGTTCCCACATTGACAGGTACGGCTTGGAAAATTTCTATTGTCGCCACCTGGCCTGCAATTGTGTGAGAGAGCATTGGATTGGTTGAATTGGCTGGAAATTGGTAGGATAGTATCGTTGAACATGCGAATTTCGTGTCGTATCTCGACTTGGAAGGATTTTTTCTGGGATTTAGGAGGGAAACAAGAACAATTATTTGTGAATGTGGGAGCTTTCGAATCTGAGTCACCATCAATCATCACCGTTTGTTTTGCGCCATAGTAGCGTTACATTTCCTGCATATTTTGTTGACTTAATTGGTGTCACCTCCCGATTTTCAACGTAACAATGCTACGATTCTTGCATGTGGTGTGATTTGTTGAGCACGGCATGTATCAGTAACAGTGCGTCACCGCATTCACTGAGGCATGGTTTGCATTTTTCTCTTCCTGAAATCCACTGTGACCGATTTTTGCGAGAACATCGAAAATATCAAGACGGGTTCTTGGGGCATGCCATACCCGGTTCAGTGCAGTCTGATTTCAATGTTTCACCTTTGGTTGGCAGAAGACACACGCGTGGCTAAAAAAAGGTGTTGTTTCCATCGATTTGGTTATGGATTCAAACATACAGATAACCTATATTTTCACATCAAACTAGATCGAATACCTGATAGTTATCACTGGTAGTTGTAGTTTAAAATTTTACCAAAAATGATAATTTATCCCTCATCCATGACCTATGATGGCAAAAGTGCCGCATTCCCCTGCGAGGACGTTAGTCTTGACGCCCACCAGGGCTGATAGCTGGATCAACATGCACGTTCCGAACTGGGCAGCCAAATCTGATGTGAAGACACCTTGATGCACCGATGCAGAGATTTTCGAAGTCGTTACTTGAAATTGTTGAAATCACAAGTAGTTTACCATGTGAAGATTGTGAAGTACATCCACAGAAATGTGCAATCTGTTGCCAGTAGTATCGGCTTCGTGTGCGTCTGGTGAGTCTGGTGCTGGTGCCTTTTTTAGGGCGTTCGATAACATGGACGAACTGGACCTGGTGGAGTATCGCGTAGCGGGCATGCCACTGCATTGGAAGATTCTCAATGCTGCTCGTTCTGGAAAGTGCGATTGGAATCATGGGCAACTGACCTTTGTGGATGGGTGAAGATGTGTGAAGCGTAAAATCGCTACATTAGTAGGTATGTGATCATTGTATGATATTGTATGTATTGACAGGAACTAAGAAAAGCAGCACTGGTCTACAAGCAGAACAAACATATGTCAAGAGTCGAGATGATCGTATGTACGCACATATACCGTATGGCGTGCCTTGTTTGCTGTTTGCTATGATCATATCGTATCTCACTGTGGTAGCATGTTCCCATCATTTTCTATGATGTAATGTTCTTTTTTGAGGCCATATTCATCCTGGTTCCGAAGACTCTGCTGTGGTTGGGAGTCACCCGATCTGGCGTGCACTACCTCATGGAGACAGCAGGAATCATGAACGTTGTGGTGAATGCTATGGCTCTAAGCTTCATCTTGAATGCACCTTGGCTGAGTGCAGCTTTTTGTTGGGGACTTTCTATACGGAAGATACCAACTAGTCAACTAGTCAATGTTAGTGGTAAACATAAGGAGACGAAAGGCATTTTCACAGCAGCGGAATCTGTTCAATATTGTTTAGTCTTTTTAAATATTGTTTAATATTATTTAATTGTTGTTTAATCATATCCACCAGCCCAAAAACAAGAATTGATTTCCACCATGTGGTGCTTTCACGGAAGGATCTCCAAGACTTGCCTTTCTGTCATCCTCGAGCTGTCTTTGTCGCGAGCTGTCAGCTCGTTCATGCTTCGATTGTTTTCGTTCCCCTTGATCCCCCAATCTACTAATTATATCTATTATATATTAAATTTACACATATTTACTATTATTTACTCAACATGTCTGCGGATTATCTGCGTTAAAAAGGATTGTCTTGGCCAGAGAGACGTTGGAGTGGTGATGTGCTTTCTCGCATTCTTTCTCGCGTAGTGACATTCAAATCATTCAGGGTCAGCAATGATGTTGCCAAGTACCCTCTGGTAAACTACTGTAACATAGCTACTGAAAATGGCCATTTATAGTTGATTTGATTTACCCATATTTACCCATTAAAATTTGTGATTTTCCATAGTGATGTTAGTTTACCAGAAGGTATTTGACCTATTCGAGAGACCAGGTGGATGAAATGATCTTTGAGAGGCTGACAAGCACGCTCTCGACTTACATTCTGAAGCTCGACGTAAAGCTCGAGTTGGAACGTTTTTGGATCACCGAGCTCCAGGGCTTGGCCGTATGATTCCTGGGAAAAGAATATGTTTGTAAGAGATAGACAAGATTTGGTCTATGCTATACTGATGAGATGAAGTGTAATTACATGCCATGCCATTTGGAATTTCAGAACGTGCTGCAACTGGATAAGCACATATAAGCACTCAGGAGTCACATTCAAGCCTTGGCTCTTTACGAAGACGACCTGGAGGAAACGGATGAGCAAGCTCTTGCTCGATATGAGAAGCAGGAGATGAATATGGGCTGTCTCAGCATCTGGCTGCGTTGGAGCTGTTGAGTGGGTTGGCTGTCGATGGTTTTGGAACACTGCCACGTGTGGGGTCCAAATAGGACATAGGACCAGTAGTCCAAAGGGGACACTCCAGACTTTGAGGCTACATACATTCTCCAGAAATCAGCAAAGCTATAGGATATTATGAATTCTTGCAAGATATTACTTGATATTCCGTACAATTATATAGTCATTGAATTTGTGATTTTCATTTTCGCATGCCAGGTTAAGACATGTTAAGACATCTCACGCTTGACAATCTTGGAATATCCTTGAAAGGTCCTTGAAAAAACCCGATGTGTTGCACGGGCTTGGGATGGCTTGAGGTATTTTGTGGAAGATCATGCCCATGCAGCTCATTGTGCTCATCGCGACTCTGGTTCTGTTTTTGTTCCTTGGATCATTTGGATCAGGGTTTGAGACAAAATAGGTAAAACTCTACAGGACGCAAGTTGTTTTGGCTTTTTTGGCAATGAAATATGGTGGGTTCCGTAAATTTTCTCTCAAGCCGATTCTGGGATTGGATGCCATAAGAAGAGCAAGAGGAACTCTAAGTCTCTAAGTCTCAAGCAGTGAGTTGTTTTCAGTTTGGTTCTATGCATCGCTTCCCTCAAGAATGTTGCGTCATGGCACCCTTTGATCTATTTGTGCAGTTGCACCGGGCTGGAAAGATGACACGTGAAGTGACCAAAAATAGTGGACTATCTAAATCTAATATATCTGTAGTATAGGAGTATAGGATATATCACCGACATATCTACGTCGGATACCTGCAGATACCTGCAGTGTGTGACACGCCATGATCCAACACCGATGCTTTAGGACTGACTACTACTTGACGAATTGCGAGCTACGAGACGGGAGTTGGGTTTCCAAGGCTCGTCGTGTCAAACATTGTTTACAATGTCGTCGTTAAACAGCATCATTCAGTACTTGACTTGTGAACATGGATCAACATGGATGAAAATTGAGTATCAAACGTATGAATACAGCAGTGTGTACATACATACATAACATACACAGTAGAAAAACAGAATTAAACAGAATGATTTGATCCAACTCCTCCTCTCTAGCTTGGAGGCTCGGCTCCATGTTATCCGCCACGCACTTCGTCAGGCCATGCACCTGCCATCTGAAGTTGATGGCAACCTCTTCCGATTCATGTTTGGCATCGAGGTGCAGCACCCACCGTTGAGATGGCTGGGTTTTTTTCACAAAACGAAGACCTTTCTGGTGACAGCCTTGAATTTTCAGGGAACGCAGAAGATTTTTGAAGATCTCCTAAGTCTGACACTGCCACAATTCCTGTGCCGCTGTAGGAATTCCACTGATTTGCTATATGCTCTTCATGACCATGCCCAAAAAAACACACACCCAAAATTGCATCCGACATGCTTATGTTGTTTTGTCTTGGTGTCACAGGCTTCGCAGCAACCGGATGCTTTCTGGACAATGCCAGATGCAGTTTCATCCTAGTGCGGCATTGATTGTGTACTCCGCTTTGATCATAGCTGGGGGCTCAAAGCAGCACCAGCATGAGAAATCAGGAATTACAAGTGTTGCTTGCAAGAAAAGAGATCATATACTGTCATACAAAGACCCTGTAAAGAGGCATGAAACTATAGAAAGAAAGTTAAACTGAGTATTTCTTTCCACAGCAAGGTTCCAATTCAGATAGAGCAGCAGGGGCTGCAGTCTTGTGGCATCCTGCAGGAAATTTGATGGCCTGCTAAACAAGCAAGGCTAAACAGAGATGGCAGAAAGAAAAAGGTCGGAACTGTTGAAGGCTCGATACCTAATCGCTATGCGGGCTGAACAATGGGATGGAACAAGCTTAGCAACGCTTGCTGGTCTGCCATGAAATGCTAGATTTCAGCTTTATTGCTTTGGGCATTTGCCACCCCAGTGACAGAGGAGAAAAGGGGTCCTGGTGTGGGTCACATTCTGATAACCTGTGAGTTGACAGTACCCCATCCCTCCCATCCCGTGTTTGGGGTATGTCAAATTCTGACTTGTACCCACCGTGCCTCCTTGGCAGGCTGCCAGATTGCCCTGGACAGTTTGCCAAAGTCGGGCGACAAAAAAAGACCGCGACACTTCGCAGTGCTCGGAAGGAATTATACAATGTATGTCATATATACATACCCCCAACTACTTAGGGTCTGGAATGGGTATACCTCCAGGGTTCGGGGGCCCAGGGTCTTACCTGGTTCACCGAAACATTGTAGACCTTTGAGACCCTATCATGGTAGACCCTCAGATGTATAAGGGGTTGGTTTTTCATTTTAGACCTTTACCATTATTACTTAGGGAACTTCATGCTAGACCCTTGACATGGGGAACCTAGTGCAACCTTGTATGAATGGGAAAAAGATGCAGGACAGTGGTGTCCGGTTATCCGGGAGTCGACTAAAAATTCATGTAAGAGTTGAAGATAGTTTAAGTATCTAGGCACGAGAGGAGTCAAACGCCTCGCGAAATTTCAGACAATCCCAACGCAAAATTTCAGACAAAGTGTGGCGAAAGGTTGGCAAGATGTCTATGTTTGTTTCGAGCGAAAAACATACAGTAGGCATAAACATGTGAACACGTCCCATCTGAACCGCAAAGAAGGTCACAGGCCAAAAATTGCCAAAATACACTCTTCCTTGAGCGCACAAGAAAAGACAAAGTGTTCAAACATGTTCAAAAGTTTGCCTCTTCTTTTCTCACTCTGAAGTCCAGGTGCCCCAAGTTACCCGGCGCCCCAAGTTCGGCCACCCTCAGTGACAAGTGGGGCAGACCCCAAGTGCAAGGGTCTAGTCTAACGTGCTTTTCCAAGACCCAAAACGAAAGAAAAGTCCGGACCAACTTCACAATATATGATGACAGACCCCCTTCCCTGAAGCAGAAACAACAACGATGCACAGCAAAGTGCTATATCCCAACCGCGAAGAAGGTCACAGGCCAAACATTCTATTTATGGAATTCCCATGGACGAAATATGCGTGTCAACCCATGTATGTTATATGTTTTCATCTTTGCAGTTTTAAGATAATGTTTTATTTCTCTTTACTAAGATAAGCCATGCTTCTTGCACAGAGTTTTTATGTATATGCTGATATGCTTGCTAGTTTCGAGCCAGAATTGCAAACATGACAAGAACAACCTAAAAAAATGACATCCGTTCCAGAAGAGAAAGAAAAAGGAACAAAACATGAATGCAAGACGGAGCAAAAAAGTATTTCTGTTTTGCCCCGCTTCCTTTTTTCCATGTGGTTTCCCTTTGCAAATCCCCGCATGATGCTGAGTCGGATCGAGTGTGGATCGATGTGGGTTGGATTATGTAGGTTGGAAACTGCCAAGAGCGACGCGGAGAGGGAAAAACAAGGGTTTTTGATGCATCTCAGGTGGAAAGGGTCTAATGTGATTTTACAGGAGCCAAAATAGAGGCAATATCATTGACATTAAGAGCTGGTACAACCATGTTAGAACCTACGGTTGCGGACCCCCCCGGTCTACATTGGTCAAACAAAAATACATTAAGCCTCAGGAAAATCCATCCTAGACCTACGTAGGTTTTTGGGGCCTAAAGTAAAATCCTGAGCTCCCTGTCTGAGTCTAGTATTTGAGGGATGTTGAGGGTATATATTATACAGTAGGATCGCAGGTATTGGAACTGGAACTACCACTCAATTATATGATGTCTTGAGGGGGAAATGATGGGTGCTTCACACCTGACATTTGTCTTCAGAGCACTGTTGCACTGCGCTTGCCATATTGTAAGGAACTGAAAGTTCTTTCTGAATAATGAAGGTGCAAGTACCCCACTAACCACAACGGAAGTGCAAGGGCTGAATAGAAAGCAACACAAATTCTAGAAGTAAGCAAAAGACTTGTAAGTGTTAGACCGAGTGCAAGGCTGTCGTTGCTGTCAATTGTATTATATATATACATATTAATACGGTCACCTGAGAGTGGTTCAAAATTCAGGGTTAATGGTAGTTGTATTCCAAGAGTCACTCCACTGGGTCCGCAGAGTAGGAGTCATGGAGCCGCTGTCTTGGAGATTTTTCAGTAATTTGATTCTACACTACATCTCTTAAGCATGACTGGAATCAAGTTTCTTTTCGAAGACAAGCTGAGCTGGCTCTCTCAAAATTGGATGAAGATGTTTCACAGGTTGTATATAGAAGGAAAGCAATAATGTTGGTAAAACAATGCATAAACCACCCCCCAATTTCACCATAAATAGGTGGTATGTTTACTATTCCCAGTCATGGGTGGTTCCTCAGCTACAGGAGAAGATCCCAGCACCAGGTGCTAACAGCAACATGGAGCCCAAGGTGCCAGTGGAGCAGCGACTTAGGAACCCTCCTACTGTAACATATAAAACTTGCCATATAAATAACTATTCATAACTATTCTACAAAAAACAAAACAAAAAACATGTGAATGTTTTCTGAACAGGTTTGAGGGTTACTCTATGATGGTCTACTACTGAACACAAACAAAGTTTTCTTTGAGGTATGGTGGGGTCTTGAATCTTCATGACTCGTTGAGTGTTTTGTAGGGGAATCAATTTGTTGTGAAGTATTTGTAGGGAGGGCAACTCGATTGAATATAACTTTGATCAGAATGAGCTGGTTTGGAATGGCTAGTCCATCCCTTGTAGTTGGGCGGGTTGACCCCAATTGACAAATCCATTTTTTTTGGCTCAAAAACCAAATTGGATGTTTTTTTTGGATAGTCCCAAGAAAATCTCATTCCATGGGTCACTTGTTTCAAAATCATTTCGAGACCAACATTTGCCCAAAATGAAGGGCTCATCCTACAGCCATCCTACAGCCACTTGAGACATGGCTTTCTCTGACACTACCCAGGGTACCCCCCACCCAGCCACCTTTTGGTCGCCAGTCCCTGGACAACTCCGGGCGCCGGAAGCATTGCCGTGTCTTGTTGGGAGATCGCATCGTGACGCCCAGGCCGGGTTGTTTGTTCATCGGGGAAATCTGACAATTTTTATGCGCTGGGGAATGAAGAATAGTATATAAGAGTATATACAGTATATATATATATAATTTTTATAATATAATTTATATTATTCTATGGTAATATCACCTCATGAATTATGAGCTATATAATTGTTACTAATTGTCTATGTGAATTGTGAATGGTGACTGGTTTCTTTCACTGGTCAGTTCTTCGCTGTAGATTCCGCCGCTTCCCGTGGAAGCATGGAACCTGGCAGGGTGCAGCCTGCGGCAAATGCCGCTGCCTCAGATTTGGCAACTTGATCCACTGCTGAAACAAAGCAATGTGAGTAAAGCCATATTCAAGAGTAACAAAAAAAATCCTAAGATCCCTAAGTTTAGCATTCTTATGGCTGGTATCAACCATCAACCCATATGGATGGTTTACGACATTGCTTTACTAACATATCGTTGACATTCGTTGACCTGTTGGACATGGTTGAGGTGGTAGACTCGCTAAAGACTCGCCTTGTTGGCCCCAAAAGTAACCTAATGATTCTACACTTTTCTCTTGTGTCGGGAGTTACGCTATTAATTAATGTATTTATATAATTATATATATATACACAGTAACCAAAATGGGAACAGCTCATTGAAATACATACCATTGGATATTCTCATGAGAGTTGGTTGGCAGAACCTGCATCTTGATCAACTTGGTGGCTCGAAGTGGGACAACAGATCAGAAACGTTGCAATCCAATGGGTGTGATGGTGTGATGGGGTGTCATCCATGTTTCATGGGGATAGAATGATGAATGGATATGAACCCATCATTTCAGTGATATGGTGTGATCACCCAATTTGGGCTTTCACCAATGAAATCAAACTTGCTGGACAAGTGTATGGCTATCCGGCTATCCGGTATCCTGAAAAAAACCGTGGCTGGTTGATCAAACCAGGGTAACCTCCCACCAACCCCATCCAATCCCGGATTTTTCCCCTCGAGTTATAGGCGTGACCATCGCAACTGGACCAATCGGCTGGAGATGCGAATCGCCTGGGTGGAGACCACGCACAGATTGGTAATGAAGCATTGGATTCTGTTGGATATGTGATGCTTTTGGATGCTCTTGGTCTCTTGGTATTCAGATCCATTGAGACATTCTTCGCCCAGGCAGCAAACCACACCCCAAACGGGGGCAAAGATGCTAAAGTTCCGTAAAGGTAGGAAGCAACTCGTCTTGAAGTTGCATGTTAGGTAGGAGGCTGGTCGTCACTCAGATCGTCCGGCATGTTAGCAAGACGCAAAGCTGGAATGTCGTGGTCAACTGAATTCAGTCTCACAAATCAAGATGTTTCCGATTGTACGAAGGGCTGAAATCATTTATTGGGGGACTTGAAAAAAGACCTTCATAGCTGAACCAGCTTTGTTCTTGCATCATTTATGGGCCAAAGTGCATTGCCGACACCATGAGAGGAAACAACTCAAATCATAGACCTGTGTTATTGTGTTGAACAACTTGTAGATTTGCCCTTGATGACGTTTCCAAGTTGTTACTGCTGTGGGCGCTCTTGCTCTTCGTGGATGTGCTACAACAGTTCGGGTTTGTTAAGGCTTTGGAGAGGCCAGAATCCAGATGGCAGCCATCCAAAACAGCCTGCTTTCATGTCACTTTGTTCATGATCCTATTGTTATCAAAAAAAATCTGGTTTGAAGCCCCTTTGGTCCTAATTTCTATTTGAGGCAAAGTTCTGCCTAGTGACACATTCTGCCAAAGCAGTTTAATTCGCAGGATACTGGAAGATGTTCCAATATGAAGACGTCACATTTGCATCAGTCAGCCTGAAGATAGCAGTGGATCCTTGAAATGAAACCCATTGTAGCCTTCCCGGTGAGAGTGTTTCCAACTCGAATCTGTGGACTGCATTTGAGTGGTTCACCAGAGGCACCCTGAACCTGCGCTCCACGACGCTTTCTGCGCTGTTCTGCCCTGAAGAGAGGGCTTTTGAAAAAAAAATGGAGCTTAGGACATCATGATAACATAAGGATAATGATATAATATTATATAATATTATATAATGTTATAATATATAATTATCCACATTTCAGTCTTGCAGGTTCGCGGCTCCTCGTTTCACTGAACGTGGCTCAAAGATGACAACGGCCGAGAAAGAAATCACAAAGAAATCACGCCACCGTTTTGGGCTATTTCGTGTCATGACTGCAAAGGGCTGTGTGTTGAAAAAATTGACGGAAAAAGACCATAAGAATCCTGACAGATGTAACATTCATGCATTTTACCAATATTAATATTATATGATTTGATATATATATAGAGAGAGAGAGAGAGCTATGATAGACAGCTTCGTATGTGGTCTTTTCTATCACTGGTGGTCACGGAGGTTTGTAGGGTCTCTGCCACATGCTTTTTCACCAGAGCTTTTGCGGCTCGAAGAGTTTTTTTCGCCGCACAGTGAGCACCATGACATGCAACACAGACATGACATGCGGTATCAATAGTTGCCTTTACGCCACAGATATTCAGATATCGCTTTGGTCAGGTTTCACAGTGTTAACAGTTCAACCCATCTAGCTTGGAGGGTTCCTTTCGAGCTCTACCTGGCTATTGTCCCTGTCTGCTGAGACGTGCACAAACTCGCAAAAAAAATCAAGAACTGAAAAGATCCCAAACTGACAGCAGAGTCCTTTGCCAAGAGACCCTGTCAAAACATCAAAAGGAGAACATGTTCTGCTGATTTGTTGGCTATGCTGGACTTCATTGTTGGACCTTAAACTGGACGTTCCTTTTTCGGCTGGACAGTAGTCCCAACGTAACATCCGGCTGCTTCCGCTGTGCTGAAGATGGTGCGCCAAACATCCCTCCAGCAGCCAGCATGGTCATCACAGCCACAATGAAGCAGGTATTTGGGAGTCATATTAGATGTGGTCAGTTGACGGGGACACATAATTTCCTGGGAGTGCGTTTCCTAGTGCTGCGATCAAACTCATGGCTTGGCAGTTGACAAAGTGTTAAAATTTTAAAAGATTTAACGGGTTCCACTCTTGTGGATTTGTGACAGGACTGGACTGGAAAGAGCAAACATAGGTTGGCAGCATTAAGACTTGTCCAGCCGGTGCACCAGTATGCATAGCCAAGACAAGAAGCAACACACAATGACATGCAACACACTAGGCACGCAACAAAAATAAGTGGGTGATGTGGTGTTCTAAAGATTATTCATCATCCTCATCCTCATCATCATCATCATCATCATCCTCCTCATCCTCATCCTCATCCTCATCCTCTTCCCTTATCTTCCCCTATCGTCTTGCAATAAAGACGTAGACAGTGAGAAATCCAAGATTCCTGCGGTCGCACAGCTGCTTCGCGGCAGACAGATTGCACCTTTGAACCTCTGGCTCTTGAAATCCAGCCAGATATTATTTACAAGCAGAAAGTCATCCAACAGATTCAATCAATCACTAGGACCTACCCACAGAAAAGACTTGATTTCATTCATGCAGATTGGCAAGGACTTGCTTTTGTTTGAGACTATACTACCTCCCGGTTGATTTGTCCAGTCACATTCAATGGAGATCAATGGAGTATAGGAGCAACGGGAGGACATGCTCTTCTTTTCCACACTGAGAATTATGGCAACTTCGGCCTCCTAGGCCCATTGTTCAACCTATGTTGAACTCCACAAGTGAATCCATAGCGACTTTGCAGACATTGGAGCAGACATTGGACCGAATGCATCAGCCTCATGCTGCCATGGCCAGCTTCAGCGTGCGAGCCGCCAATGTTTTGCGGCTACCATTCGAGCCACTGGACGCAACGAGAGCGCCGGAGATGGATCCAGGGCCACAGGGAGTTTCATGGTCGTCAGATCTGAAGTACCTTAAAGCATTGAACGTTATTTTATAATATGCGGCTATATATGTTTGTACATGTTCCACATTCCTAAAGTATAAAACCTCACCCAGAACATGGCAGACTCTGACAGTTTTGTTCTTCAAATCGTATGTTACATTTTTTGCAACAGACACGTGGCTTGGTCTCAACATGAACTCATATTACCTTATACCATAATCATACTTATACCCTGTAATAATTATCCGTGAATTGCAATTTTTATGTGAATCAAACCAGATAAAAACCATTGGGGCCACTGGGTTTTGGAGCCGAGGTTCGCGGCATGTTGTGCCGGGGAGCTCTGTGCCTTCGTAGCCAGGGCCTTTGAGGTGCCAGCGCCCAAAGCACGAGCCATCAAGGTGGGGACTTGCGGAGATGGGATCTGGATGATCTGGGGGCTCAAGACCTATAGAAAATTGCCATATTTAATATGACTGGAGAAAATGTGCATCCATTCACCAGCTGTAGGGTGCCTCGGGTTTAATGAGGTTTTGACTCATAGTCATAGTCATATATATGGGGGTCGTTCTAAAACCTTCCCCTTAAAGTTTAGTAAGCGGGTTTGTTGAGAACTTTGGGTAGTTTAAACCTGCATCGCGCAAGTCTCGCACAGGGCCGGCCCAAGAGCCACTTTCGGGCAACAGAATTTAGAACAACCCCCATATGGATATGTAATATATGTTTTATATATATATTATATAATTATTTATATTATATTATATTATATTGTATTGTATTGTATTGTATTATATTATATTATATTATATTATATATACAGTGTATATATATACACATTGATACAATGAGGATATTATGGGGATGTAATTATGGGTATATAGAACCCGTTTAAGAAGATGTGGGTGAATCTGAACTGAAGACTCATAAAAATGGCAATCAAATTTAGATAATAGAAAGTGAAAATTAACCAGTGGATTTTGGTATACTTCCAGACAAACTCATGCTAGATGAAATATTATTGGATGCAGGGAAAAATAACAAGAAATCCCAGTCTTGATTTGATTTGAAAAACACTGGTATATGATGGTATATGGTATATCTGGATGTATATGGTATATATAGATTTTCCCTGGCATACCACTCCATTCCTGGGCCAATGGGGCCATGGAGAAATCATTGAAATCCCGCCATGGGATGGTGCAGGTTCACAGCACTGAGCCGGCCCTGTGTTTGGCATTGAGGCCAGATGGGATGGTCGGATGGGCCATGTCCCACGGTTTTTTTTTCCACGTTTTTTTTTTCCAATGGTGGACGAATATCCAGACCAGCTAGTTTGATGATGTTTGATGTAAACAGGCTACCAAGGGTGTGAGCCAATCAGGTATAGTACAATACCATTGGCTATGCTCCCTCACCCGATGAGCTGATGGGGTTGGAATCCCAGCAATTGCTGGAGTCCACCAGCCCAGGCCGTTCCTGCCTGCCTTCCAGCAATCCATCGCGGAACAGGAGCGGTGTCAAACGTGGACACATTGGGGCAGACAGGAGGACTTTTGGTGTCAATCTGTTCGATGAATCCTCAGCATTCTGCCACATCGTTTTTGCGCAGTGCTCTGGCTTCACATTGAACGCCGCAATGACAAGGCAAAGTCTGGCCGCGAAAGCTTATGGGCTTCCTACGACACTCAGGCCGCTTGAGACATGACAATTACATTTAGGTGCCATTGTTGACTGCTAGACAAACTGTGCCATGACTGCTGGGAATGTTGCTGAACAGGCAGCCTGATGAGGTCAAGATATCAAAGCATGGTATTTGGCAATTTGTTGAGCCATGGTCAATCCGCACAACCGATGGCATACAAGCTTTGCTCAACTGCTGCAGCCATTTCTTTCGTTCAAGTCATTCAATAAGAACCTGTTTCTTTTTTTTGTGTTATTTTCTGCCATGGGTTGGGGTGGCTACGGCAAAGGTGGCTATGGGTGGGGCTTCCCCCCCATGATGATGATGCCTTGGGGAAAAGGCAAGGGAAAGGCCCGGCTTCATGTGATTCCAAATGATTCTCTTGTTTCCTTGCTTCAGGTTGCATGCATTAAAATCATTAAAACATGAGTTTTGCATCTTTTGCTGTCTCAGTTGCAAGGGATCAAAGATCTGTGATCGTCTTTGACTGTGCAGGGGCTCCGAGGCTTTGCGAACGAGAAGAAGGTGTGGATTGGAGGATTGCCCGCAGGGCCTACCAGCATTGAGACCAACAAGAAGCTGAAGGAGCACATGGCCCAGGCAGAAACCTGTTGAAAGCCAGCCGTGCAACAATCTGCTGTCCTTGTTGGTACACAAGGTCCTTCATGTGCATCTTAGTATCTTCAGACCTCAGCAAATTGTGAACCAAGGGGACGAAATCTTCAGAAGTTACAAGTGTAGCATCCATGCTTTGACGGGGTCACGTTTTTAGTCCGGAGACATGTCGTGACATGTTTTAGTTTTTTTTGCGTTACACCCGTACAAATGCGCCATTCATGGTTCTGAGACAGTCCACTACTAGTTAACATCGATTGAAAGAGCACGATCTCAAGCCTATCCGGTCTCAGTAAGTTTTGGTGAAAGTGACCACTCCAGTAGTTTCTTTCTTTTTATTTGGCTGTTTGCCTTGGGTGGGGAATGGTGCGGAAAGTATCTACTATTCCGTGGACCCTCGATAGGCTGGTGAATGCATCTTTGCCGAGATCAACAAGAGTGGAATTGCAGGGGCCGCATATAAGACACCAGAAGAGGTGCAGAAGGCTGTGGAGATGCTGAATGGATCTACCTTTGAAGGCCACACCCTGGAAGTGGACGTTTGGCAAAAGAAGACACCTGAGGGTGGCCAATGAGATGCCAACGAGATGCCAATGAGATGCAGGGAGCATCAGTGAGGTTGGCGGATCATGGCTGATGAGATTGGCAGAAATTGGTACGGACTAAGTGACTCAGTACAATGCACCAACCTTTAGCTTTCCTGCTATAGACTCATTACATTTCGTCGATTTTGGCAGGTTAAAAAGGGGAAGCAGCTTGCATTTGCAGATGACTTGTGCAGGGAACCAGACTTGAGAAAGGGAACTGTGATTCTTGTGTCCACACCATGTGTGCTGCTGCTTGTGTTCAAACACAGACAACCTTTAAATACATATGTGATTCCCGCAGCCATTTCTTTCGTTCAAGTCATTCAATAAGAACCTGTTTCTTTTTTTTTGTGTTATTTTCTGCCATGGGTTGGGGTGGCTACGGCAAAGGTGGCTATGGGTGGGGCTTCCCCCCCATGATGATGATGCCTTGGGGAAAAGGCAAGGGAAAGGCCCGGCTTCATGTGTTTCCAAATGATTCTCTTGTTTCCTTGCTTCAGGTTGCATGCATTAAAACATGAGTTTTGCATTCTTTTGCTGTGTCAGTTGCAAGGGATCAAAGATCTGTGATCGTCTTTGACTGTGCAGGGGCTCCGAGGCTTTGCGAACGAGAAGAAAGTGTGGATTGGAGGATTGCCCGCAGGGCCTACCAGCATTGAGACCAACAAGAAGCTGAAGGAGCACATGGCCCAGGCAGAAACCTGTCGAAAGCCAGCCGTGCAACAATCTGCTGTCCTTGTTGGTACACAAGGTCCTTCATGTGCATCTTAGTATCTTCAGACCTCAGCAAATTGTGAACCAAGGGGACGAAATCTTCAGAAGTTACAAGTGTAGCATCCATGCTTTGACGGGGTCACTTTTTTAGTCCGGAGACATGTCGTGACATGTTTTAGTTTTAGTTTTTTTTTGCGTTGCACCCGTACATTCATGGTTCTGAGACAGTCCACTACTAGTTAACATCGATTGAAAGAGCACGATCTCAAGCCTAAATGGTCTCGGTAAGTTTTGGTGAAAATGACCACTCCAGTAGTTTCTTTCTTTTTATTTGGCTGTTTGCCTTGGGTGGGGAATGGTGCGGAAAGTATCTACTATTCCGTGGACCCTCGATAGGCTGGTGAATGCATCTTTGCCGAGATCAACAAGAGTGGAATTGCAGGGGCCGCATATAAGACACCAGAAGAGGTGCAGAAGGCTGTGGAGATGCTGAATGGATCTACCTTTGAAGGCCACACCCTGGAAGTGGACGTTTGGCAAAAGAAGACACCTGAGGGTGGCCAATGAGATGCCAACGAGATGCCAATGAGATGCAGGGAGCATCAGTGAGGTTGGCGGATCATGGCTGATGAGATTGGCAGAAATTGGTACGGACTAAGTGACTCAGTACAATGCACCAACCTTTAGCTTTCCTGCTATAGACTCATTACATTTCGTCGATTTTGGCAGGTTAAAAAGGGGAAGCAGCTTGCATGTGCGATTTGAATCTGCCCTTGCCGACCAGCAGCCTATGCATGTTGTGTTGGAGACACCCGAGATCACCCAAGTGACCTTTTAGGGGCCCTTGTCAGGCAAAAGATGCTGTACAGCTCACCAAACAGGCGCCGCTGGGGCGATCTGGGGTTCATTCGCTGACCTCAACAGGATTCGAATGCATTCAATTGTAATCGTTGATTGTTTACAGCTATTTTATCTTTCTTAGCGACCACATTCGGTTCAGTGTTTCTTCGGATCGGTTTTGGTGTTTTCTCATGTTTTCTCCATCTTCCACAATGCAACTGCTTTGAACCCGGAACTGTCCATATCCAGCAGTTTTATTTCAATTCCGTGGTGCATTCCTCCCAAAAAATGTGGAATCACATTCAGTTGTTGGTTCCTCTGACCATTCCCAGCGGCCAGGTTGCTCAACCTGCCAGACGTTGGTTGCGGCGCTGTTTGCAGCATCTTGGCCACATATGGCCACATCACTTTCGCTGAAGATTTTGCCAGCTGCATCCCTAGGCGTGTGATGACTGCTGACTGGCAGACTACGCGTCAGTTGCTACTTAGCTGAAGTGGGGTCGGACTGACGGCTACGTGTACCGACTTTTCCATACTTTTCCATGAGTCTGTTTGCGTTCCTGGGTGGTCGCATAACGTGCATTCTGTTTGTTTCAGAGCTGTGTACACTTCTAGTTTACTCATGTTTACTCCACGTCACCATTCGAGATTCAGATGTCGTGCCCTGATTTGGCGATCGTTTGCCGGTGCTCAGGCTGACTGAGGGTAGCTTGGCGACGTTACGGCGACAAAGTGAGTTTATAGATAACGACGTCATTGCGACGTCACTAGGGTGATGGTTAGTAAGAGATAGTAAGAGGAAACATCCCCAATGACCTTATTTCAGGTTGGTGAATGATTATAAGATATTATAAGATTTATCCAGATGTTTTTGTGAAATTCTTGGAGGGTGCGCAAGTGGATGGATGATGATGGATCGACGCCGGAGAAAGACCTTAAAATTCTGTGGGCTGGGCTTACCAGAATAAAATGTAAGAAAAATCAGTTGAACATGTGATAATATATTATATATAATTTAAGAATGATAATATATATATATATGTAGATCAACAAGTTCAATATAATTCAATATAAATCAACAATACAATATTCAAACACCTGGAGCCTAAGTGATCTGTGTTTCCGTTTCCTGAGAAACATGCATCAACCATCCCATACCATCCCAAGGCGGTCAAGACACAGTGCTTGTTGTCCGCACACTAAGAACTGAAGAAATCTTTTCAGTACAATGTATATACTCTTAAATTTATTTACCCATATATTAATATATATATATATTATCTATATATGATATATATATATATTATATTATTATATAAACACTATATATCTATCACCATCTATCATTATCTATCCTTTCATGTTCGTCCACTTGTTCTTCGCAGATGAGTGGGCTGTCCTTGGAGTGTCCTACATTGACCAGCCGTCACCTGAGGTTGGCGGCGATTTTCCACCTTTCTTTCGGCTTTGAGACCGAGGAATCGAAAGGCCCAGCGCCCAGCTGCAGCGTCCAGGGGCATCCGTGTCAGCCCTGGACTGACATGTACGGAATAAATATGGAATCATATTCTATAATCTTCAAAAGTCTTCTTACTTATAAAGCAGTATAATATAGGGATTCCTTTTCCTATCCGTTGTTCATTTTTTGTTGACCCCTTTACGACAAAGTCTGGACCTATCTCGCAGCGGAGGCGCTGCTGTCAGCTTTGGAAGATGTCCATCGCGAGTGTGATGATGTCAAGGAGATCTTTAAGGCCACCAGCTGGGCGTGGCCATGGGGCCATGGGGGTTTGTCTGAACATACTGCGCATTCAGAGATGGTTGGTATTGGATGGCTGAACATACTGGCCCACATGCTGAATCAGCGAGTTTCCCATGTTAGTTTCCAGTTGGTGGGATATACCCCATTTTCAGGCACAAACAGAAGACATGGCGCGTGCATGATCTAATCATATCTAATCTGTGCAACTTAAGAACTGAGTATATCATGCAATGTATAGGTGGGATGCTTGATCACGTGAATGACGAGCAACGATTCTGTTCTGGGGAAGCCCTTTTCGCATCGGCATAGAGGTTCAGTGCTAATACATCTAATAGACATCTAATACTAATACTGAGCATTACTGAGCCTTTGGATTGAGGTCTTAAATCCGAGGCTGGGAAGTTGGAAGAGGCAGAGAAGCGCTATGAATTGCTGCTGTCCAAGGTCCAAGACTTGTCGAAGGTGGGGGTGGTCGGGGTTGACATTGGTTGACATAATTTGTTGGAAGATTGGGAGAGGTGGTAGCCTGCTACTGATACGGATACTGGATTACTGGCTTGAAATTTGATGAATTTTCTGTGTAAACACTTTAAAATTCTGGGTTTCTTAGATTCTAACTTAGATTGTGTGAAGATCTAAGAATGACCAGCTCTTTGTGGCATCCCCCCGAAAAGCAGCTAGCAGCTATACCTATACCACTAGATATGCTCGTTTTAACATGTTTTGGAATCGGAATTTGGCAGAAGGTGATCTTCCCTGTGTTCTCTCAGCATCCGTGATGCCGCAACAAGCGTTGGCTCGGAAGCAAGACTAAAGGAATTGCAACAGTGGTTGGCATCATTTGAGTATTAATATATATTAATATCCACTGGTCTGTGCACATTCCTTGAAGATCTTGAACTCATGGGGGAAGTGGCAAAACACACATCATTCAAGTGCAGAAAATGTAGACTGTCTTCCCATTCGTGCGGAGCTCATCAAGTCATTGTGCTCCCCCATGATCAGCCCTGCGGATTCGGAGCAAGCAGAAAAAGAACAGAAGTGGCTTTGGACATGGAATCAGCAGAGACTGAAAGAGAAGCTTCATGGACGCAAGGCGGGTTAGTGCAAAGTAGAAGGTGTACACTTGGATTGGCATATTTCATTGGGATGTAATGGGAATAAAACTTTCAAACACACCCACCACTGCCTGGTGTGAATGGTAGAGTTGACATGGAAGACATTTGAAAGACAATTTAAACCAGAGGCAACATTAGCACTGAAGACCGGAACAAACATGAAGAATCTATGCAATAAGTTCACACAGGACCGATCTAGTCTGCAGTGATTACTCTTCTGGAAGTAGATTCTTGTAATCTTTCTGATACAAACAGGAAAGGCGTTTGCACAGAGGCTTGCTGTATTTCCTCAAAACATCACCCGCTGGGTAAACATGGATGGTAAGGGGATGGGATTACAAACTTTGAAGACTCCAGCGCTGTCGAGGCAACAAACCCCTGGGTGTTGGATGCCTCCGGACGACCATATTGTCTCAGAAGCCACGAAACATGCAGGGCCAGGTCTGACACGCGGTGTGGGAAGCGATTTCTGTGTTGAGGGAAGTTGGGTTTCACAGTACTGTCTTGACAAGATGACAGGTGACGGGGGAAAATCTGATTCTGTTATTATATTCTGTTTGTCCCAGAAAAATGAAGAGACTATGGGGCTATTATATGCTGTTATGGCTATTGAAGTTGAAAGACAGGACGTGTCTCGCCGATTTTTATTGCTATGGGACCTGCTGCACAAGCCGGATATTCCATGGGCATGAATTCTTTGAACGTACATGCTTGTTTTCTCCTGGATCAAGGAGAGTTATCAGTGACGACAACAGAAAGACTTAGAAATCTTAGAAAGGCTTAAATGGATGGCCAAATATCATAGCTTCCCATGATTCCCATGATTCCCATATGGTCCCATGGTCCCAGGCTTCTTTCCAGCAAGTCTTTGCCGAGTATGGCAGTGACACACTATGCCACCGAGAATCGACGAGCTTTCCAACTGGAAACCAGCGTCTTGGGATCAAAGTACACACCCACGAAACCGCGCTTCAACAAGAGATAGCTGCCATGCTCCTAAACCGCAGTATTTGATTGAGCTTTGTATTGCCCGAGATCGTCCATGAAGATGGAAAAGTTGTGCGGAGTGGACTTCTTTTGGGCAAAATTCAGAGATGTGCACCGACATAGTTTCTTTTCTTCATGTTTCTTACTGTAGATGACATGGCAGAAGTCAGGGCATCGATCATGCCAAATTTTGATGTATATAAATGGTGTATCTATATATATATATATACATACATCCCAAATTCTAGTATACCACGAGAATGGCGAGGTTTAACCACAGTATCCCCACATTATTCCACTATTTTCCCACCTGTCCTCACAGATTGATTGTCTACACTCAACCTGACTTCGGTGAAATTTCTCGCTGGACTTTCAAAAAGTCACAACTGCGAGACCATAGGCTCTGCAGGAAACCTTCAAACATGAAACACCAGCACTGGCTGATGCTGAATCCTGACCCTGATGATGCTCTTCTATCATTGCTGGGTTCCCTGTTCAGAGCACCTTGCAGCACCTTGCGGCACCTCTAGATCTTTGGCTCTTTGATTTTTCTTGATTTTTTGCGGCACCGGCAGTGCGCTAGTCAAGAGCTGACATACTTCCAGAGGAAGGATCCAATTATCCAGTAGCTTCAGTTAGAGCATCTGGCTTTGCTGCCAGTGGTCGCTGAGATTTGGAAACATGGGTTTGTCTGAGAATAGGATCCCTTAAATTTGATGGTGGATCAATGTTGATCATAATTTTCTTCAATATATACTGCAATTCTTGGGTATACCGTATTCCATAGTTTACCCATGTTCAAACAAACCCATCTCATGGAATATCTGGAATTATCTGCAGAACAAAAAGGGCCTGTGCAGATCATCCAAGCAATAGCACTGCCCGACCGGAGCTGGTGCTTCTGTGGCAGTCAGGCGCACTTTCAGAATGTCAAGAAGGAAGAGGTCAGAATCCTGACGAAACTTGGGCGAAACGATCAGCAAAAAAAAACAAAAACGCCAGCTGGGAAGGCTAGCTGGTTGACTTGTGTGGGTTCAAGTTTGTACGATGGATAGATACAAGATTATACAGGTATGTCATACAGTATATCTACTGTAATTATTTATATCTAATTATAATAACAATAGTTACAACTATATTTATATTATATTAATATACAGAGCAGAACTCTGTAAACACATATGTTTGTTATGTTTGTTTATTCAGAAGCGTGTAATTGACGAACCAAAGCTGATGCAATCGAGTAGCCTGAATGCACCTAGCCCAGGAACAGGTGGTAACTTGTGACGCAAAGCACAGATTCACACAAGAAAAGGCAACGAATTCAGTAGAATTCGCGGGGTCTATATCTTTTCATCGTTTTCCCCTGGCCCAAATGATCGTTGTTTTGTTTTGTTGAAAGATTCTCCTTAGGAATCTTGCACTCTGCCAGAAGAAGCAGGGTTGTTGGGCGCTCAGTCCATCTTGCAGTCTCCCTGCAGTGAGTCTTTCCGTTGCGGCGTTGCAGTCAAGGGATTCACAGTCTCTTTCCAATCCCAAATTTGGATGTTTTACTTCAATAAAAAACACATCCACTATCTTCCAATCATGTCCAATGCCAAATTTTAAATTGCTTCCAATATGTTCCACTTGGTGACGACTTTTCTGATGTAATTTGATGGTATTTGATGGTAACTACTCGATGTTTCCTACAGTACCAAACATTCCAACATCCGTGGTTTTCCCCAAATATGAACTTAACCCCCATTAACTTAACCATTAACTATAATAGATATATCATGATATATCCATCCACAAAGCCTGGCTATTGATTAGGCTATTGATAACCCGTTGACATCCATTAACAACCGAGGCCTTGCACCAGCTGCTGAGTCTGCATCCGCGGCGCTGAAGCTTGAGCCTTCCAATGTGAAGGTGAAGCTTGAGATTCCCATGGGCTGACTTTCATCAGGGATAACAGGGATGACTTTATGGATATTTAATGTGAATATGTCATAGATAATGATAAATTATTATATATATACACAATATTGAATGAGCGTCATGGGTAAATATCAGGGGTAATTATGCTATACAACCAAACATATGACTTGGGTTTGCTTATATCACAACTCTGAAATTTACATGAAATTAGTCTAAACATGTGACAAATTATTGTCGTTTAAACCCCGACAAGTATCGGGGAAAGTGAGCTTTTGGGGTACCCTAGTCTCAGGGAAACCGTACCCAATCCGTACCCTAGTTTCAGTCAACACACCTATCAGCTGCAAATTTGTAAACAACGACCAGAACAGATTGTGGTGTGAAGCTGTATATTCCTATAATATCCCCGTGGCAATTTCCACTCTAGAACTGGTGAGCCTGTGCATAGTTTAAACGAAATTCTTAATGTATTGGAATTTTAAAATTGATGTCAGGCTAGTCATTTTATTGTTGGGGGGTTGGGCTAAGCATTTTATTGTAAAGGTAAATCCTGATGATTTTTAACATGTTAAAATTCCATTCTCATTTTATTGCAAAAAAATGTTTGCTTGGAGCATTTTATTGCAGAATGGAACCAGTGTTTTTCCAGGATCTTTTTATATCGATGTTATTGGGCATGTCATTTTAGATCAGCGAATTTTAAGGAATTTCAAGGAATTTTAAGGAATATTAAGGAATTTTAAAGGAATTATAAGGAATATTAAGGAGTTTTAAAGGAATTATAAGGAAATTTGAGGAATTTAGAGAGTTTTAAGGAATTTTAAGGAACCTTAGAGGATTTTTAAGGAATTTAAAGGAATTTGACGGAATTTGAAGGAATTCGGAGGATTTTTAAGGATCTTTAATGTTTTTAAATTTGGATATTTAAGGTGTTTTAAGGAGTTTTTTGGAATTTTAAGGAATTTAAAGGATTTTTACGCAATTTTAAGGAATTGCCACGAAAGAATGCCACCGTATTTTGTTGCTATAGAATGCTATTTAAAAAAAACACACTAAATATTTGGGCACCTTCACTCTAAAATACCCCTATCTAAAATGGCTCTTTTTAAAGATGCGTTTCTGAGGGTCTTCAAAATTGGATGAAATTGGATGACGTTGGATGCACATTCAAGCATGAATTTGGTGGCAAGGCATTTTATTGCAGAGCCAGTTTTCATTGTTTTTGTGCATTTTAAAGCCTGAGGCCTATGCACAAAAGTTAGACCGCTCTAAAACTCCTGCACAACTTCACATAATGAATTGGCACCCCGATCCTATAATTATGTATATATGGGTAAATTATAACGACCTCACTGCGACCTCACTGGAATCATGGTTCATAAGGGGAATCATCCCCAAATGGCCCTAATTCAGGTGAGTGAAATATTATAATTTACCCATATATATATATATAACAATATAATATACCTTATGTATATAAACATATATATATAAACATATATATATATACATGTGTGTGATTTCCGAAGTGTCTTCCAACTGTGTCATGTCCTTCGATTGTTCCATGTCTTCACATTGGGCAGAGTCACCATCACTTGCGGCCACCAATGAATTGTTGGCTCAAGGCCACTTTTGAGGAACTCTAGGGGAAAAGAGCGCGGACGCCATTTGGTGGTTTTGCTGGTGGGGTTGGAACCCAAAACGTTGAGTGATAAGGTGTGGACACCTGGGATTTTGGTTGAACCTTTGGTTGAGGAATACATCAGGTGAGATCTCTACAGATCTATTGGGAGCTGCCAGTGGGACTGCTGTTGCAGTCACACTGGTAGCGGAGCCAGGAGGCTCCTGCTACCAAGCACGGAAAGCATGGCTACTGGCTCGAGTGATGAGAAATCCTCCAGCTTGTGGAGTCAGCTACCGAGCTTCGACCCGAGCACCGATGACGTGCGGGAGTTCATGCAGAAGGCCCGTTTCCTACATGGAGTTTTTCCAGAAAAAGAGAAGGCAAACTTAGCTCCCAGGTTGGCGATGCTTTGCAAAGGAACAGCATGGAGTCAAGTGAGGAACCTAGACCCTGTGAAGCTTGTGAACCCCGAAACTGGGGTGGCCTATCTCTTAGATGCTCTGGCATCGTGGGAAGAAACGTCTGAGCTCAAGACTTTCGAGTTGTTCGAGAAGGCGCTGTATCGGGTAGCCCAGAAGCCCGATGAAGCGGCACATAGCTACACCTTGAGAATGCAGGCAGCCTTTGATGATTTAGGTGAGAAAGCAACTCTGAAAGAAATGCAAGCTTTCGTACTCCTGAGACAGTCATGCCTCACCAATGAAGACAAGAAGCGTGTGTTAGCCATGGTGGACGGAAGTCTGACTTGGAAGGGGGTGGAGAAAGCAATGAGGACACTCTCCACACGTGTCCTACTTGGAGCAGGAGAACAGAAAAAGAAGATTTACCTGACAAACTTCACCGAGTCTGAAGATGTTGCAGCATCAAATGATGAAGAACTGAACGCTCAGAGCACCTACCAGGTTGTTGTGGAGGACGAAGACGCCCTCACGGCTGAGGTGGTCGAGATGTTGGCCCAGTCGGGCGATGATGATGCACTTATGGTGCAGCAATTCGAACGTGATTTTGAAGACATGATGCAGGACATCCCGGACTTGCAGTCAGCCTTGGTTTCCTATCAGGAAGCCAGAGCTTGCATCAGCGATCGCAGAAGGTCAAGAGGATTCTGGCCACCAAAGGGCCGAACCAAGGGTCATGGAAAAGATCACCATGGAGGTTTCCGAGGAGGTCGAAAAGGAGGTCCAAAGGGTGGAAAGGAGGAGTTGCTCTCCAGGATTAGTCGAACGCACTGCAAACTGTGCGGGGCTCTTGGGCATTGGAAGGCTGAGTGCCCAACACGACGTGACCAAGCACGCGAGTCTGCCAATGTGGTGCAACATGATGGAGACCAACTTTCAGATCTGCCCCAGGTGATCGTCGAAGAGGTGGACGAGGCCGGAAGTGTTAAGAACGTTTTTTCCGAATGTTTTCATGTACAGGATTTTTCCATGCATCCGTCCAAAGGAAACCAT